TAATCGTTATTTGATTTGTATTACTGGTTACTAGACATCAGCGGCAATGTCAATTTTTTTTTGTTTACGGTATGGTTTAGCCCAACAGATTATAAATAATTTGTCGTATTTGGACTCGAGTTTTTTGGTAAATGCTAGATTTTGCTAAAAGAATGCTCCATTAAAAGAATGCAATGGGTTTCGATGTCAATCTGTATATATATGTATTATATATTGTCAGTTTGTTTATATATGGCTAGTTGACGCGTGTGTTCGTTTAACGCCGCGTCATTGCGTCATCGCGTCACCACGTGACTCGCGTCATATTATTTTGGTGAAGAATGTTTGATGTTGTTGCATTAACCATAGAGATATTTTTATTATGATATAATGACTATCTTGTAAATAGATTATTAAAATTGAAAAAAAAATTCAAATAAAAGATTATGATATTAATGACTTGTGTTTTTATTGTATTTGAAACTAGTTTTTTGCTCGGACGATGACGGCGGCGGCTTCCGACTCTCCTATAGGGAGGGTTTTTTTTAGTGGGTGATACTCGGTATACACCGGCGGGGCACCAGTGAAGGATGATAGGTCAGGATGAAGCAGGTCAGTTAGCCCATTGTAACGAATTCAACAAGAATTGTTCACGATGGTTTTCAGGGAGAACCACGTGGGGAAGCAATGGGGCTGTCAAACTCCATTGCTAACAATCCCTTCCCCCCCTTCCTATAGGGAGGGTTAGGTAGGCCTCGGGCGAAGCCCTTTAGCCCAGCCTTAACTCCGGGGGTCACTACCCCCAAGTCACTGGGGCAAATGTCTAATCCTTAGATTATATAGATAGAGTGTATGTGTGTATGGGTATGGAACAAATGCTTATTTGTATTAATTTCCCGCCATCCTAGTGTACAATTAAACTTTTAAAATGCCTAAATAGCGATATCGGTCAGATATTACAAAACCTTTTCTATGGAAGAGCAGGACCGGACTGGCCCGGAACGGCCAAGGGATGGTTAACTACAAGCCCCGGGACCGAAACTAGATGATGGTATTTGCACCAGTTGGTAGTGGCACCGCAAGCCCTGCAAGCTAGGCCCTTGGGGCCCACACAGGCTTGGGCCCGGCTGGCAAATGTCACCTCGACTATATGGCCAGTTGGACGCTGTGGAAGAGTATAAGGTTGCCTGGAAGAGATCGCTTATAGCGATAAGGCCGCCCATTGTGTTCTCACTGCGATCATTTCCTGTAATTGTTTGTATTTATGATAAGTTTACTATTGTTATCTTTTGGAGGAAACAATAAAGAGTATCTATCTATCTATATAGAAATAATTTATAAGTATAAATGTTTTCCTACTAATATAAAAAAGCAATTAATATTCCGTCTAGGTGTGCAACTTATGCTGTTACCAGAATTACGTCAATTACTAATAGCGGTCACCTAACCTGAATTTAGTTTAGTAACACTTCTGCACAGAATGACCGATTCAATCCATACACGCTGCATAGTAAAGTATGCTTAGAGTCACAATTTATATTCCTATCTCGTTTACAATGACGATTGTGATTCCTATCACGCTAGGAATTGCGACCTCTTAATTTCCTATCAAATGTTGTTTTTTAACCTTACTATAATATTATGAACGTGATATTGAGTTTGTTTGTTACATTTCGACACATTGATGACTGAATCAATCATTATGATATATAATATATACATACTATATACTCATATATACTGTCTCATGGATATCGTAAAAGGCGACTAAGGGAACTTAATATAAGAATGAATAGCAGCGTTCCTCTTAAAATATTACTATACATTACATTACCAGAGGGAGACTTTGTACAAAAGTCGATTGCTTGGGTACCTCTGTCCCATTCGTGTTTCAATCGTAAAGCAGTTGTGTTTGCATGGCTGCGTTTCGGTTTGAAGGGTGGGATATGGCGTGAATTTACAAGGTACAGAGGAATAACACCTGAGTCCTCAGGAATAGCAACGCATGGGGGGTATCATGGGCGAAACAGTATACTCTGTTATGTCCACGGTACTGCTCATGTCTATAGGCGACGGTTACCACTTTCCATCAGGTGAGCCGTCAGCTTGTTTGCCATTCTAAGTTGTATAAAAAAAAAAAAACATAAAACCCTAACTACTGTTGGCTACTCGCCTGCCAAGCATGGCAACTTTTTTTTTATACCACTGAGGTGGCAAACAAGCATACGGCCCACCTGACGGTAAGCGGCTACCGTAGCCTATAAACGCCTGCAATACCAGAGGAGAGACCCCCGTTTTGAAGAACCCCATGCTGTAGTCTTTGGGAAAACCTTGGCAGGGAGCTCATTCCATAACCTGAGTGTTCGTGGGAGAAAACATCTCTGAAACCGCGTTGTACGCGACCATTTAGGCTGTAGGGTATGAGGGTGAACTCCCTGTCGATGGCGAGCCGTACGATGATAGAAAGTGGCCGTAGGCATCATATTGAATAATTCCTCTGAGCACAATCCGTTGTACAAGCGGTAGAACACACAGAGTGAGGCAAAATCTATCCTAAGACTTAAGGGTTCGATACCGCTTGCAAGCCTGGGATCATCGACAATTCTCATAGCTCGTCGTTGCAACGAGTCGAAAGGTTCAAGCTGGTATCTAGGTGCTCCCGCCCATAAGTGACAGCAATACTCCATATGGGCAACTACTGGCAAAGCCCCCTTCATTGGGCTCATGATGATGATGATTTTATGGCGGACGATGGGAAAGATCTATTTGGCAGTGGACAATTAATGAGCAGTTATGTTAATTATGGAGTAACATTAGTGTGTGCAGTGCAACGTAATGTTCATCCTCAAGAACCCTCACTAATCATTATCCACACATCGTGCCTGCGTATACTGACAGCGCAGGCGTGGATACCATTCCATTAAAAAATTAGATACGCGTTTTTTTTTGATGGGTGAAAATGGTATGGTAACCCCACCTGCGCTAACGGGATATGCTTGCTGAGCACCAGTGAAAAGTGATAGATGAGAATGAAAACAGGCCAGTTAGCCCATTAGGATGAATTTATCTGGAATTAACCATGATAGTTTCCAGGGAGAACCGCGAGAAGGTCGACCTGGTTGGGTATATTGCTAGCAATAGGATTCGCAGTCTCCATTACTAACAATTCCTTTCCCCCTTGTAGATACGCGTTAATTCGGCGTAAAGAGAAAATTCGTCAGTTTGGGACTAGTTCAGGTTTCCCATTACCTACGGGTTACCATTCCATTATTATTTATTAAAAAAAATGGCGACCTATCAGCTGATCTTGATATGTCAGTCTAGATCTCTCCGTTAACTTAGTTATTTAATTTTTAACGTATTTGCTACATTATTTTCTTATTCGACATTCTTTTTACATAACATGAATGAATGAATCTTTACCCTGTGAGTCGAAAAAGTAAAAAAAAAAAACACCGAACTATTCTGAATCTACGTCGAAAGCGCTTGGTAGTTACAACTTCTATACAGATTAATATAAAATACGTATGAAATAATTTTCTCCCCATTCATGAAGAACTATTAATAACTTACGGCTGGGCTGTATGGGCCATGCTCTTTGCCTGTTCATTTTGGACAAATTTTAAAACAAAAACGAGAACCGACGTCGTATGCCATATCTCGTTCAAATCAACTTGTTTTGCATTTATTACAGATGCGGTTTGTCAACTTTACCGCCGATTTTTTGTAACGTTTATTTCGACCGCGTTTAGTCCACTTTCTATATTTACATGTAGATATGTATATCGACAATTTAATCTAGAACTAATTGCATAATTATATAGAAAAAAAAAGCGTATTTATTTTGTTTGTGTACAATGTACATATTGTTTATCTTTATAATCTGTATCATTTGGGGGAAAGGGATTGTTAGTAATGGAGACTGAGAATCCCATTGCTAGCAATATACCCAACCAGGTCGACCTCATCGCGTCTCCCCCTGGAAACTATCATGGTTAATTCCTGATGAATTCATCATGGTGGGCTAACTGGCCTGTTTTCATTCTCATCTATCACCCTTCACTGGTGCTCCGCCAGCGTATCCCATTAGCGCAGGCGTTACCATACCATTTTCACCCATCAAAAAAAAAAATCTGTATCATTCTTTAAAGATAAAGAGTTTACATTCACTAATTTATTCAAAAAAGTCCTAAGAAACATTTGCTTAAAAATATTTAACTTGTATCCTAAATTCCATACAGGTAGAGGTACTATACAGGTACGTAACGAGGACTTTAAATTCCATTGCCAGCAATATACCTTGTCAGGTCGACTTCTACGCGGTTCTCCCTGGAAACCATTGTGATTAATTCTTATTATATTTGTCACAAAAAGGTGAGGAATAGCAGTGTCCCTCTTAAAACATTCCCAAAGCCTAAATACGATTGCCAACCCGCCTGCCAAGCGTGGGAGTCTCCAAGACTTATGTTCAGCAGTGGAGAGTTAAACGCTGATTCTTCACACTAGGCTGACTGACCTGGTTTCATCTTCACCTATCACCACTCACTGATACCCCGCCAGCGTATACCGATAGCGCAGGCGGGGTTACCATATTTTTTTTATACAACTTAGAATGGCAAACAAGCTGACGGCCCACCTGATGGAAAGTAGTAACCGTCGCCTAGAGACATGAGCAGTACCATGGACATAACAGAGTATACTGTTTCGCCCATGATACCCCCCATGCGTTGCCATTCCTGAGGACTCAGGTGTTATTCCTCTGTACCCATTAAATTCACGCCATTATCCACCTTTCAAACCGAAACACAGCCGTACAAACACAACTGCTTCACGGTTGAAACACGAATGGGACAGATGTACCCAAGCAATCGACTTTTGTACAAAGTCTCCCTCTGGTACCATGCCATTATCGTATATTAAAAAAATTCCATACATCATATCCGTGGCGAAGAAACGAAAGCTGTGAAGAATTAAGACATTATTAGTTTTGTTCAAAAATTTACCTAATTCGTGATGAAACGCTCGTTGGAGAAGGGCGGGCGACCTCCACCTTCAACATTATGCAACTTGGCTATCGCAAGTCGGCTAACACGACTTATGGAAGCGTGTTACGCGTGTTCTAACGTTAGTCGGATGAACCGATCGACGTTCATGTGTGGTATTTCTAATTAACATTATGGCGGTTCAAATATTATACATATTGTGGTGTACATTTTTAACAAGTGTTAGTGCTAGTGTTGTAAAATTTAACGGTATGTGTCTAGTAATTTATTTAAAAACACACACACACACACTCACATATATTAATATATAGGTATATGTATAAATAAATATATAATAAATAAATAAATTATGTATAGATATTTATATTTATCTAATTTATTTCTTTATTTTTAATTTTTGCAATGATTACTTTAATTAAAAAAAATCGTAACAATACGACCATAGACATCTCATTTCACTTCTTAAAAAAATATTAAATGTAGAATGTTATAAAATTTAACTTTTGTGCCAGTATTTTTGAAATTCAAAATAATTAAAAATTGGCCTAATTACTGGTTAAGTAAGCCGTAAGCAAAGCTACAAGTTACTCAGCGAGCTATGGAGAGGGCTATGCTCGGAGTTTCTTTGCGTGATAGAATCCGAAACGAGCAAATCCGCAAAAGAACCAAAATAACCGTCATAATCCGAAGAATAGGCAAGCTGAAGTGGCAATGGGTTGGTCACATAGCTCGAAGAATCGACAACCGGGAAGGAAAGTTCTTGAGTGGCGACTACGTATGGGTAAACGCAGTGTAGGACGACTCCCTCCAGTAGATGGAGTGACGACTTGAAATGCATCTCAGGGAGTCAATGGATGCAGGTGTCTCAGGACTGTTCTTTATGGCAGTCTATGGGGGAGGCTTATGTCCAGCAGTGGACGGATAATGGCAGAAATAATGATGTTTTTAGTACCGCGCGTACGTTGAGTCGCACGCACACATACCTGATTATGGTAGCGGAATTAAAGAAAGTGATTCGAATTACTAATATATTAAAAAGAAGATTGTGTATTTTCAGAATATATATATATATCATCATCTTCCTACCCTTATCCCAATTATTATTTGTGGCCGGCGTAATATTATTATGGTTTTATCCATATTACAAAAGGATTTAGGTTATAGTTTTACGACCGGCCGCCTGCCTGACGTCAACCCTCTTTGGAAATGTATATATATATATATATATATATATATATATATATATATATATATATATATATATATAATATTTGATTGATTTCACCAATAAAAAAAATCATGCAAAGAAGAGTTAAAATCTGATATGCCTTATCTTGATATCTAAAAGTGAAAAGTGTTCTATTTAATTGCCTTTTATACTTTGAAAAGTAGAAAAACTAATTAAATTAGCGGGCAAAAGATTAGTATAATATAAATACGAACATAAAAGCCTAACTACTGTTGGCTACTCGCCTGCCAAGCGTGGCAACTTCTTTTTTTTTATACCACTGAGGTGGCAAACAAGCATACGGCCCACCTGACGGTAAGCGGTCACCGTAGCCTATGAACGCCTGCAATACCAGAGGAGAGACCCCCGTTTTGAAGAACCCCATGCTGTAGTCTCTTGGGAAAACCTCGACAGGGAGGTCATTCCATAACCTGAGTGTTCGTGGGACAAAACATCTCTGAAACCGCGTTGTACGCGACCATTTAGGCTGTAGGGTATGAGGGTGAACTCCCTGTCGATGGCGAGCCGTACGATGATAGAAAGTGGCCGTAGGCATCATATTGAACAATTCCTCTGAGCACAATCCGTTGTACAAGCGGTAGAACACGCAGAGTGAGGCGAAATCTCTCTTAAGACTTAAGGGTTCGATACCGCTTGCAAGCCTGGGATCATTGACAATTCTCATAGCTCGTCGTTGCACTAAGTCGAAGGGTTCAAGCTGGTATCTAGGTGCTCCCGCCCATAAGTGACAGCAATACTCCATATGGGCAACTACTGGCAAAGCCCCCTTCATTGGGGTGGCTCATGATGATGATGATTTTATGGCGGACGATGGGAAAGATCTATTCGGCAGTGGACAATTAATGAACAGTTATGTTAATTATGGAGTAACATCAGTGTGTGCAGTGTCTGCTGCTACGTACGTGAGGATTTCCGAAATAAGAAAACAAATTAAATACTCACTGATCACTTCTAGATGGCGTATCAAGATATTCATCAGTTATCAGTTAGTCAAATTAGAATTTCAGGAATGCAATTGTGAAAGCCGCAACCAATTTGGTGTAGTATTGCGTGATGCCGGAATAAACATAGTGTACTTGCAATTCTGTTATATTAGTAATGTAAAAATAAATAGGACACGAATACATTTGAAAGAAAAGGGTAAACAGTACATAATGATGCATCATATATATATATATATATATATATATATATATATATATATATATATATTTCTGGTAAGCTTTAAAATTTAAATAATGCACTCACCAAAAATCAAAAATAGAATATTCTAATTATATTATAAAAATAAACATTAAAAATGCAATTTCGCGTGATTTGTTACCGCCCCGCTTTCAATTATTAAATAAATTCAATTTATTCTATAACAATATAACATTGTGTTGAATATGATAGGAGTTTTAGACTTCTTTTAATGGATGATAATGGAATGGTAACCCCACCGGCGCTATCGGTATACACCGGCGGGGCACCAGTGAAGGATGATAGGCGAGGATGAAGAAGGTCAGTTAGCCCATCGTGACGAATTCAACAAGAATTGTTCACGATGGTTTCCAGGGGGAACCACGTGGAGATCGACCTAATAGGACATATTGCTAGCAATGAAACTGTCAAACTCCATTGCTAACAATCCCATTCCCCCAGGATTTTTAAACTGTACAAGTGCAAAATCACAAGCATGCAACAATTTTATATATTAACAATGTCTTATACGTCATGTATAATTAGGTAATATGTAAGCATGTACATATTTCGACATACACGTACATGTATTAATTAAAAAGGCGATCATTTTCATTGGATTAATAAACGAAAACATATTTTAATTTGATAGTCAGGTGAATTACCTTCTGACGGTCGGTGATAGGTTTTTTAAAAAACGAACACTACTCGTATTTAAGTTCACAATGTCGTTTAATATAATTTTATACAGAGTCTTTATTTAAAATTAGTAATTATATGATATTAATTATATATATGAATCGTGATTGATTCCTAAAATATACACCGTACGTTCGCGACTTAAAACATACTGGCTTCTCACCGCTCTGTGGTATTTCCCTTTTATCAATTTTCTTTGTAAAGTGTGTCTTCATTCTTTCTGGGAATTTGTGTGTGGGAACAGCTATTGTGCAACATGTATTGGTATGTTGTAGTATGGTTTGGAAGGGGTTTGCACCCGTAACAGGTGTAAATCAATGTAATCAGGGAAAATAAGCGTTAATATGCACTGTTTTTTTTTTTTTAATTTATAACATTTTAATACTAAGTATGTTAAAGTATAGTGTAAATGGCGAACATAACACCATATGGCGTTATCTACCAGTTGACCGTAGACAGGAATAACAGAAAATGTAAACAAAATAGAAAAACAAAGATAATATTAATAGAAAGTAGTCGCTCTTAGCGATAAGGTCGCCCATTGTTTTCTCATTGTGATTATTTCTTGTAATTATTTATATTTATAATAAGTTTACTATTGTAATCTTTTGGAGGAAACAATAAAGAGTATCTATCTATCTATCTATAATATTTATGATTGCAATCACGAATTTTAATGACTTATATCTAATTAAATAAACATTCCAGAAACAGCGTTTGCATCTCTCCCACCATTATATGCGTTGGACGATTGGAAACAATGTCAGCGGCCAGGGGACCAGTACTGCATTGTGGATGCTGCGTTGGTATCGCGACATCCGTCCCCCGGGCTCATGTTACTGCAGGTGAGTGTTTTTTAAGTGACTCAGAAGCAAATAAGCTGACGATCTACCTGATAGAAAGTGGCAATTGTCGGCTATAGACATCAACAATTAATTAACATATATATATATATATATATATATATATATATATATATATATATATATATATATATATATATATATATATATATATATGTATATATATCATATTTCTCATCATATCATAACTCTTAAAATATCACCAATAGCCAAACTGTGGTTGCCAACCCGTTTTAATAAGACCCCGTTTGAAAAGTGTTGTCACACGATTGATGTCGGTTTTTTTAGAACACAATTTATTTAGATAAAATTATATTTTGCTTTTCATGACATGCATTTTTTTAAACATTATACATATATACTTATATTTTTATTAGGAAATATCAAAACAGGATTTCCTTTCAAAGGTTCCGGTCAAGTGCGGTCAGCAGCCACACGTAGCCACTCACCTCCAAAGTGAATTTAAATTAATATGGAATGCTTTGGAATGTTGTGGAATGATATAGGAGTTTTAAGCCTATAATTTTACATATACCAAGACATATATATTACATGATATTATAATATCATGTAAATGGATTAAACTATTTTTTTACTTAGATTTTATATACATCTAAAATAAAATAGTAGACTTTACCTACATAGGAGCTATTTAAGAAAAAATCTTTTTTTTATTATTTTGGTACAAACAGTCATTACAAAAAAATTTAAATTGGTTCATAAGGAAAATCAGTTTGGGATAAACCCAGGAATATGTAACTTACATGTAGGTACTCATATTCCAAGGCTCATTTGTTTTATAATCTTCAAAATTTGTTTTATATGTTTATTCCGTTATCATGTAAAAATTGCTGTACCAAATTGAATGCGCTTTATAAAGGTTGAATTTATAATCTAATGTATATTTGGACTTTGTACAAAAGTGTTTCGGTTTGAAGGGTGGGATATGGCAGTGAATTTTCAGGATACAGAGGAATAACACCTGAGTCCTCAGGAATGGCAACGCATGGGAGGTATCATGGGCGAAACAATATACTCTGTTATGTCCATGGTACGGCTCATGTTTATAGGCGACGGTTACCACTTCCCATCAGGTGGATTGTCAGCTTGTTTTCGATACTAAATTGCATAAAAAAATATAAAAAAAAAAACATATATTTATGTTATGAATTGGTATGTCAGCTCTAAGTCTAGGTTTAAGTTTGTAGATGCTTCACAAATAATTTATGAGATGCCTTGACCAGGTATACAATGGACAAACGCATAAGGCAATATTTACTGGCTTGTAAGAATTAGGTATTGTATGCAGTTTAACTAGCAATCCGCCCCGGTTTCACACGGCTAGATAGAATAGTAAAATAAATTATTACTTTAGTTTTAGTAGGTAAGATTTTTCTTTTGCTTCACGGTAGAAATACAATTGGGACAGTATTATTTGAAAAAGAATGCATAAAAGTATATAAATATATAAATAAATTTATGTTATTATTGGATTATACAAGTTTAAGATACCATAAGTCAATGTCAGTCGGAACACAGTAATGGTTGTTTAATTTGTTTATCTTGTATCTAGCCAGTCCTTCAATTGTGATAAATCTCACATAGTTGACAAGGTCAGTGAAACCATCGTGGTTTAATAACATTGAACGCTATGAGGCATCTAATTTATTACGTTATTGTTTATTAATACATTGTTTTTTTGTTTATGTCAGTGATTTTTTTAATGGATGATAATGTAGTGGTAACTCTACCTGCGTTAATGGTATACGCTGGTGAGGTACCAGTGAGGGATGATGCGAAGATGTGTGAATCAGGGGTAGACTGGCAACGTGCGCGTAAGGGGGGAAGGGATTGTTAGTAATGGGGAGGTTAGTCCCCATTGCTATTGATATACCCTATTAAGTCGACCTCCACGCGGTTACCGTGCCATTTGCACCGTTCATAGGCTACAGTAACTGTTTACTATTAGATGGGCGGTATGCTTGTTTGCCACCTTGATAGTATAAAAAAGCTAGTAATATTGAAAGTTTGTAAAGAAATTTGGATGAATAGCCAAAGCGTGAAACCACAAGAGTACAGCGTTAGCTACCATAGACTACACAATAATAAAAAAAAACCGTCATAGAGTAACCTTCTACTTTTTTTTATATAAAGTTTTACAAAACCGTTACAGTTCACAATATAAAATTATTTTGTAATGAATGATAATGGAATGGTAACTCTGTCTGCGCTAACGGTATACACTGGTGGGGCACCAGTGAGAGATGACAGATGAGGATGAAAGCAGGTCAGTTAGTCCATCGTGACGAAATCAAGATTTAATCACTTTGTTTTCCAGGGGGAAGCTCGTGCAGCTATATTGCTAACAATGGGACTGTTAGACCCAATACTAACAATTCCTTTTCCCTAATGAAACTTCATTTAACACGGACTAATATTTCTTCATCATATCAGCCTTTAACTGTCCACTGCTGAACATAAGCCTCCCTCTTGGGGGATTTTGCCAGTAGTTGCTACGCTTGGCTAACTGCGGTTGCCAATCAGGCAGTTAGGCTTTGGTGGTGTTTAAACAGGGACACTGCTGTCCATCCCTTGATCATTAAGCTACTTTACTCGTCTCTTACAACACCCACGGGAAAGGAAGGGGTGGCCTATTCTATACCGGAACTACATGACAAGTATTATAACTAACATTTCTTATTACAGGAATATTCAAAGGAAACGCTAAAACACTACAATAGAACGCAGATTCACCGCGGCGTGTGTGTCACAAGATGTGGCTCTCACGAGAACACAACTGGCGTCTGGGATGCAGCGCAGCTTTGCTTAAATGACAGTCTGCTCAAATATGGTTTAGAGGTACTGACAAGTATCATTATTTCAACAATTCATATACATGTAGGTTTAATATCGGATTTTAGGCTTCGGTATCTTCGAAGGGATACTTTGTACAAAAGTCGATTGCTTGGGTGCCTCTGTCTCATTCGTGTTTCAACCGTGAAGCAGCTGTGCTTGCATGGCTGTGTTTCGGTTTGAAGGGTGGGATATGGTGTGAATTTATTGGGTACAGAGGAATAACACCTGAGTCCTCAGGAATGGCAACGCATGGGGGGTACCATGGGCGAAACAGTATACGCTCATGTCTCTAGACGACGGTTAACATTTTCTATCAGGTGGGCCGTCAGCTTGTTTGCCATTCTAAGTCGTATAAAAAAAAAAGGAAACACCGGAACCTTTATAGGATCACTTCGTTGTCCATCCGCCCGTTCGTCCGTCTGTTAAAGCCCTTTTTCTTAGGAACGCGTGGAAGTATCAAGTTGAAATTAATATCATATACTCAGATCTGTAATGCCTTGAAGCAGTGAAAAAATCAAGCTTCTAAATCGACGCAATCAAAACATACGGCCGTTTATGTACCATTTATATCGCATTTATATTTTTATATTTGCAAAGGGAATCAAAACCTATAGGGTTACTTCCCGTGGACCTAGAATCATGAAATTTTTCAAGAAGCAATGTCATGTAGCATAAGTAAAGGAAAAATCCGGAAACCGTAAATTTGGAGATATTTCACAAATAAAAAATTTTACTTGATGATTTTGTACGGAACTTTTAGTTCGCGAGTTCGAGTCGTACTTGACGGGCTTTTTTTTATTCTGGATATTTAAAAAAAAAAGCCTTAATAAAAGGGAGCGAGGGAACAACGTGTTACGTTACATTGTTTATTTTTAAATAAAAAATAAAACTAGGGAATTAAATCTCCAATGTTAACAACCCTTTTAGTTTATGTTTACAGGGATATCAAAATTGTATTGTACGTCATTTTTTTTTTCGCTGTCAGTATTCGTTGTAGTGTTGTTTTTTTTTTAATGGGTGATAATGAAATGGTAACCCCGCCTGTGCTATCAGTATACACTGGTAAGGCACCAGTAAGGGATGATAGGTGATGATAAAAGCAGGTCAGTTAGCCCACCATGATGAATTCCACTAGAATTAACTACTATAGTTTCTAGTGGGAACCGCATGGAGGTCGACCTAGTAGGGTGTATTGCTAGCAATGGGGCAGTTAGAGCCCATTACTAACAATCCCTTTCTCCCTCGTTAGTGTTGTTATTTGTATGTAAAAATGGTTACTTGGGTGTTCTACGTAACGTTTGGGAGTAGGAGGGGGGTACTGGAACATGTTTCTTCTTTTTGGGTGAAAATGGCATGATAACCCCGTCTGCGCTATCGGTTTACACTGGTGGGCACCAGTGAGAGGTGACAGGTGAGGATGAAAAGGCAGGTCAGTTAGCCCATCGTGATGAATTTAACGATAAATTAGTCACGATGGTTTCCAGGGGGAACCGCGTGGAGGTCGACCTGATATGGTATATTGGTACCAATGGGGAGGTTAGTCCCAACAATCCCTTCCCCCCACTGAATCATGTTACGGCGCGTTACATGGGGAATATAATAGAGGGAGGAAGGGTAAAAAATTATCAAAAATTGCGTTATGTTATATACGTTCATGAGGTTATAAAAAAGAAAATTTCCGCAGGCCGAAGTGTTATCCGTGGACTGGTGCACCACCGCGGGAGCCTCTCCAGCCAGTTCAGGCTCGGCGCTAGCGCTGGCCGCGCTGTGCGTGGTGCTGCTTACGCTCGCCCTCCTCGCCACCACGCTGCACGCGCTCGGCGAACGATGTGCCACATTTAATGGTATAATATAGTCGCATATCGCAATATATTATGTGTATGTTTATATTATACGAATTTATCAAGTATTGCTGTATTTTTCCTCTATTCAATAATGCACCGCCTACGTATTTTTCGGTTTACGCAATGGTTGACTGGTAGAGAACACCGTCCGGTGTTAAGTCCGCCAAATGTACATAGAATTTTACTGTGCATTAAAGTTTAAATAAATAAATAAATATAGTAGGTCGGATGGTAAATGGTTGCCGCAGCCACAGATAATATAGTTAGATAGATAGATAGATACTCTTTATTGTTTCCTCTAAAAGATTACAATTGTAAACTTATTATAGATACAAATAAATTACAAGAATGATATAATACTTTACTTTTTACCAGAGGGAGACTTTATACAAAAGTCGATTGCTTGGGTGGGGACCTCTGTCCCATTCGTGTTTCTACCGTGAAACATTTGTGTTTGCATGGCTGTGTTTCGGTTTAAAGGATGGGATATGGCGTGAATTTACTGGATACAGAGGAATAACACCCAATTCCTCAGGAATGGCAACGCATGGGGGTATCATGGGCAAAACAGTATACTCTGTTATGTCCATGGTACTGCTCATGTCTATAGGCGACGGTTACCACTTTCCATCAGGTGGGCCGTCAGCTTGTTTGCCATTCTAAGTAGTATAAAAAAAAATCTACAACAGCATGCCACATTATGTGCGTGTCATTGACCCTTGTGAATGAATGAATTTAATTTTACTTTTATTTCAGCCGTTATTTGTCCACTGCTGGACATAAGCCTTCCTCATAAGGGGAGTTTTGCTAGTAGCTGCCACACTTGGCAGGCGGATTGGCAACCGCAGTTAGGCTTTTATAAATATTTTACAAGAGACGCTGCTGGTAATCCCCCGTCCTTTCTTAGTCGCCTTACGACGCCCATGGGAAACGAAGGGGTGGCTCATTCTATGCCGGGATCACACGGCGAATGAATGATTGATCAATTTATTGGCCTGAATACAGATTTCTTCTGAGTTGGCAACGCGCGCGTAATACTCTGGTATTGCGGGCGTTCACAGGCTACGGTAACTGCTTATCATCAAGTGGGCCGTATGCTTGTTTCCTACCTCAGTGGTATAAAGAAAAACGAAACTTAAGGAAAATTAGAAGAATAGGCCACCCCTTCCATTCCCGCGGGTGTCGTAAGAGGCGACTAAGGGAGGGCGAGGGATGGGTAGCAGCGTCCCTTTTAAAACATCTCCAAAGCCTAACTGCGATTGCCATTGCCTGCCAAGCGTGACCACTACTGGTAAACCCCCCCCAAGGGGAAGGCTTATGCTCAGCAGTGGAGAGTTAAAAGGCTGATGTTATGAAGATGATGATGAAGTAATTTTAGTCATGGTTGAGGTGATGTTACTTGTAGATCACAATTTTAAACTATATTTGTTTGCAGGCAACAAGTACTTGCTCGCGTTTTCCATGAAACACAACTGGCAGATTTTGACTTATGATCGCTCAAAGCCACGGTCTGACGAGCGAATGAAGTCCATAGCCTGCATCGAGGGTATGAGGTATATAGATTCAATTCTATATTTTTTTTTAATGGGTGATAATGTACATCCAACCAGGTCGACCTCCTCGCGGTTCTCCCTGGAAACTATTATGGTTAATTCCTGATGAATTCATCATTATGGGCTAGTTACCATTCCATTTTCACCCATAAAAAAAAAGGGTGATAATGGAATGGTAACCCTACCCGCGCTATTGGTATACACCGGCGGGGCACCAGTGAGGGATGATAGGTGAGAATAAAGCAGGTCAGTTAGCCCATCGTGACGAATTCAACAAGAATTGTTCTCGATGGTTTCCAGGGGGAACCAAGTGGAGGTCGACCTGATAGGGCATATTGATAGCAATGTCAAACTCAATTGCTAACAATCCTTTTCCCCTCTCAATTCTATATTACCACTCTCATAACTGATAAAAGTTTGTGAGGATGTATAGATGAATGTTTGTTACTTTTTCATGCAAAATCTATTGAATAGGTTTAAATGAAATTTCGTATAGGAAGTATACGAAATTTCATTTAAACCTATTCAACGTATACGATTTATATTTATATTCTAATAAAAATAGGTTACTTTATATATTATATATATATATTTTTAATGGATGATAATGGAATGGTAACCCCGCCAGTCGGGGGGAAAGGGATTGTTAACAATGGAGATTAACATCCCTATTGTTAGCAATATACCCTATTAGGTCGACTTCCACGTGGTTCCCCCTGGAAACCATCGTGAACAATTCTTATTGAATTCGTCACGATGGGCTAACTGACCTGCTTCATCTTCACCTATAATCCTTCACTGGTGCCCGGCCGGTGTATACCGATAGCGCGGGTGGGGTACCATTCCATTATCACCCATTAAAAAAAAACCTGCCAGCGATAGCGGTATATGCTGGCGGGACACCAGTAATGATGATAGGTGAGAATGAAAAGGCAGTTCAGTTGGCCCATCGTGATGAATTCACCTGGAATTCAGTACGATGGTTTCCAGGGGGATCACGTGGAGGTCGACTTGACAGTGTATATTGCTAGCAATAGGACTAGTAGTCCACATCGTTATTAACCCCCCTCCTCCCATCCAATACTTTATATTTACACGGGTAAAGCCGCAAGATACTATTAAAGAGAATAAAGAGAATTAGCAAAGAATAATATATTTTATGTTACAATCAACAACCATATTTGAACATCTAGTTACCATAGCGACCTAAACACAGATATATAATTACACTGATTTAAGATCACTAGACGTGCCACATACTGGAAGTGCTTCCATAACAGATACAATTGATCTTATTATTATAATACAATTGTAAATTGACGACACATGGTACGGACGGTACACATCTCACATATTCGGTGTCAAAACAATAATTTTTAGACATTTTGTTTGTTTGTCTGTCTGTATGTTTGTTCTGGCATCACGCAAAAATTATTGGCATCAATTTGTATTCAAATTCAAATTTAAATCATCTTTATTCAAATAAACTTGTTTACAAGCACTTTTATGTTTGTAAAATATATTTTATTAATTTTTCTTTTATACAACTTAGAATGGCAAACAAGCTGACGGCCAACCTGATGGAAAGTGGTAACCGTCGCCTATAGACATGAGCAGTACCGTGGACATAACAGAGTATAATTTTTCACCCATGATACCCCCCATGCGTTGCCATTCCTGAGGACTCAGGTGTTATTCCTCTGTACCCTGTAAATTCACGCCATGTCCCACCCTTCAAACCGAAACACAGCCATGCAAACACAGGTTGCATGGCTTCACGGTTGAAACACGAATGGGACAGAGGTACCCAAGCAATCGACTTTTGTACAAAGTCTCCCTCTGGTTCATTCAATTCAAAATTCAATTTCAATTAATTCAAATACTAATATATTGTTTACATTGTTTTTTTTTTTAGAGTATTCGGCCTAGTGAGCGTGATATTCTCTCACGCCCTGCTTATATACGTGTACTCCTTTACCGACAATCCGGAATTCATTGAAAATGTAAGTCGATTGATGTATTACTTCTTTTTTTTATACCAAACAGGAGGTAAACAAGCATACAGCCCGTCTGATGGTAAACGGTCACTGTACCCTACCCTGAACGCCTGCAACACTTGTGGTATCACGTGCGCGTTGCCGTCCCTGAACTAGTCTTATTATACCCTTTTTACTCTCTAGGGAAAACTTTGGCAGGGAGCTCATTCCGTAGCTTGAGCATTCGTGGGAGAAAATTACCAGAGGGAGACTTTGTACAAAAGTCGATTGCTTAGGTACCTCTGTCCCATTCGTGTTTCTACCGTGAAGCAGTTGTGTTTGCATGGCTGTGTTTCGGTTTGAAGGGTGGGATATGGCGTGAGTTTACAGGGTACAGAGGAATAACACCTGAGTTCTCAGGAATGGCAACGCGTGGGGGGTATCATGGGCGAAACAGTATACTCTGTAATGTCCATGGTACTGCTTATGTCTATAGGCGACGGTTACCACTTTCCATCAGGTGGGCCGTTAGCTTGTTTGCCATTTTAAGTTACATAAAAAAATTCTTTTGCTTCTTCGAGTTCCACATCTATCGATGGTTGGACAACATAATGACAATTCTAATTTTTGGAGCTGCCGCTTTGAAGAGCGACGTGGTACTACAGCTAAACCACTTACGCATATTCTTCAGCCAGGAGTGACGTCTCCATCCATCCCAGCACTTCTTTTATCAGCATTTTTTTATACCACTGAGGTGGCAAACAAGTACACGGCCCACCTGATGGTAAGCGGTTACCGTAGCCTATGAACGCTTGCAATACCAGGGGTATTACGTGCGCGTTGCCGACCCTGAAGGAACCTCTACATATTTTGAAGTTACTTATTATTGTGAAGGCAACGTCTGATGGGATGTGACGACTTAACCAATTTTGCATTTCAGATGTACGATCAATTCGTATGGCAGACCTTGTTCAACACGCCCATATGGTTGCAAGCTTTCTTTTCCATGTCCGGCTTCCTAACTACCTACGTGATACTCATCACCATGGACGAAAAGCCAATCACCTTTTGGAAATGTCTGATTGGTATCATCAATAGGTACATTAGGTAAGACGAGTTATAATATGAATAAAGGTAGATTTATTTATTTATTTATCATGTATGTACGTATTATATATATATATATATATATATATATATATATATATATATATATATATATATATATATATATATATATATATATATATACATATATCTATGTATATACTCGAAGAAGAAGAATTTTTATATACATATATCTGAATCTCTAATCTGAGATCTACTGACTCTCTGATTTTATGTTTGACCGTGAAACAAGTGAAGATTTATTATATATATGAGGAAGACTTATTGACTGACTGACTGACTGACTGACTGACCCATATATCAACACACAATCGAATTCGCTGAATTTAGAATTTTGAACTTTTCCCGATAGATTCTTTATACTCGTAAAGCATAGATGAACAATACGAAAGAAATTTTAAAAATTTAACCTCTTAACGGAGTAAAATTTCAAAAATCCACACGTACGAAGTCGCGTGCAAAAGCTAGTACGTTATTATTTTTTTTTAGGTTGACGCCCGCAGCAGGTTTTGCCCTATGGTTCATCATATCGTGGTATCCGTACCTGGGCTCCGGACCACAGTGGAATTGGATGGTCACCAGGGAGGCCCACGACTGCTCAGAGAGGTGGTTGTACCACATACTCTACGTACACAACTACCTTGAAATGGGGAAAATGTGTATGGGACACACTTGGTAAGTTCCTTTAAATTATTGCCTTAGGTTAGTAACAGAGTTTTTTGTTCTCCTCCTTCCTTCGTTTGCTTGAGCACCTCTGTCCCATTCGTGTTTCTATCGTGAAACAGTTGTGTTTGCATGGCTGTGTTTCAGTTTGAAGGGTGGGATATGGCGTGAATTTACACGGTACAGAGGAATAACACTTGAGTTCTCAGGAATGGCAATGTATGAGGGGTATCATGGACGAAACAGTATACTCTATTATGTCCATGGTACTGCTCATGTCTATAGGCGACGGTTACCACTTTCCAGCAGGTGGGCCGTCAGCTTATTTGCCATTCTAAGTTGTATAAAAAAATACTTTTTCCTTGCATCGTGTTTCCGAGGTCACCTAAACTACCTCATCCAAAAAACTACTATAGTAACACATCTTTGAGAATAAAACCTTAAATCTCTTGACCCAGGTACTTAGCAGCTGATATGCAACTGCATATCGTGGGATTGTTCCTCATGCTGCTACTGGCCAGATATCGGAAGGCGGCTGTTCTGGTGTTGCCAGCCCTGGTCATCGCGTCAGCGTTGGCAGCTGGACTAGTCACATACTTCAATGAATTGACTCCCATTATTACTGGCCAGTCACCCGAGTAAGTGACTTTTATGTTATTAATTTATTAAGTTTTGTTTATACAAGTTAGAATGGCAAACAAGCTGACGGCTCACCTGATGGAACGTGGTAATCGTCGCCTATAGATATGAGTGCTGCAACCGACAGGTATAATTCTGTAAAACTTGTATGAGAAATTATATATTTAACCCCTTGAAATTCTGAATTCTGTGAGGCGGTTGGTCACTAAACAAAATTGGATACGAAATACTAGATGGCGCTAGAGTCAACACTTATGTTTTTTGTTGAATTACAAAATATTAAAGATAATTTGAGGCAAAATTTGTAAGTTAGCGAATGGTTTTATTTACTTTTAACCGATATAGTAATGATTTATGGTAATTTTTGTCTTTATTCTCTTGTATTTTAAAACTTTGTAATAAACACATATAAGCAAGAAACATTGCGATTGTATGGGTTATAAGTCATAAAGGGAAATATCGCGTATTATCTGTCACATTACATTCATACATAATAATAAAAACCACACGCCAATTTAAAAATTTTACTTCAAATTTTAAAATAATTAAGAAAAACAACAATTCTCGACTTTACCGCCATCTATTATTTATTACCTTTTGTTAAAGTACCAATCACATTAATATGAAATAGATATATAGTACATACAATTTCGTATAGCATTATTTTTAATTGTCAAATATTTACTAACTATTATTATATTATTACATTTATATTCTTTTGAATGGAACAACGAATGTTAAATGAATGAATGTATGAATTTTTATTTACTAAATATTGGTGATTGCTAGTAGCAGATCTTAAAATTAATTACAATTGTTCAGCAATATTTACTATTACATAAATGTGTAAATATTTTTTTTTTTTTTACAATTAATAATATTAATAAAATTGATTACTTTGAATCAATATTATGTTGTTACAGTGTTATGTAGTCTCTAAATAATCTATACTTCTAATAAATTTGTAGAGAGGTCAATTCTGTACATGAAATATATTTCCAAAATAACCATCAGGGAATGATTAGTGATCGATACTGATGCCAAAAATGCAATCAGTAAAATTTTTGTCAGTCTGTCTGTATGTTCGTTATAGAAACAAAAACTACTCGACGGATTTTAACGAAACTTGGAACATTTATTCTTCATACTCCTGGCCAGGTTATAGTATACTTTTCATCACGCTACGATCAATAGGAGCAAAGCAGTGAGGGGAAATGTTGCAAATATCCACCCATGCGACGCCGGGACGGGCCGCTAGTATAATAATAATAATAAAGTATGTAAATTACAATATTATTATATTACTAAAGAATTCACTGTGACGCCATTGTATCTCGAATACGTTGGCTTTCATTAATTGATCGTTTATGTTGTTTCACAGAATTCTACGCACTATATTCGCCGGCACCAAGATTCTAACGATGCTGTACTTACCGTTCTGGATGAATCTATCGGGCTACGTGGGGGGGATAATCACAGCTTTCATTTTACATTACATACAGGTCAACGGTATCAGACTCAATGAGATGAAGGTATGTTATTTGTGAACCTACTTCCAAAAGGATCAGAGGGAGACTTTGTACAAAAGTCGATTGCTTGAGTACCTCTGTTCCATTCGTGTTTCAACCGTGAAGCAGTTATGTTTGCATGGCTGTGTTTCCGATTGAAGGGCGTAAATTTACAGGGTACAGAGGAATAACACCTGAGTCCTCAGGAATGGCAACGCATGGGGGGTATCATGGGCGAAACAGTATACTTTGTTATGTCCATGGTACTGCTCATGTCTATAGGCGACGGTTACCACATTCCATCAGGTGGGCCGTCAGCTTGTTTGCCATTCTAAGTTGAAAAAAAAAAAACTACGATGTTACCTCTGTACCCTGTAACTTAACTGCCATATCCCACTTTTAAAACCAAAACACAGCAATGCAAGCACAGCTGGTTCAGGGCAGATATCTGGGTGGTACAGAGGTACTTACTTTTAATCGCTAATAACTTATGTTCTAGGTAAAAAACATTAGCTCTGGTGGGGTTACCATTTTACCCCATTAAAAAGGAGACAGTATAGACTATAGTAATTGAAGATTGTTTTTTTTAAAAAAAAAAAAATTAAATTGTTGTAAAACCAGTAATTTTGATTACCAAATTAAACTACTTAAGCGATTTGATAATATTTCCATAATGCCAATCTGTAAGGTATTCAGATAAAAAAAACATTTTAAAAATCGTTTTATAACTAACAAAGTTATGAATTGACAAGCATAAAAAATTACAATCGAATTAGGAACCTCCTTCTTTTTTTAAATCCGTTAAAAAGTATCGTCTTTTTTTATACCACTGAGGTGGCAAACAAGCATACGGCCCACCTGATAGTAAGCGGTTACCGTAACCTATGAACGCCTGCAATACTAGAAGTATTACGCGCGCGTTGCCGACCCTGAAGAAACCTCTTTACCCCCCTTTTGAAAAACCCCATGCTGTAGTCTCTTGGGAAAACCTCGGCAGGGAGCTCATTCCATAACCTGAATTTTCGTGGGAGAAAACATCTCTAATTTTGCATTATACGCGACCATTTAGGCTGTAGGGTATGAGGATGAACTCCCTGTCGATTGCGAGCCGTACGATGATAGAAAGTGGCCGTAGGCATCATATTGAATAATTCCACATTTTACCAGAGGGAGACTTTGTACAAAAGCCGATTGCTTGGGTACCTCTGTCTCATTCGTGTTTCAACCGTGAAGCAGTTGTGTTTGCATGGCTGTGTTTCGGTTTGAAGGGTGAGATATAGCGTAAATTTACAGGGTACAGAGGAATAACACCTGAGTCCTCAGGAATGGCAACGCATGGGGGTTATCATGGGCGAAACAGTATACTCTGTTATGTCCATGGTACTGCTCATGTCTATAGGCGACGGTTACCACTTTCCATCAGGTGGGCCGTCAGCTTGTTTGCCATTCTAAGTTGTATAAAAAAAATCCATTCAATTCAATATTCATGTAGTTTAATCCCTTGATGGTTGCAGTGGTTCAACATGCTGTTCCACATAGCGTTGACTCTGGGAGGGTGCGTGGCGATGGCGGGCACGGTGTTCCTCTCTGACACTGCCCTCCCTCTCTGGGCCTCATCACTGTACGCCGCTCTGGACAGAACGCTCATCACCGTGTTCTTTAACATCTTTATGCTGGGCTGCTTCAGTGGATGTAAATGTAAGTATCATTTTTCCTTATTGTTGAATTCGCAATTCGGCTGAATTGCTTTGGGGGTTTTTTTTTGATGGGTGAAAATGGTATGGTAACCCCACCCGCGCTAACGGGATACGCTGGCGGAGTACCAGTGAAGGGTGATAGATGAGAATGAAAACAGGCCAGTTAGCCCATCATGATGAATTCATCAGGAATTAACCATGATAGATTTCAGGGGAAACCGCGAGGAGGTCGACCTGGTTGGATATATTGCTAGCAATAGGATTCTCAGTCTCCATTACTAACAATCCCTTTCCCCCCGCTTTTTGGGGTTAAGTTACGTAATAATTTCACCAAGAACGGACGAATTTTGGAAATATTTTTTTTTCAGTTGACAAGTGTAGTTAATTGACATGACATTCCTGTTGCCAGCTGGCCTGAGGAGTATGCTGTACTGGCGCGGCTTTCACATCCTGGGCAGGTTGTCGTACTGCGTGTTCCTTGTGCACTTCATAATACTCAGGCTGGTTTTTGCTGGAAACCCTCAGTTGGGGCATGGATCCATTTATACGTTGGTAAATATATGCATCCTTACGTAGAGCTAAGAGAATTTAGCAGCTCAGCGCATTAACTCAGCTCAGTCAAATTACTTCAGTATTAAAAAAAAAAAACTAGGTGTTATCTTGCGGAAGTTCATATTACTGGTTATTTAATTAGAATTATTTTGATTAATTTCGATACCATTAGTATGTGTGTGACTGGCAACACTCGAAGTTTGACCGCCACTATTACTACCAGAAGTTTCACAACAACATATAGTCATTAATCTCCGAATGCCATTTTGTTCACGCACGTTTTGCTACACGTGTTTCACCACTAAACGAGGCACCTTCAAGCAAATTATTAGATCGCTGCTCAATGCCTAATGTCATAGAAGGTTGTGTAACTTCTGGTAGTAATAGTGGCGGTCAATCTTCGAATGTTGACAGTCACACACATACTAATGGTAGCGGAATTGAACGAAATAATCGTAATGAAATAACCAGTGATATATTCACCAAGATGGGTATAATTGATTACCTATTCGCGGTTGCAGAGATGTTTTCTCCCACGAACACTCAGGTTATGGAATGAGCTCCCTGGTTCTTCAAAAGGGGGGTAAAGAGGTTTCTTAAGGGTCGGCAACGCGCGCGTAATACCTCTGGTATTGCAGGCGTTCATAGGCTACGGTAACCGCTTACCATCAGGTGGGCCGTATGCTTGTTTACCACCTCAGTGGTATAATTTTTTTTTTTATTTAAATAATAAATTTATTAATTTTTAAACACGTCTCTAATTCCAGATATCTCTGCTAATAACAATCATGGTGCTTTCCATCATCGCCGCTATACCATTCTGTCTGCTGGTTGAACTACCAGCGATAGAGTTGTGGAAGGCCATTACAGAAGGCGACCGGACCGAACGCAAGTCCACCAGCCCTGTTCGCCAGCAACATCGGGAACCTGTCATCCACACCATCATGCCTGCAGTCAAACCCATGGATCTCTTAACTAATGTTCGAAGGAGAAACGAAGTTTAGATTTAAAAAGTATATTTTTTTAACATTGAGGGGGCAGTCGGATAGATTCAAGGATCGATTAGAGATGCCAACTGTCTAATAGCAAATTTGATTTATTTATTTTTTGGAAAACGTACGTAGCTGAATTACAGTCAATACATAATCAAATTTATATCTATGTTAAGCCATTAATCGTTTTCACATTTGCGTAATGACACAACTGATCGGTTTTTATATATGCAAAATACATATATACATATATATATACACACATAAAACACACACACATTATATACATACACACGCACATATACACACATATATAATGATTAAAAAGTTATAAATTTTGATGAGACACCTTTTAGCTTAATATATTATAACAAAACCTTTGTGCCATGATGGTCTTGAGTCATAGTAGCCAGTAATTTCATTGTCTTATCTATATTCTATAAACACAGAGACACACAGAGGTGGATTAAATATCTTTTTTTTTATACAACTTTGAATGGCAAACAAGTTGACGGTCCACCTCATGGGAAGTGGTAACCGTCGCCTATAGACATGAGCAGTACCATGAACATAACAGAGTATACTGTTTCGCCCATGATACCTCCCATGCGTTGCCATTCCTGGGACTCAGGTGTTATTCCTCTGTACCCAGTAAATTCACGCCATATCCCACCCTTCAAACCGAAACACAACCATGCAAACACAGTTGCTTCATGGTTGAAACACGAATAGGACAGAGGTACCTAAGCAATCGAAAATCTTTGAGTACTCTAGACAAAGCACCTCATTGACGCCCCTGCATCAGGATATATATTATACATTTTAATTTATATAAGTTATAATTAGCAATAATAGTAGTAAATATTGAGTAGTTATGAATTATTTATTTAAAAACTAATACATTTATCACATTTATAGACAATTAAAAAAAAAAAGAAAATTAAAAGTTTCTGTGTCTACATTTGTCTTGCCAGGTTATCAATAACATCGTTATAGTTTAAAGATGGCAATAATTTTGTTCAATGTTAAGTGTTGCCAACGAATTTAATTCTCTTATCTGTGATGTTTGAGCGAAGATATTTTTTCTTTCTCTTTAGACAGGAAAATCTCCGTCACTGCAACTGCTAACTGCCGCCAATATGCACATTCTTAAGGCTATATTAATGTTAAAATTGTATAAATATATTTTATATTGTGTAAGTGAGTATAGGTTAAGTTTTTTTCTTTATTTAAAAGTTCCAAGCGCGCGCCATTTTGTTTGCGTTAAGGATAATTCGCTTCTAGGAATACAGCTTGCAAGTATTCTGCTTGATGGATCTCCTCAACGGAGAGGCTTATGTTGATGATGATGGTGATGATGATGAAATTGGGATACAATATAAGATGGAAAAGGACATAGATTATTTTTTGTCCCTGTCAGTAAACATATCCTGGTCATACGGACGACGTCGCGAGTAAAAGCTAGTATTTAATATCTCTAAGGTGATAGATAAGAACACTACAGTACAGGGCGGAAAGGGATTGTTAGTAATGGAGACTGAGAATCCCATTGCTAGCTATATACCTAACCAGGTCGACCTCTTAGCCATTCCCCCTGGAAACTATTATGGTTAATTCCTGATGAATTCATCATAATGGGCTAACGGGGGTTACCATTCCATTTTCACTCATAAAAAAAAACACCACAGTACTACATCGACATAGTGATAGAGAGAGATTAGATATGAATTTATTTTGTTTTACTGAAACAATGTCTGTTGATTATCGTTTCGATAAATAATCTCTGTCTGATATTTTATCGAATTAACCACAGATAAAGGAATAATAGGTACTTACAAACATAGATTTAGTATAAGATCTATGCTTAGAATTGACAGTCCATAAAAGGAAATAAAATACATCGAAATTTTTTCACTATTGGTATTATTTTGTTGAATTCCGCTACCATTATTATTGAGATGATGTTCAAATAGTAATTAAAGTTTTGTTAATTATTTTTTCTTTTACAATAAAGTTTTCAAAAATAATATTGTAATTCTTATTTTTATTTATTTATATTTATATTGTTAAGATTGTTAAGATGAAATTAGGTCAATTGGTCCATCGTGACGGATCATCCGACATTATACAGAGGGGACATCATACTGGGTACAGAGGAATAACACCTGAGTCCTCAGGAATGGCAATGCATGGGGAGTATCATGGGCGAAACAGTATACTCTGTTATGTCCATAATACTGCTCATGTCTATAGGCGACGGTTACCACTTTCCATCAGGTGGGCCGTCAGCTTGTTTGCCATACTAAGTTGTATAAAAAAAAACTGACGCATTTCCTCTCACTAGTATTTACTATTATTACTATATTTATTTTTATTACTAATACTTTTATCTCTCATTAGTACCCCGCCAACGTATACTGATAGCGCAGGGAAGGGGTGATTGTTAGCTAGGGGAAGTTAGTCCCCATTGCTATCAATATACCCCATCGGGTCGACCTCCACGCGGTTCCCCCTGTAAATTATCATGACTATAATCTATCGTTGAATTCGTCACAATTTACTGACTGACAGCGACAATAGCGCGGGCGGGGTTTCCGTTTCATTGTCATCCATTAAAAATAAATAGGCGACACTAGCGCTCAATGACGCGACGAGCTCAACAGGTACTATCCTTAACATATAGTGAACAAAGAACGATGTGGACGGGAACGACTCAATATCGCCGCATACAGTTTGTAACAAAAAAAATAACCTGTGCTTAGCAACTTGTGCAGTCAACTTTTTTTCATATATATAACAATACAAGTACAGCTGCTTCACTGCAAAGACATGAGTGGGACAAAGACACCCAAGCTGATGATTATTGTATAAAGTCTGGCTCTGTGTATTGATATTACATTTTGTTTGATATATCTGTTATTATTTTCACAATATTTTTCTATCATCATCATCATCATCATCTCAGCCATTATGCGTCCACTGTTGACTGTTGGCCTCTCCAGTAGACTGTCCTAAAAACCGGTCCTGAGCCACTTGTATTCATTGACTCCTTGCAATACATTTGAGGTCGTCACTCCATCTAGTGTCCAGCTTGCTTATCCTTCGCACTATGCTGGTGACTTTACTTCTTTTACGGGTATCCTCATTTCGGCTGTCACAAAAGGAAACTTCGAGCATAGCCCTCTCCATAGCCGACTGAGTAATTTGACCCTTTTGCATACTTTGCGTTTCTATATGACGTTCCAACAGGCACATAGCTTAAGTTTTAATGAACAGGAGCATAACTTACTTTAGGAAGTGGTTATTTATTAAACTAGTTATTTTTAATTAGCTGTGATACAGTTATTTAAGAAATGGAATCAGTTATTCAAAAGTGGTTTAAGAACAAAGGCGGCAAACAAGCAAATAGCCCGTCCGATGGTAAACAGTCACTATGGTCTATGGACGTTTGCAACACTAGGAGTGGTTGTGTGTATTTTCAAGTCTAAACAAATTTTAATAAGCTTTTTTAGAAAATTCGTTCTCTAAAGAAAACTTCGATAGAGATTTCAGCGTTACTAGTTAAATTTACATCTATAATTATTTTTCTGGTGACATCACTAAGATAATAAAAAAATAATTTTATTCAATGATGCTGAAATAAAAATAACAGTTATTTTGCTTGCTTACTTGTCACAGACAGAGATAAAAGCTCAGCTCACACGACTGGTCGGCGGTAGGAATGGATGCGAACATCTCGAGCGCGAAAAAGCTACGAAACGCAAAACATAACTAAAGTAATTTTAAGTACTAATACTTACAAAAGTTAATTCTTAAAAAAAAAAAAACAAACAATAACTACTTTATGTTTCGACTCGCTAGTAGTCATACGAGAACATGTTATGTAGTTTTTATAACTAGTTATGTCATGAACTGCCTATTCCTATCGCAAAAACTAATCGTCCTTGAACTTGGCGCCGAGCGGATCGCTGTTTGTTTTGGGTAACAGCTCTAACTAGTCACATTTTATTACAATTGCTCTTAAATCCATATACGGACATAAAATTTAGCTAGTGACGTTGTATTACAATCTGAGTGTCACGAACTAAGTACCGAAGATAATTTGATAATTCATTATCTGTAAAATATAAAAATACGCGTCCACAGTTTCTGTGTTAGTGTGTAAATATTTTTATACCGGCCGAGTACAAAAAATAAGGATGTCGAATCCGGAGCAAATTTTGCGCAAACTACTCGATGACATTGTAAAAGAGAGGGGCTATAAAGATCCCAAAATAAGGGTGAAGCCAATATCGACAGGTGGCGCTAACTACACCTCAGTGCTGTTTCTCATCACAGTGTCGGAGTCGGATCGTGAAGATCTTCAGCTCTTTGCCAAAGTCGGTATCGTTGGCGAGAAAATGCGCTCTCAAATGCCAGTACAGTTTTATGATATCGAACGTTTTGCGTACGAAGACTTATTGAAACAGTATGAGAAAATACAGAATGATCATAATGTACCTATTTCGCAGAGACTACGTATACCTAAGTTTTATGGCTGTAATCCAAATCGTTTCGAAGAAACTATTGTTCTAGAAAATCTAGCAGCACAAGGGTTTACCACCTATGACAGATTAAAGTCCATAGATTGGGACTACGCCGCTAAGTCAGTGGAGGCGTTAGCGAGATTTCACGCTCTCTCTGTAGCTTATAATAAGGAAAATCCTGAAAAATACAAAACAATTCTTGAAACTATGAAATTACAAGAAGATAGCTTTGCCGAACTTTTGGAATCATCGTTTGATAAACAAAAAGAAACAGCTATAAATGGTACATGGGAAAATAATAAAAGTAGACTGAAGAACTATATGGACACCAAAGTGAACGCAAAGACTTTGGTTAAATTTTATTTGTCGAATCCTAAAAATATTCTATGTCATGGAGACTTCAGACCGAGCAATTTAATGCACAGAGTAAAAGAGGTATGTTATATTTATATAATAAAACGAGCGAGGTTTATAATGTCATACCATATCATATTAAAAGAAAAATAGTTTTCTTTTTTTCGCCATTTCACATAAGAAAGAAAAAGAACATTTATTTCAAACACTTATTCAACGATAGTTTGATATCAATAGTTCCTGTTAGATTAAATTTCAAAATTGATTTATTACTTTCTTCAAGAAGATAAACAGGTATATGTTTCGTTGCGCCATCAAATATATACATACGTAGATACATATCTGTCACGCCTGTCTCCCATTAGGGTAGACAGAAACAATGGAACGCCAAATGCTTCGATTCAAACAAACCTCTTTCGCTTCTTCCACATTCACCAATCTTTTCATACACGCTCGCCGGTTACGGGCACTTTTAATTTGGCTCTTCTTCAGCACGTCGCCTATTATAAAATATATTTGGTGTTGTAAATTAAATGAATTCTATAAACCTATTCTAGGATGGTACTTTAGAAGTGATACCTGTAGATTATCAAACGATACGAGGTGGTTCACCACTGGTAGATTTGATGTCCTTTATCTTCACGGGATCGGATGAGGAGTTTCGCAGGCGTCACTTTTGGGACCTGATCGACCATTACTACCGCGAGCTGTGCAGTGCGCTCCGCAGCCTGGAACTTGACTCTCGGGACATCTACCCGGAGGACGAGTTCGGTCGTGACGTTAAAGAGGTAACTAAATGCTCACTTTTAACATCTATTAGTGATATCCCCAAGATAATCCCGTGTAGTTTCGGCATAGAATAGGCCACCCTTTCCTTTCCCGTAGGTGTCGTAAGAGGTGACTAAGGAACGGCGAGGGATCGGCAGTAGCGTCACTGTTAAAACATCTCTAAAAGCCTAACTGCGGTTGCCAATTCACTTGCCAATCTTGGCAACTACTGGCAAAACCTTCCTACGTGGGAGGCTTATGTTCAGCAGTGGACAGTTACAAGGCTGATATGGTTGATGATGATGATGAACATCTCCAAGAGGAGGGAGGATTAATCGTGATGAGATCTAGTTGCTTCACTGTAAGCAATATATCCAACCTCCATCTCTCCCACGGAAACTACAGTCGTTGATTATTAGCATTAATTACAATGAATTCGCTTTGTCTTCGGGCTGCGTAAGTATGACCACGTTTCCAATTTCCGCTCACAACTCAAATGGTTGACCATTCGTAACCGAAAAGACTTACGTATACTTTGCACACTGTTCTCTATCATCAATGATCCTTCCTCTCCTCTCTCCAAATTTGAAAGATAGATTTCAGTTCTTCAAAGACTCCCATATTCTTATTCTTCGGTCATCTCACAATCTGCTACTCGTCTGTAACCCCGTCACACCCTTCATACGCTTTCTGTTTTTACCCAATGGTTAGCTGGTAGAGAATGCCATATGGCATTAAGCTCGCCATTTGTACAAAGTTTTATTGTGCAATAAAGAATAAAATAAATAAATAAATGAATCAGTTGCCTTGACTTTATTCTAATCTGTTAATTCTCACTATTGCTCTGTTGGCGATGTCAATAACGCGGGTGAGCTAATCATTCCATCTTCCTTCATAAATTTTTCCTTAATCTACATTTTGTGATTTCTTTTAATGTCAAATTCAAATAATCTTTATTCGAATAGACTTGCTTACAATCATTTTTCAATCGTTTTTTTTTTTTAATCTACTGTACTACAAACTAAACAGTTACTCTTTTATTCTGCTGATCATAGGCCTCTCCTTTGGGGGGGCTTTGGCAGCAAATGTCATGTCAAGCAGGCGGGTTGGTAACCGCAGTTAGGTTTTGGTGACATTTTAAAAGGGATGCTGCTGCCCATCCCTTAAGCATTAAATTCCCTTAATTGCCTATTACGACCTTCATGAGAACAGAAGAGTTGGTCCATTCGACACCGGAACCAAACAGCTAATGTTATATTATTTGAATAAAATATTATTAATGTTATGAATATTCAATTGCAGTAGGGTTCTACAAAAATTATGATATCGATTTCGGGTTTAACCGAATCATTAAAAGAGCGAGACTTTGTACAAAAGCCGATTGCTTGGGTACTTCTGTCCTATTCGTGTTTCAACCGTGAAGCAGTTGTGTTTGCATGGCTGTGTTTCGGTTTGAAGGGTGAGATATGGCGTGAATTTACTGGGTACAGAGGAATAACACCTGAGTCCTCAGGAATGGTAACGCTTGGGGGGTATTATGGGTGAAATAGTGTACTCTGTTATGTCCATGGTACTGCTCATGTCTCTAGGCGACGGTTACCACTTTCCATCAGGTGGACCGTTAGATTGTTTGCCATTTTAAGTTGTATAAAAAAAAATATAGCAGACAAAAACATTTGTTTTGTAAATCGCAAACGAGTTATGGTTTAGTCGATAATAAGTGCTTTTAACCTTTGCTCATAGACATAGATATTACTAGGAACATCGTGAAATGAATTGTGCTAAAACATAATGTTTCAGTTTCTACCGCTCGGACTTCTAATTGGTCTATTCGCACTGCCCGTTATCACCGTGGACTCGGAAGATGCGCCGTCCATGAGCGGAGAGAATGACTTCCACAGTTTCATGAACATAAAGACCAACTCAATCTATTCGGAGAGATTAAATGGTGTTGTCAACGATTTCGTTAGATGGGGAATAATTTAAATTAATATAATTATAAAAAAAAAATATTATTTTACTTTGGTTTAAGAGCACCTATAGCTTTAGCTTACTAAAGTATGGCAAGGTTGTAAGTATCTTTAACGTTTTATTTCGTTGCCAGAGAACTTCTTTAATAATCAGAAATTTAGAATGTTAACATACCCACATTGATATGATACATCGCTTCTTTTAGGGGTATATGAAAAGAAATTGCTGTTTAACGATAAGGCAGCCTACAGTTGCATAATTATCTTGTGTAATTAAGTTTTGTTATAATATTATCTAATATATAAAATTCTCGTGTCACGGTGTTTGTTACCAAACTCCTCCGAAACGGCTTTACCGATTTTTATAAAATTTTTTGTGCATATTGGGTAGGTCTGAAAATAGGCCAACATCTATTTTTCATAGCCCTCAATGAAAAGGGTGACTCACCCCTAAATATATATTTTTTATTTTTTGACAATTGTTTTTATTTTTATTTTATTATGACTAAGCATTGAAAAATACATACAGCTTCAAATTTTTACCCTTTTACGATCAACCACTGTTTTTTAATTGCGATTTTTTATATTTGAAAAGGGGCTGCAAGATGGCAATCGAAAATAATAATTGTAGTACGAGAAATTTTCATGTATAGTCTATAATTTGCTTTAATATATATATATTAGTAACGGTCATGATTAGCTTCGTACATAGTATTAGGGATGGGTCATATTAGTAGGGCCCGATATCTATATATTGGTTGTCTCAAGACATATATATATATATATATATATATATATATATATATATATATATATATATATATATATATATATATTACCCAATTCTACATAATATGTATTCGCTTGCGAATTATTTGTAATTAGATTTTCAAGTATTGGATATTCAATCAAATTGAAACTTTAATGTGTGCGTAAATTCGATTATAATGCAAGGTAGGAGATGGAGTTAGAGTGTAGCCATACAAACTCTGCAATAGAATCATACAACCTGATCGAGATTAGAGATTAAACTGTGATTGTTCGACTGAAATACTGTAATCAGTAGATATGATTAGTAGTAGATATGAACTTGTTATAAAAAATATATTTACAAATATATTAAATATTATTCCAAATGTTAAAATTAATATAGTTAATCTACAAATAAAAATATTTTTATTTCTTTCACTTGTTTCCAATCTTTCAATTTATTTATTTATTTATTTCACCAGAGGGAGACTTTGTATAAAAGTCGATTGCTTGGGTACCTCTGTCCCATTCGTGTTTCAACCGTGAAGCAGTTGTGTTTGCATGGCTGTGTTTTCGCTGTGTGATTCCTGAGGGCTCAGGTGTTATTCCTCTGTACCCAGTAAATTCACTGCCATATCCCACCCTTCAAACCGAAACACAGCCATGCAAACACAACTGCTTCACGTTAGAAACACGAATGGGACAGAGGTGGCCAAACAAACGACTTTTGTACAAAGTCTCCCTCTACTAAACTGTAGTAAAAACAGTTATTTTAATTTTAAAATACTTAAACTATTTAAATCCGATTTTGATAAAAAGTTTATGGGGTCAATATGGAAGGATATTTTTGAAATAAAAAAGAATTTTTAGAATCATTTTCTAATTGACGGAGTTATGAGGTAACCAATATAAAAAAGACAACCGAATAAAGTAGGTGTTGCCTTATTTTTGATGTCGGTTGAACAATAGTTTTATTTCACACGGGCTTCTGGCGTGAATATGCGATACACTCGTATATTCTATAGTAGTTGTTGCAGATTCAACTTAATATGTGAGAACGAACTCTTTTTAATATTGCACGTACTGGCCACTTATATGTTTTTACTATTAAAAATAAAATGTATTCTGTCGATTCTATTCCAATTATTCCAGACAAATTGTCATACTGAAGATTAGGCAACATGGTCTCCGACCTTAGTCTGTTCCATAGCGGAACAAACGTATTAAAAAATCTATTCTAAATTTTTTTTTTATACAACTAAAATGGCAAACAAGGTTTCAAAGCTGTTTTCTCTTATATTAATACAACATTCAAGGAGCTATAAGAATACTTTTTTTGAATCGCAAGACAATGATTTTTTATAATTACTTATTTTTTATTTGATAAATCCACTGGTTTAAGAAAACTCAAGAAAAGAAATTTATGAAAATTGAAGCGACATTAGAAAAATAAAATTCCAGACAAATTATCATATTGAAGACTAGGCAGCATGGTCTCCGACCTTAGCCGGTTCCACAACGGAACAAACGTACTTAAAAAAAAATGGCAAACAAGGTGTTGTTGAATAAAACATGTTTTGGTTTTGAAATAACCGGTAGGTATAACTATTCGAACTTATCTTGTGAAATTTATTTATCTTTTATAATATCTATATTGCGTTGATTTGGACATGTTGGGAGTTGGATGATAGGCGAACGTGTCCATACATTTTTATATACATACTTGATTCTTAATTTTTTTTATACAACTTAAAATGACAAACAAGCTGACGGCCCACCTAATGGAAAGTGGTAACCGTCGCCTATAGACATGAGCAGTACCATGGACATAACAGAGTATACTGTTTCGCCCATGATACCCCCATGCGTTGCCATTCCTGAGGACTCAGGTGTTATTCCTCTGTACCCAGTAAATTCAAGTAATTCAAATTTATAAAACGGATGTTGAAAATATATGTATATTATTTATCTCGTCGTCCTTATAAATATATAATAGTTTATTACATTTGCATCACAATTATCGCAGTTTTCAACAATAGTAGTATATATAGTAAATATAAGCTGGACAAAAAAACTAACGAACGAGGAAGTCCTAAAAAGAGTGAACGAGAAGAGAACATTGGTTGAAATAATAAAGAATAGTAGGGGCAAAATGCTGGGCCACCTTATACGACATGACGATTTTTTTAAGAGCACAGTAGAAGGAAAGATAGAGGGCAAAAGTGGAAGAGGAAGACCGAGGAGTAACTACATGGGACAGATAAAGGAAACACTAGGCGTCATGTCGTATAGGGAGATAAAGGATATGGCCTGGGATAGAGCTGGCTGGAGGAAGATGCATGAATTAGTTGCACCGACAAGAGGAAACTCTTAAATGAAAAGGAGAAGAGAGTATATAGTATTTATCTATTCAAAATTATAATATCAAGGCGTTCAAGTAATAATAACTTCAACTGTGTACATACTAATTGAAACGATCGGTAGGAAAGTATTTCGCTCCATTAGCTCACCTACCTACAGTTACCTACCTACAGTTCCAAAAAATGCGCTATCCCATTCTCTGCTTCTCCCAATTCTAGATTATTCTAACACTTGTTTTGATTGCTTATTTGGATTTTAAGGGAGACCAGCTACTTGACGTAAACTTGAGCGTCTACAAAACATTTTTATCGCGTTTACTTTCCGTCTTAGAAAATATCATCATATTTCCTTGTTTCGCGCTAAGCTCAAGTGGCTTCCCATTCGTTTTCGTTGATATACTCACATTCTTTCACTACTCCATAATATAATAAGTTTTTAATGTTTCGGAGGAAATAATAATAAAAAAAAAATACCTATCTACTAGGCATTCCTTTTTTTCTACGTTTTTATTTTTTTCTGTAACACGTTATAAATATCACACAGCATGTTTTTTACCGACGTTAAATGTTTTAGAAAACATTTAACGGGTCAGCCTTAGGGTTATTTTTTTCATTTATAGCTAAACTAGCTACTAGCTAACGGGATGAAAAACATAATGTCTTTTCCGTACCATATAGTATATGTATACTAAATTTCATAGTAATTGGTTAATCTATTAAGACGCTATAAAGTAATAAACAAACTCGTTTCCACAACTGTAATATTATTAATGATTGTAAAATCATAAACTTCTAAAATTTTATAATTAGTTTTTGTCCATTTACTTACATTCAATGTGCGCAGAGCTCGTGAAGACTTCGATGCTGGCAAAAGTGGGGGCAAAGATAGAGGTGGTCGTACACAAATATATGGTAAGACAAAAAACATAACGAAAATCATAGCAAGTTCATAAAATTCCCATTATATTTATAGAAATCGTTAAAAATTAACATTAGTTTTAAAAATAATACACTCTAAATGATCATATTATGTCCCATCTGGCGTAATCATTGATGATTCCTCTCATTCTTTCAACATAACTGGAGCTGATCTTTGTGTTCAAAACTGTATCGAGATCTATTTCACCGTCCAGCGCGGGCGCATCTTCAGTTTCTACAGTAATAACAGGAAGCAAGATTATGCCAATTACGAGGCCGAGTGGTAAAATCTGAAAAGATGCGAGAGAGATATATATTACTTATTATTACTATCGCTTAATCAGAGCTTAACTCTTCTATTTACTAGAATGGCAAACAAGCTGACGACCCACCTGATGGAAAGCGGTAACCATCGCCTATGGACATGAGCAGTACCATGGACATAACAGAGTATACTGATTTGCCCATAATACCCTCCATGCGTTGCCATTCCTGAGGGCTCAGGTGTTATTCCTCTGTACTCTGTAAATTCACTGCCATATCCCACTCTTCAAACCGAAACACAGCCATGCAAACACAACTGCTTTACGGTTGAAACACGAATGGGACAGAGGTACTCAAGCAAACGACTTTTGCACAAAGTCTCCTTCTGGTACGCGAAGGTTTGTTTTTTTTTCATTGTAGTTTTCTATTTTGCAATGAGATCATAATCAGACCTTCACGTAGTCCCTCTGAAAAATGTTGTGGTCAGTTCCTTATAAATTTAACAAGATGGGCCAACTGGCCTATTGTTATTCTCGTCTTTACATGCTCCACAGATACCTATGGTATACTTCGTAAGTTGCTATTTTTAAAAACAATGGTGTTATGTCTTCTACCCTGTAATTGTATCGCTATATCCCAATTTTTAATCAAAACACAGCTGCTTCATGGCAGAAACACAGGACGAAGGTATCCAAGCGAACGTCTTTTGTACAAAGTCTCCTTGTTAGACTCGAAAGTCTGATGAATTCTGAATCTCCCATACTATTAGGATCTACTTTGCATGGGCCGATTTAACATATAATGGGAAGTTTTCATTTTTTGTCTTTGCTTTCAGACCCATGGTCAAAAATACTCAATTTAGAACTGTACAGTACATAGAAAGAATATTTCATTAAAAAGATGTTAATGAATCTATCAAAGAAGAAAATAGTAGTTACAGACCTCTTTAACATCGTGATGGAACTCATCTTCAGGGTAGACATTCCGAGGGTTACGCCCAAGACTGCGGAGTGCGTTGCATAGCTCACGGTAGTAATAGTCGAGCAGGTCCCAGAAGTGGCGCCTGCGGAACTCCTCGTCCGATCCCGTGAAGATGAAGTATATCAAATCCGTTAGTGGTGTACCGGTGTGTATAGTTTGGTAGTCTACTGGTATCACTTCCATAGTACCATCCTGCAATTATAATATATTATATATATATACTCTTTATTGCACTAAAACATACAGTAACAACAATAAGTTAATAACATAGTTAGCAAAGGCGAGCTTATCTCTATAAGAGATTTCTTCCAGTCAACCTAACGCAGTGGCATAGGAAGTAGTGAGTGGGCAGTAGTAGTGCAAGACAGAAATTATAATAAACATTTACATAAATTACAAATCATTATAACTATATATATATATATATATATATATATATATATATATATATATATATATATATATATATATATATATATATATATATATATATATATATATATATATATATATATATATATATATACAACGATGACACTCTTCTAGTAAATTTAAACAAAATTGGAAGTATAGAACGATTATAATTTTTTTTTGAAGGAACTGCTAGACGGGCTATTCTGAATACCTACGGGAAGTTTATTCCACAGCTGTACAGAACGATATGCAATAACATTACTGTTCAGTGTATAAACTATTGATTTAATGTCATGTTGATATGGATGGTTAGCTCACCGACATACTTATGGCACAAACAGTTGCTAACTATGGAGACTGGTATACAATTTAATTTTATATCGAATTTTATTCTATGTCGGCAATATGTAGTTACACAATTCTAAACATGTAAATTCGGTAAGCCATTCTTTTCAACAGAAACTGTTTTTCAAATTTATTGATAGAAAAAATGACAAGTCGCAACTTTGTAAAGTACTATTATTTTTTAATTTGCGATTCGATCTTGCGTTTATTAAATACATTAGATCCCTACCATATACTGTCACAAAATTTATTCTAAGTGTAATATTTTTTTATTTATTTTTTTCACACTTTATTGCACCAACATTACAAGATTTGTTAATTATAGAGTACATAATAATAGAGTTGTCTAAAATAAACATATTTTTTTATGAATCTTCAGTAAATTACATTTTATGCACATTTTGTATTTATAAAAAATGTTAAGTATTTGTGTGTAATTCACATAAGTAGCATACCTTATTTTCCCTGTGCATTAAGTTACTCGGTCGGTAGTCTCCGTGGCATAAAATGTGCAGACGCCCTGGTTTATAAAAATTTACTATTACGTCCAGGCTCACTTTGCTTTCCAAATAATTTTTCAGTTTGCTTTTATTATTTTCTGACGCTGCAGCTATGGCGATATTTTGATACTTTTTCAAACCTTCTCGGATAAATATAGAAATGGCGTCCACTTGAAACTTCATCATATCCAGAACACGTTTATATTCCTCTGGATATTCTTCACTATAAACTATGGAAAGAGCGTGGAACTTCGCCATGGATGTAACAGATTTGGAGGCGTACTCCCAATTTATGGACTTAAACCGATCGTAAGTAGTGAAACCTTTCGCCGCTAGATTTTCAAGCACGATAGTTTCTTCGTAAACGGTCGGATTATACCCGTAGAACTTGGGTATTCTCAATCTCTCGGCAGCTGGTACTTGGTGGTCGTTTTGTATTGATTCGTATTTTCCCAACAGTTCTTTGTATGCGTACCGTTCAATGTCATATATAAGTACTGGCATCTGTGAACGCATTTTTTCTCCAACGATACCGACTTTGGCGAACAATTGCAAATCTTCATTTCCAGGCTCTGATACAGTTACGATGAACAGCTGTGAAGTGTAGTTAGCGCCGCCCGTTGATATTTGTTCCAAGTTTAATTTAGGATCCTTATAATTCTTATTTTCAATAATTTCACCGAGTAATTTTCGTAAAATTTGCTCCGGATTGGACATGTTATTTGTATATTCGGGATTTATATCATAGATATAAAAATATACTGACATAGAACTGATAAAGACAGCATTTTAAAGAAACCTTGTCAAAGATATAACGTATTGTTATCTGTCACATGATATTTACTTTTATTAAACACTATATTATCGTTACTATGAAAGATATTTAACACAGAAATAATGCTTTCTGAATATTCACTTTTCAATTTAATATTTTTTATACCATAAAGTTAGCAATCAAGTATGCAATTCGTTTGATAGTATTTAAACAGTTACTATCGCCAAGCGTGGATCCACCGTTGTGGTCACGATGGGCATGCTCACAACTCTAATAGACTGAGGGGGAAGGGAGTGTTGGTAATGCAGACTACCAGCCCCATTGCTAGCAATTTACCCTGTCAGATCATATCTTAATAAACCTTTTTTATTAATCTAAGTAGTATTAAGTAATAAGATATATATATATATATATATATATATATATATATATATATATATATATATATATATATATATATATATACACACACACACACACACGCACGCACGCACGCACACACATACACACAAGAACAAGCACATATATATGAGCACATTTATTATCTATATTATATTTTTTTTAGTATTATTGTATAAAAGTAAAACAAAGTAAAATTTTTAATGCTGATTAAAAAAAAGAAAAGTAAATTGTAATGATTATGAAATTTAATTATTGTTATGAAAGAGCGGTTTCTCCTAACACAAGCAATCTTTGTTTAACAGGAGATACCAAACCCTGTAATGTAACTAACTACCTTTGTATAAAGAAATAAATTTAATAATAATAATTTAAATTATTATTATTAAATTTATATACATATATATATATATATACATATATATATATATATATATATATATATATACATATATACAAATATATACAAATTCGCAGATAGTTACGAAAACAAAAATAAAAATAAAAAGAATGTGATTGTGCTAATTAGACACAAATTACAAATATGTTCTATTATATAACAACTTGTTTAGATAAAAGTTCTTAACTTTTGTTTTAAAACTAGTTAGGTATTGACGATATAGATATATGACGTGGTTCCGCCTGTATTATGAGAATCATCATTGGTCATCACATTTAAGTTATCACGCTTATTATACCTACCAACTTGTAGATAATTGCATAAACAGGTTATAAAACGACAAAACCCAAAGTCACCTACAAATGTAAAGATTCTATGATAAGCTATGCAATACACGAGTAATTTTGTTACGCGTTCGTATTGAAAAAAGGTATTTCTTTTTCCTTGTTTTTGTATAATTATCTACTTGTATGTACCGTAACTTATGTATGTACACTGCAAGCATGTACGGTACATATATACTCATAAAGTTGCACTATTTTTTTTAATGGGTAAAGATGGAATGGTAATCCTGCATGCGCTATCGGTTTACGCTGGCGGGGCACCAGTGAAGAATGACAGGTGAGGATGAAGGCAGGTGTGTTGGCCCATAGTGGCCAATTGAACAAGAATTGTTCACGATGGTTTCCAGGGGAAACCACGTGAAGGTCGACCTAATAGGGCATATTGCTAGCAATGGGGCTGTCAAACTCCATTACTAACAATCCCTTTCCCCCCGGCATTATATTGCATTATAAGGTGTATTGCTAATAATGGGCATATTAAACCTCATTACTAACAATTCTTTTCTCCTCGCGTTCCACAGCTGGGCGTCCACAGAGTAAAACTACGTTAGGGATCCGGCTAGATATAGAAGGGATAGAATTCTTGAAAATAATATATACTCACTGACAATGTAAAATTCTACAGGTGAAAGAATTTTGAAAAACGCTTGAGTAGTTTTTGAGTTTATACATTACAAATAAGTAATAAAATGTTCCTATATATAATATTAGAATAAATTTATCAATACTCCACTCAATACACACGCATGATGACTGTCGATTTCCCCCACCACGCCGAATTATGAATAGATTCAAATATTTATATTTTTATCTTAAAACACGATATACCGTTTATGACGCTGTGTAACCTTAGTAGTAAAGATAATTTGATAGCTCATTATCTGTTATTTATATAAAGAAGCTTAACAGTTCCTGTTTTAGTATGTAAATATTTTATACTGCAGCGTTCGTACATATAAAACGATGTCGAGTCCGGAGCAAATTTTGCGCAAATTGCTCGATGACATTGTAAAAGAGAGGGGCTATAAAGATCCCAAAATATGTGTGAAGCCAATATCGACAGGTGGCGCCAACTACACCTCAGTGCTGTTCCTTGTCACAGTGAAGGAGTCTGATCGTGAAGATCTCCAGCTGTTTGCCAAAGTCGGTATCGTCGGTGAGAAAATGCGCGCTCAAATGCCAATACTCTTTTATGATATCGAACGTTTCGCGTATGAAGATTTACTGATAAAGTATGAGAAAATACAAAACAAGTATGATGTGCCTATTTCACAGAGACTACGTATACCCAAGTTTTATGGCTGTAATCCGAATCGTTTTGAAGAAACTATCGTTCTCGAAGATCTAGCAGCACAAGGTTTCACTACCTATGACAGACTAAAGTCCATAGATTGGGACTACGCCGCTAAGTCTGTGGAGTCGTTAGCGAGATTTCACGCTCTCTCTATACAATATGGTATAGAATATCCAGAAGAATACCAGAAGCGTCTTGAAAGTTTGAAATTTCAAGAGGATGCCTTTGTCGCGGTAATGGAAACATCATTTGAGAAACTAAAAGATAGAGCTTTGAACGTAACATTGGAAAAGAATAAAAATAGATTAAAGAAGTATCTAGACAATATCAATGCGAAGACTATGCTAAACTTTTATTTATCGGATCGCCGTAAGATTTTATGCCACGGAGACTATCGACCGAGCAACTTAATGCACAGAGTGAAAGAGGTACGTAAAATTTGGCACTACACAACAAGCATTTAATATTAGGAAGCATTTCATTTTACGAAATGTCTCCTACAAGAATCGAGCAATCCTCCATCGTTAAGTTTTGATTCTTTTTCCATCTTTTATTTATATTTATTTATTTATTTATAAAAGACACACCAATAATATGCTTACAACAATTAAGCAGACAATGTACAATGATATAAATAAGTAAAAAGTGAAAAACTACTATTAAAAATGCTTAAATCTAGGTTTACTTGAACAAAAACATCTCTCTCCTCACTACAAAGCTTAAGGCCATATAAACACATCAATTAAAGGTGTATACAGCTATCACAGATAAGCGTCAATGTATACTAAGTAACAATTATATTAGAGAAGACCTAACTACCAATATAAAGAATATAATATATAAACTTAATATATATATATATAAAGAATTAAATCTTTTTACTATAAACTAGCAACACCCTCCCCAAGAAGAAAAGCTATGTTCAGCAGTGGACAGTTAATGTAATGTTATGATGACTGTAAACTTAAGTAGCTAAACAAAACTCATCCGAAGTTGATCGCGTTGATTTTAAGTTAATATTTGATTAAATTGTAAGAAAACTAACTATATTGTATATTTTTGAACAATAGTGGCAATTCTTGAATTCTTAGAGCATTAGAAAGCAGCTTATTTCGACAGTAAGTTATTTTTATAAAAATGAATGTAAATATTTCAGGACGGCACTCTGGAAGTGGTACCTGTGGACTTTCAAACAATTCAAGGCACTGCACCGCTGATAGATTTGATGTACTTCATCTTCACGGGATCGGATGAGGAGTTTCGCAGGCGCCACTTCTGGGACCTGGTGGATCACTACTACCGTGAACTGTGCAGCGCGCTCCGCAACTTCGAGCTCGACCCCCGGAACATTTACCCAGAGGACGAGTTCAATCGTGACGTCAAAGAGGTCTGTAACTATTTTTTTTATTAATAGGTTAAAATCGAAGTTATTCTTTTAACGGCCCTAAAAAGTGAAATTAAATATTTTTAATAACTGTTATTGTGTTCCTGCTCTGACCTTGTTTTATATCCATTGTCACATTACGGTTTTAAGAGGAAAAATTGAAAATTCTGTCATGCTGGCTAATGTAAACTTTTTTGTCCCAGACAAATGTACTCGTGCTAGCTCGTCACGTGTTATTTGCTGTGCCTAGGGCTACAACAAATTTGCCCCATCGCACACCTTTCATTAGAGCACTTGTTTTATTAAATTATATTTCGAATAGAGATACTGATCTCTTTACATGTGTTGCAACACTAAAATAAAATTTATATTTTATGTAATATGGCAACAATCGCCCTTCTCCCCGCTACATCGGAAACAATACAGTGCTGTGAACAAATTTTGCATTTTATTTAAAATATCACCATATCATCACGCCAGCTTCCTTCAAAGCAACCAACGCACATTCCGCTGCTGCTCACATGTTCTCTGACGAAATTAACACAGGCTGTAACGGTTTATTATTTATTACTATAAAATCTTACTACTGTTATTTTTTTTAATGGGTGAAAATGGAATGGTAACCACACCTGTGCTATCGGTATACGCTGGCGAGGCACCAGTGAGAGATGACAGGTGAGGATGAAGGCAGGTCAGTTAGCCTATAGTGATCAATTGAACAAGAATTAACCACTATGGCTTCCAGGGGGAATCGCGTGGAGATCGACCTGATAGGTTGTATTGCTAGCAATGGGGCTGTGAGTTCTTATTACTAACAATCCCTTTCCCCCCCAATTGTTGTTTGTTTTACCATATCGACGTATCCTGTAATGAAATGGAAACAAGAAAATAAATAAATAATTTATTTGGCGTGATGTTTGGTAAATGGCGGTAGTCAGCAAAACAGGTCCGTTTACACTATTATAAGTATCTGCATTGATTATTATTCTATTTCAGTTTCTACCATTCGGTCTCCTAGTGGGAATATTTTCACTTCCAATCATTACCGTGGACTCGGCGGACGCACCATGAATGGACGGCGAGAACGACTTCAGCAGTTTCGTTAACACGAAGACCAGCTCCTTGTATCCGGCGAGGCTCAACGGAATCGTCAACGATTACGTCAGATGGGATATTATTTAATTTAAAATCTTTGTACTTAATTTATTTGACGTTGATAAATATACGAATTCATTGTTATTTGTTGTCTTAATTATTTATTAATGGAGGCGTAATGTGTTATATCAATGGGCTTTTCTATGATATATATATATATATATATATATATATATATATATATATATATATATATATATATATATATAATATAATCCTGTTCATGTCATCAGCTTGTTTCTATGTCATATTGTCAAACACAAGGCATGCTGTGGTTGCCTATAAATGTAAGAACAGTGAGATCTGATCTGCCAGTGTATTGTATTAAAATTTAGCTTTATTGTAGCTGTATCTTATGTCGGTAATCCTAAATAAATAAATAAAAATAGTAATTATTAATTTACATTAAATTCTATATTTTATGAATAACTGGCTGACGCGGCGACCATGGGGGGAAGGGATTGTTAGTAATGCGGACTATCAGTCTCATTACTCGTTTTTTTTTTGATGGGTGAAAATGGTATGGTAACCCTGCCTGCGCTAACGGTATACGCTGGCGGAGCACCAGTGAAGGGTGATAGATGAGAATGAAAACAGGCCAGTTAGCCCATCGTGATGAATTCATCAGGAATTAACCATGATAGTTTCCAGGAAGAAACGCGAGGAGGTCGACTTGGTTGGGTATATTGCTAGCAATGGGATTTTTAGTCTCCATTACTAACAATCCCTTTCCCCCCTCTCATTACTAGTAATATACCCTGCCAGGTCAACCTCCACGTGGTTTCCCCTGTAAACCATCGTGCTGAATTCCAGGTGTATTCATCACGATGGGCTAACTAATCTGCTGTCATCCTCACCTATCATACTTCACTGGTGTCCCGCCAGCGTATACCGTTAGCGCAGGCGGGGTTACCATTTCATTATCATCCATTGCCCCGGCGACCTTCGTACCGCTTTGACTTCTAAATTTCTCTTTATAGGTTTACTTACAAAAGTAATTTGTAAACGCACCCTGTTTGACAGGCAAGAGCAATTTGTATGAGTGAATAAAGTTGTTATTTTTATTTATTTATTTTGTTATTGTAAAATTGTTGTTTGTTTTCCCATATCGATGTATCCTGTAATGACATGGAAACAAGAAAATAAAATATAATTAATTTTGCTATTAATTTTAATTTTACTATTTTCCATGCAATTTCTTGATATTTTCTCGCCTTTTAGACCTTCCTTGGATTTTTAAAAATATTTCTAACCAAAATTAGCCAATTAACAATTAAAAAATTATCCCATCGATTCAGCCGTTATCGAGGTTGAGTGTGACTAACAAATTTCCTATAAATTCATAAAAATTTTTACATTACAGCATTTTTTATTTAAGAGAATATAACTTGAAGGTAAGATAGAAGGAAGGAGATGAAGAGGGAGACCAAGATATAGTTACATCAGACAGATCAAGGAAGGAGTTGGTGTCGTGTCGTATCAAGAGGTGAAGAGACTCGCTGAAAATCGTAGTGAGTGGCAAGAGCTCCACCGAAAAGAGCGCAGCTCTTAAATAGGATAGACAGATAGAACCTGTTGTGATAATGTAACAAATAAATAAATAAATACTAGTTAATTAAAGCTAATACAAAGCATAATATACAGGCATCCGTTGATAAAAAAAAAAACAGTTTATAATGTTTCAATATTAATAAGAACGCGATGCGTTTGCAATAATGTTTGCACAGTTGGTAGCACTGTGCAAATTTTATATCAAGTGTATTTTACAAACTGTCCCCAGCCCAATATATCATCATTGTGCCATCATCTTCCTACTTATCCCAATTATTATGTGGGGTCGACGTATTATGTTTTTTTTTTCATCCATTCTTCTTTATTCGAAGTTATTTCCGCATTCACTGATATTCTGGCCATATCATATTTCACTCTCCCATTCTACTCTGTACAACAACCATTTCCGCGTTTACTCTCATTCTGGCCATATCATATTTCACACAATCCATCCACGTGTTTTTAGGTTTTACATAATGAAAAGGCTGAGCAAGACCTAAAAAGATATGGAATAAATCTTTTCACAAGAGTCGGTAAGGCGTGTCGGTTGGTTCTGGACTTATTTATTTATTTATTTATTTATTCATTAGTACAAATATGTGTACATGGCGGACTTAATGCTAAAAGCATTCTTTCGAATAAATATATATAAATAACAAATATACTGATACATATATGACATATACTATATTATACACGAAATTACCTTACCATCGGTTGTTACCTCTCTTCGCTGCCACTTATCATCAGTCGAACCTAATGGTTGATTACCAAAACTTTTCTTTATAAATAATACCTGTAACTAGTTTTCACACGCGACTTCGTCCATGTGATATTTTTTTAATAACGGAATGGTAATCTTGCCTGCGCTAAAGGTATACACTGACGGGGCACGCAAACGATATAAATGGGGGGCGAGAGGACCATGTGGAGGTCGGCCTGACAGGGTGTATTGCTAACAATGGGACTGGTAGTCCGCATTATTAACAATTGTCATACTGTCTATTGTATTTAAAAATATCTCTCAGACACTCGCTCCGTAACAATTCACGATATAGGTCTTTGAGAGTTTTTTTTTATAAGTTTGTTGTATACAAAATGGATTTTTTTTTATATATTATATGTAATATTACTTTATAATATTTACTGTTTATAATTTACACAGATAAAAATGGAGATAAACGTGCGGTAATTTTTTTTATTTAACTAGAATGGCAAACAAGCTGACGGCCCACCTGATGGAAAGTGGTAACCGTCGCCTATAACCCTTTCCTAGCGAATATACCAAAAATAATGAAAAACAAAGTTTTTATGATTCTGTATGGATAAGGGGTAGTAAAGAAAACTAATATTTTTTTTTCAGATTTATTTATTATATCTAGATACTATTTTCGTAACCTAGACTTATAAGTACCATCAGAAACTTTAGGTAAAAAAAAGACTGATAAAATAGAAACATTAGATATTTATTTTTGGCTCAAATAATAATAAAATTAAAAAGCAATTATACATTAACATCGTGATATTCTGTAAAACAATTCTTTTTTTTTATTTATGCACAAAAATGTATTGCAGTGAGAACATTTTGAGTGAGGTTCTGACTGCACTTTCTTCATGCTGCATACTTCACATCGCCCTCTATTTGGCACAAACGTAGGCCAATGTACACCGCGGTTTCCTAATCGAACGTCTTTCAACGTTGAGAAGCCAGTTTTGCGCCTTTTAGATGGCCCAGGACTAAGCACAGGGTCTTTTGATATGAAAGGTCTGATTTTATATAATTTATCTTTGCAATTGGAAGGCATTTGCGTGTTGTCATTGCAATGAAGATGGCTCAAAATTGCTGCAAACCTATCTCTAGGCATAGTTTTACAAATCAAGGGGTTATTCAAATCAAGTGCCGATGAATAATGGTCTGTCCATGAAGGCCGAGTGTTGTACCCCATATAGAAGTTCATTCCGATAAAAGCCAGTAGTTCTTCTTTTTTCAAGTTGAGAAATTTATTTCTTTGTGTTGCATATAAATTACTTTGATACATAATATTATCCAGTACATCACTAATCAGGACTAAAAAAATGTCAGTCGGCGTAGTGCATTCAGCAAAATATTCGTCAACGACCCCCATGTTTGCAGAATATTCTGGTAAATACGTTTCCACATCACGTTTCTTCCATTTACGATTAGGCTCATGTTTTGTTTTTTTGGATTGTGCATCTGTTGACGTAACAGTTTCCTGAGCCGGTAAATTATCTGGAATAGTGTTAGGAATAGAATATACAATTAGCTCTTGGTCTATTTCCCTACTAGGATCTTCTGTCTCATATCCTGTAGTAGGTTTAGTTTGGCTCAGCATATATTCTTCTAATGCTGCCTCAAAATTTTCATCAAAATTGCTAGTTGAGGGTAGTCGTTCTTCGCGAAAGGTTTCTTCGTCAGAAAATTCCACATCTGAAGTGTCGGCACAGTCTGGAAGATCTTCCATAAAAAGATCTTCTATCAAAGCTGTATTCTTTGAAATATTCATTATAAAAATCTGTAATATAAGATAAACAAATATCATAATATATTCGATCTAATTTACAAAAAACAAACCATAGTCACTGACGGTACTCATAAGTCCTGGTACATTTTTATCGTTATTTTAGCTCTAAAATTTAAATTTATAACTAAAACAATATTAATTTTATAGTTAAAACCACAATGTAATATATTAATATAAAACAATAAGACTTACCTCGTTTATTCTATTTTTAAATATTTTCTAAAACAAAAGCAATCTGCAGTTCTCAAATCCGAAACAGGTCGAAACTTGAAAGTGTCACTTGCTAGCGGTAAATAGGCAAAATTGAAATAAATCACTGTGATTGGCTAGCGTAGTAGTACTTGAAAGGATCCTTAATGTCAAATATGGAATGCGCGATCGTATTATCGAAATAATGGATGGGGAATCACCCGATACAAATTTGTACCGTCAGATAGGAAAGAGATAACATAGACATGAGCAATACCATGGACATAACAGAGTATACTGTTTCGCCCATGATACCCCCCATGCGTTGCCATTCCTGAGGACTCAGGTGTTATACTTCTGTATATTAATTATTCTGTAATTTATTTATTTTTTAATTAAATTCTTTACGTCTTTTCCAGCAGATAGCTTTTTTACTACACTTATTATATTAATATCTACAATTATGTACATTTTTATGGTGTTTTGTAAAACTATGGCTTTTTTATTCGATGATGCCCCATCTGAAGTAGTCATTGATGACGCCGTTCATTCTCTCTGGGTACAGGGAGCCGGTTTTGGCCGAAGTGAAAATTTCGAAGCCACCATCGCCCTGCATGGACGGAGCATCGTCTACCTCCACGGTGACGATAGGGAGACTGAAGATGGCAATGAAGAGGCCGAATGGTAGAAACTAAAAACAAAATAATAATAAAGTAAACACTAATTATGCAAATAAAAAAAAAATATGGTAAAATTTAATATTTAGCTTACATGGATGATATTTTCACCGCATTTTGAAAACAAAGCTTAATAACTACAAGACATAGGACTATAAATTTTAGTATTTTTGTTAGATAACAGGTCTCGCTACCCCACATAATCCGATGGTCCACTAGAATAGAATAGAATAGAATAGAAATCATTTATTCAAATAAACTTACATTGAAGCACTTTTGAAAAGTCATTACATTTTTTTTAATTTACCGCTCGTTCGGAAAGCTGTCTCATCACAAGAAGAACGAGCAAGAAACTTGCGTGATGCTCTTTTAAATAATTTTATTATTATTTTACATTTTTAAGTTTAATTGTGTGAATACAAACCACCAATTAGCACTAATTCAATTAAATACTCAAAAAGAAAAAAAAATTGAATACATAACCAACTGGTTAAACAATTAATAAGAGGAAATCAGTCATAGTGATTAGAGCAGACCAGTCCCTACAAGCAGCACCCGTTCACGAGTATGACGGATGAGCCAGCCATCACTGCGCTCGACCATATTTTAGGGAGCCCAATGACCCGGCCCACCACGCCGCCACAAGTCTGGACATTTTAGTGAGCATGACTACTCAAAACACTAGACCACGTCAAAGCTACTCACAATTGCCATCTGATAGTTATAGTATTCACATTTTACATAAGAATGCATGCGGCAATTAATACAAAAAACCGCTACGCTTTCATATTTCTAAAATTAATCAATTAAATCAAGAAAGCAATGAGAAAATAAAATTATAACGTTGTATGCTAATAAACTAATTATTTACTTGATATGTTGTCATCTATGAATTCGTCTATCCTGTAATAGGCTTTCTTACATAAAAATTGTTTAATATAAGATTTGAATTGCCTCTCTGTCAGATTTAATGCAGATTCCGGCAGTTTATTATAAAATCTTATGCAATTACCATAGAATGAATTACTGATTTTGTGCAGACGGCATTTAGGTAAAATAAGCTTATTTATATTACGTAAGTTTCTACTTGTACAGTCTTTGAGTTTTTTTAAACTACTACTTACGGGACACCCTGTATATATATATATATATATATATATATATATATATATATATATATATATATATATATATATATATATATATATATATGTTTTTTTTTACGTTTATACAGTTCTTTTTGCTTGTAAATTGTCACAGTATTGCAACCTGACGCCTCACGATTGCTCTTGAAGACTTAAGCTCGCCTTTGTACATTTGCTTACCTCTGTCCTTACATTATGTAGTCTCAAAAACGGGTCAACTTTTTGTCAGCTAATTGTCAAATTAGCTGACTCGTTTTTTTTATCAATATTCTATATATTTACACACATAATATATCTTCACGTATATTTATTTATTTATAATCTTTTTAATAAAAAATGCAAAAATTATAAAACAAAATAAATATAGAAGTTACAAAGGAAACACTCATAACTACTTATCTATCATGCAAAATTGTATGAAAAAATTGACCCGTTTTGGCGATTGTATGGAGACACTCTATCTATATAATATAAGCATCTGTCATATTTTTTATGTATTATTATCGTGTACAATAAAGTAAAAATAAATAATAAAAAAAAAAACAAACAACGCTACATCAATCTACTGGTGACCATGGCCGCTGTGACCTTGTCGAGACGTCGAGATAATTTAGGTAAATAATCATAGTTTTTTTTTTAATGCATGACCGTGGAATTGTAATTCCGCCTGTACTAATGGTGTACGCTGACAAGGCACCGGTAAAGAATGATAGGGGAGAGTGAAAAAACAGGTTAATTAGCCATCGTGACAAATTCACCAAATGACTCAATCACGATGTTTATCAGGGGGAACCGCGAGGAGGTCGACCTGATAGGGTATATTGCTAGTAATAGGGTTGCTAATCCCCATTACTAATAATACCTTTTTCCCCCGAATGTAAAGATGACAGGCTATATTGTTTATTCCGGTCAATCAACCTATCCCAGTCTTGCGGATAAAGTCGCGGGAAAAGCTAGTATAAAATAAGATGTGAAAATAAATATATCATACCTCCTTTAAATCATGTTCGAAAGTCTTCTTTGAATAAATTACATCAGGCTCAAGCTTCAAATATTGTAAGGCACTGCTAAGCTCTTGGTAATAGTGATCGATGAGGTCTTGGAAGTGCTCCCGCCGAAACTTCTCGTCAGATCCCGTGAAGATGAAGTACAACAGGTCTGTCAGTGGAGAAGCACTGCATTGTATCGTTTGGAAGTCAACCGGTATCACCTCAAGAGTGCCATCCTGAAACATACTTGCGTTATTTGACCGCAATCGAGAATCTGCACATCCTAAATGTTGACTGGTAGAGAATGTTTATACAGTATTAAGTCCGTCTTAATATATTCTATAGACCTTCCGTCGTTCCTTGTGTAAAGTTGCCACACTCTACTTGAGTGTTAAGATAGTTTTTGTCGCTTTTGTTGCACATGGAAGTGCCATGGCGTGGCCTTTGACGAATTAGAGTCCAAGTATAAATAAACCATGGGGCTAATATTTTCAAAAGATCCAAAGATGAGTGTAAAATTTATATGTTTACTGTGAAATTTGATCTTGGGACCAAATTAGAGTCGCTCCTTGTTCGATTTAGCTATTAACCACCAAAATGTGTAACGAATTTAATTTAATAATATACGTAGTTCAATTTACTGGTATTTCTATAGCAGAAATATTGAGCTGGACTTTATGCGATTGTATTATTAATCTCTATTGGCACCGCTTGAATTTCAAAGCAATAGTTTTTTGGACAAACAAGATGTATGTATATATATGTAATGACTTACCTCGGTATATCTATGCATTAAGTTACTCGGTCTGTAGTCTCCGTGGCAGAGGACGGGTCTTTCTGGCGTCTCACTAAACTTTAGTATAGTTTCCAAATTCAATTGTGTTTCCAGATATTTTTGTAGTTTATCTTTATGTTTCTCGTTTGTTACAGATAAAGTAGTCTTTATACGTTGCTCGTATAACTGTTGTAGAACTCCTGCGTACATATCCTTTTGAAATTTTATATTATTTACAAACTGCTTAAATTCTTCTGGGTAGTTTTCTCTGTATGCTATAGATAATGCATGAAATTTTGCTAACGACTCCACAGACTTCGCGGCGTAATCCCAGTCTATAGACTTAAATCTGTCATACGTAGTGTAACCTTTTACACCCAGATTTTCAAGAACTATAGTTTCTTCAAATATTTTCGGGTTGCAACCGTAGTATTTTGGTATATTTAATCTCTTCGTAAGCGGAACATCATGCGCAATTTCTATATCTTTATATTTTCTTAAAAGATTAACATAAATTATTCTCTCAACGTCAAAAACTCCTGCTGGCATTTGCGAACGGATTGTCTCATTAATGATGATAACTTTAGCGAACAGATGAAGATCTTCCTTGCCAGACTCGGATACAGTGATCGTGAATAGGGCTGACGAATAATTAGCACCATCGGTCGACATTGGCTTGACAATTATATCAGGATTTCCATATTTGTTCTCTTTAGCAATGTCTTCTATTAATTTGCGTAAACTCTCGGTTGCCATCTTGTTTGTCACACGGTCCTTATCAGATGTCTTGTATACGACTGCTAGAAATTTAAGCACGTACACGTCTTTATATAAAACAGATAATATGTTATCTAATTTATCAGTTTTATTTAAAAACTCTTGATGTTTGTAAACTATCGTCGAGTTCAATTTGATGTTTCCTCCTAAGTAGATTTAAGATATACGTTTTATGCTTTGATTATATATAGGTAGATAGAGCATCGAGCCTCAAAAACCGGTTAATTTTTTGCTCAGTTAATTATCAAATTACGCCCAAATCACTCCTTTTTTTTGTAATTGCATCTTCATGTATGTATGTATATATTTGATAAATAAAATGAGTTTTTGCACATTAAAAAGGTGCAGAATTTATAAGACGATATAAATATAGAAGTTATAAAGGAATCACTCATAACTATTTATCACGCAAAATTGTATGAAAAAGTTGATCTGTTTTTCTCGAATCATTTGTATGAAGACACTTTACCTATATAATCTAAGGTTTTATGTTTATAGACCGGTATCACATGACTGATATCATTACATATAATAATATAATTACAAGAAAAACCCGATATATACAGACTCGTCTTTCTCTAACAGAAATTAGTGTTAGATTAAATTGGGATTGAATTAAAGCATAATAGATCATTGTAATAAAAAAAAAATGTTAATCATCCGTGCATATTTATAGTAATGAGATTTAAAAAAAAAAACCTGCAGATAATGAAATAGTCTTAATGCAAGGAAGTCCAGTTTGGAACTCGGCTCGTAACTTTAAGCGGTGTATCCAACTAAAACAGGCACTAATGCCACTTTAACTGTAATGTGATCCGGTGTGGCATGCTAGAGTTTACCTGTTAAATGAAGGCATGGTTCTCTTTATAACTTTGTCAGGTTTGAAAATTTTAAACTTGGTAACATTTGGTCACATATAAGTCTTCTAATTCGTCTTTTAAAATTAATTGACCCGTAGAAATAAAAATGTTTATCATTGTATAAAATTTATATATATAAATAATTTAATTTCAATTTCATATAAGCTATCTAGCGAAAGTATATATATATATATATATATATATATATATATATATATATATATATATATATATATATATATATATATATATATATATTTTTTATACAACTTAGAATGGCAAACAAGCTGACGGCCCACCTGATGGAAAGTGGTAACCGTCGCCTATAGACATGAGCAGTACCATGGACATAACAGAGTATACTGTTTCGCCCATGATACCCCCATGCGTTGCCATTCCTGAGGACTCAGGTGTTATTCCTCTGTACCCAGTAAATTCACGCCATATCCCACCCTTCAAACCGAAACACAGCCATGCAAACACAACTGCTTCACGGTTGAAACACGAATGGGACAGAGGTACCCACGCAATCGACTTTCGTACAAAGTCTCCCTCTGGTGATGTATATATATATATATATATATATATATATATATATATATATATATATATATATATGTCACTTTTGCTAGATATCTCAGCAGTCATCTGGGTGACTTGCGGTATTACAGTATCATAAGACTGGGGGAGAAGGGATTGTTAGTAATGGGGATCAGCAACCTCATTGCTAGCAATAAACCTTATTAGGTCGACCTCCACGCGGTTCCCCCTGGAAACCATCATGATTGATTCGTTGTTGCATTTGTCAGGATGGACTAACTGACCTGCATTCATTCTCACCTGTCATCTATCACTGGTGCCCCGCCGGTGTATACCGATAGCGCAGGCGGGGTTGCCATTCTATTATCATCCATTAACACGTTGAGCGCCATGTCAGCCATCGGTGGCTGACACTAGACTTTCCGTTTAGGCCGCGTCAGCCATCGGTGTCTGACAGCGTGTAACATGAGAACTATAAAATTTTACACTATTTTACGGAATTACAGAAAATTTATTTAAAATTTATAGGAATCACGTTCCAAACGTAAACTACCTTCTACTACGATAGGAAACACCAGCTCCTGCAGTACCAGCTCTTCGAAGCGGCGCGCGTGGCCTGAACGGGATTGCTGTAGAAATACGCGTGGCGCTCAACGTGTTAAAAAAAAAAGTATCATAAGACTTATGCAAGTGTCATCTTTAATTATTTACTAATACTCGTAATATAACATTGTGTTCCACAAAATAATCGATTTCAATTGTGATAAAACCTGTTACTTTGATTGGAAAACGAAACTATTGAACTGATTTCAATAAATATTCTATGTAACCAATTGTATATTGGTTACATAGGACAATACTATAACTTTTCAGACAAAAAAGAATTTTCTAAATTGATTTATAACTGATGGGGTGATGAGGTAACAAACTTCCAACTCCCTCCACTTCCTATAATAGTGTGCCACCTACCCTTTGTTTTTCTTTCTTTTCTCAATGTTCTTTACCCAAAGGTTGTCTGGAAGAGATTGCTTAGCGATAAGGCCGCCTTTTGTATCATTTCTTATTACAGTTAAATGTGTTTACTATTTTATAAATGGTGCAATAAAGTGTACATAAACATATTTCTTTAAAAAACCAACGTAAATTAACCTCTCAATATCAAAAACGATGGCTGACATTTAATTTGCGCGCGTAAACTCCCATTAATGATATTAACTTTAGCGAACAAATGAAGATCATCCGTACCAGACTCGGATACAATGGTCGGGAATAGTTCTGATGAGCTTTATAACCTTCTGTTTTTTGTTTTATTTCTCCGGAATCAATTTGAATTTATATAAATACACCCCACTAATATGTATTATAAATGTGAAAGTTGTTTGTTACTGAATCACGACTAAACAGCTTGAACAGATATGAATTAAATTTGGTACACGTAAAGTTACACTCCTTTAGTATATAGGATGCTTCACATGGGCAAAATTGAAGGAAACAGCTGATCAATAATATAATAGTAAAATAACTATTTTTAATAAATCTAAGATGAAACATGGATTTAGAAGAAAAGGATTCACCATTGATTTGAAGAGTCCAAGATTGTATTTCTCCAGTCTGACAGAAGCCGGAAGAGTGTTTTCTTTTTTGAGCAACCATTTCGTGTAATCTTTTTTATAAAATCAACTTTTTCTGGGATAAATTTACATAAAATATGCGTAAGAAATAGATTTATTACAGAATAATTTTTAGTTGATGTTTATTTAATCGTACAAACTTGTATATACTCATATATATATTTATACATGATGATCAAATTTTAAGTGTTGTATGTTTCCATAAAGCAGATTATTCTATTCGATGATGCCCCATCTGAAGTAGTCATTGATGACACCGTTCATTCTCTCTGGGTAAAGAGAGCTGGTCTTGGCCATTGAGAAGACTTCGAAACCACCATCGCCCTGCATAGACGGAGCATTGTCTACATCCACGGTGATGATGGGAAGACCAATGATAGCAATTAAGAGACCGTATGGTAAATACTAAAACAAAACAATTCATTGAATCACAGTCACTACAGGTTCTAAGAGTGTCGTTGTTTTGGCGTCAGACGATAAGATATTTGTATTTTTATTTTCTATCAGGTAGGCTTGTCCGCCAATGCCTGTAGAGTGAAACAAGACATGACCACTGTCTTCCTAATTTTTATCAGAAATTGCTGTATTTCGATCTAAAGAACATAGCCAGCACATGCCTTAACACAAGAATACCCATAATACACAATTATCATGAGTAGTAAACGCATGAGGGTATCATGGCATACCTCTATGCATTAATATCTGTATTTCAGAGAATACGTATATATATATATATATATATATATATATATATATATATATATATATTTTTTATACAACTTAGAATGGCAAACAAGCTGACGGCCCACCTGATGGAAAGTGGTAACCGTCGCCTATAGACATGAGCAGTACCATGGACATAACAGAGTATACTGTTTCGCCCATGATACCCCCATGCGTTGCCATTCCTGAGGACTCAGGTGTTATTCCTCTGTACCCAGTAAATTCACGCCATATCCCACCCTTCAAACCGAAACACAGCCATGCAAACACAACTGCTTCACGGTTGAAACACGAATGGGACAGAGGTACCCACGCAATCGACTTTCGTACAAAGTCTCCCTCTGGTGATGTATATATATATATATATATATATATATATATATATATATATATATATGTCACTTTTGCTAGATATCTCAGCAGTCATCTGGGTGACTTGCGGTATTACAGTATCATAAGACTGGGGGGAGAAGGGATTGTTAGTAATGGGGATCAGCAACCTCATTGCTAGCAATAAACCTTATTAGGTCGACCTCCACGCGGTTCCCCCTGGAAACCATCATGATTGATTCGTTGTTGCATTTGTCAGGATGGACTAACTGACCTGCATTCATTCTCACCTGTCATCTATCACTGGTGCCCCGCCGGTGTATACCGATAGCGCAGGCGGGGTTGCCATTCTATTATCATCCATTAACACGTTGAGCGCCATGTCAGCCATCGGTGGCTGACACTAGACTTTCCGTTTAGGCCGCGTCAGCCATCGGTGTCTGACAGCGTGTAACATGAGAACTATAAAATTTTACACTATTTTACGGAATTACAGAAAATTTATTTAAAATTTATAGGAATCACGTTCCAAACGTAAACTACCTTCTACTACGATAGGAAACACCAGCTCCTGCAGTACCAGCGCTTCGAAGCGGCGCGCGTGGCCTGAACGGGATTGCTGTAGAAATACGCGTGGCGCTCAACGTGTTAAAAAAAAAGTATCATAAGACTTATGCAAGTGTCATCTTTAATTATTTACTAATACTCGTAATATAACATTGTGTTCCACAAAATAATCGATTTCAATTGTGATAAAACCTGTTACTTTGATTGGAAAACGAAACTATTGAACTGATTTCAATAAATATTCTATGTAACCAATTGTATATTGGTTACATAGGACAATACTATAACTTTTCAGACAAAAAAGAATTTTCTAAATTGATTTATAACTGATGGGGTGATGAGGTAACAAACTTCCAACTCCCTCCACTTCCTATAATAGTGTGCCACCTACCCTTTGTTTTTCTTTCTTTTCTCAATGTTCTTTACCCAAAGGTTGTCTGGAAGAGATTGCTTAGCGATAAGGCCGCCTTTTGTATCATTTCTTATTACAGTTAAATGTGTTTACTATTTTATAAATGGTGCAATAAAGTGTACATAAACATATTTCTTTAAAAAACCAACGTAAATTAACCTCTCAATATCAAAAACGATGGCTGACATTTAATTTGCGCGCGTAAACTCCCATTAATGATATTAACTTTAGCGAACAAATGAAGATCATCCGTACCAGACTCGGATACAATGGTCGGGAATAGTTCTGATGAGCTTTATAACCTTCTGTTTTTTGTTTTATTTCTCCGGAATCAATTTGAATTTATATAAATACACCCCACTAATATGTATTATAAATGTGAAAGTTGTTTGTTACTGAATCACGACTAAACAGCTTGAACAGATATGAATTAAATTTGGTACACGTAAAGTTACACTCCTTTAGTATATAGGATGCTTCACATGGGCAAAATTGAAGGAAACAGCTGATCAATAATATAATAGTAAAATAACTATTTTTAATAAATCTAAGATGAAACATGGATTTAGAAGAAAAGGATTCACCATTGATTTGAAGAGTCCAAGATTGTATTTCTCCAGTCTGACAGAAGCCGGAAGAGTGTTTTCTTTTTTGAGCAACCATTTCGTGTAATCTTTTTTATAAAATCAACTTTTTCTGGGATAAATTTACATAAAATATGCGTAAGAAATAGATTTATTACAGAATAATTTTTAGTTGATGTTTATTTAATCGTACAAACTTGTATATACTCATATATATATTTATACATGATGATCAAATTTTAAGTGTTGTATGTTTCCATAAAGCAGATTATTCTATTCGATGATGCCCCATCTGAAGTAGTCATTGATGACACCGTTCATTCTCTCTGGGTAAAGAGAGCTGGTCTTGGCCATTGAGAAGACTTCGAAACCACCATCGCCCTGCATAGACGGAGCATTGTCTACATCCACGGTGATGATGGGAAGACCAATGATAGCAATTAAGAGACCGTATGGTAAATACTAAAACAAAACAATTCATTGAATCACAGTCACTACAGGTTCTAAGAGTGTCGTTGTTTTGGCGTCAGACGATAAGATATTTGTATTTTTATTTTCTATCAGGTAGGCTTGTCCGCCAATGCCTGTAGAGTGAAACAAGACATGACCACTGTCTTCCTAATTTTTATCAGAAATTGCTGTATTTCGATCTAAAGAACATAGCCAGCACATGCCTTAACACAAGAATACCCATAATACACAATTATCATGAGTAGTAAACGCATGAGGGTATCATGGCATACCTCTATGCATTAATATCTGTATTTCAGAGAATACGTATATATATATATATATATATATATATATATATATATATATATATATATATATATATATATATATATATATATATATATATATATATATATATATATATATATATAGTTATTATCTACTGTCATCTAGAAATTTAAATAACTTGGTTTTTAGTAAAGCACGAAAAACAATACTATTACCTCTTTTAACTCGAGTTCAAAGGCTGTCTTTGGATAAATGACATCAGGATTAAGTTTCAGAGAGCGCAGAGCATTGCTCAACTCTTGATAATAATGGTCGGTGAGATCTTGGAAGTGCTCCCGCCGAAACTTTTCGTCAGATCCCGTGAAGATGAAATATATCAGGTCGTATAGTGGAGAGTCACATTGTATTGTTTGAAAATCTACGGGTATCACGTGAATGGTACCATCCTGAAACGGAATTTATTATACAATTGTGATTACAAACAATTACACACACAGTTTACACGAACAAAATTTACAAAAGTCTTTAGTTGAGTACTTAAAGGAGCGAGAAATGTTTGTATAGTTGAAATGTGCCACTTATAAAGCAACATAATATTTTCTATATAACTATGGTGGCAAACAAGCGTACGGCTCGACTGATATTAAACAGGGTTGATGTTAAACAACCTGCAACACCAGGATGTCACGCATGCATTGCCGACCCTTAAAAACTATAGTGATACTATCACCATACGGAACATTCTGTACGAAGAAGGATAAAAACGAAGAAATCGTTTGTATTTAAACAATACTTAGCGATTTAAATGCAAAGTTTTGATTCAGTACAACTGTTGTTAAATGTAGAGGATATTTTATGGTAATAGATTAATGGTGAACAGGAACTAATATTTCGAAAATACTGCGTTCAAGGTCTAATCATCGTCATCATCTTCCTACCCTTATCTCAATTATTATTTGGGCTCAGTATTATATGTTCTCTTCCAGCTCAAGGTCTAAACATACAAAAAATTATTACATACATAGCTAACAATGAATGTATGATTTTTTTTCTGATATTACCAAACCCCATATTTGTAACAACCGACTTCTGTTTCGATCTTGTCGTTAATGAAATTTAATGATAGTGAGTACTTAGATTAGTATTGGCCTTTTTTTAAATTACTATAAGTTTACATTTGTACATACCTCATTGTATTTGTGCATTAAATTACTCGGTCTGTAGTCTCCGTGGCAGAGAACGCGTCGTTGTGAAGACTGGCTAATATTCATAATAGCTTCTATGTTCACATGAGTTTCCAGATATTTTTGTAGTTTATCTTTATGTTTCTCTGCTGTTACAGATAAAGTAGTTTGTATGCGTTGTTCATACATTTGATGCAGCATTCCTACAAACATTTCTTTTTGAAAATCTGTCTTTTCTACAAATGCTTTGAATTCTTCTGGATTCTCTTCACTATATGCTATTGACAAGGCATGAAACTTAGCTAGTGATTCTACAGCTCCCGCAGCATATTCCCAGTTTATAGGTTTAAATCTGTCGTACGTGGTGTAACCTTTTTTACTTAGATCTTCAAGAACTATGGATTCTTCAAATATTTTCGGGTTGCAGCCGTAGTATTTGGGCACAACTAATCTCCTTGTAAGTGGTACATCATGTGCAATTTCTATGTCCTCGTATTTTTTTAATAATTCAACGTAGATTAATCTTTCGACATCGAAAATTGCGGCTGGCATTTGCGAACGGATTGTCTCATTAATGATGATAACTTTAGCGAACAGATGAAGATCTTCCTTGCCAGACTTGGATACAGTGATCGTGAATAGTTCTGATGAATAATTAGCACCACCGGTAGATATTGGGTTTATAGTTATATTTGGATTTTCATATTCGTTCTCTTTGGCGATGTCTTCTACTAATTTCCGTAAACTTTCCGGTGCCATCTTGTTTATGAAAGCGTGGGCGTTATCAATTATTTTATATTGTCACTAACAAAATTTATGTAACTATTCCTTTATATATGAAGTAGATAACATTTTATCAAACTTATCATTTCGATTCAAATTTACATGAGGTATGTTGAAGATTAGTTTTAATATTTTGTTGATAAGCTTTTAAAATAGCAGTAACTATGGCATATATGTTATATATATTGGGTCAAATTAAAATTAACATTATAAATTAGTATAGTTACATATTTTATGGTCCAATATTTTGCAATGGACTATAATAACAATTTATCTTTATTGCAGACTGCAATGACCCAATTTATTTGTTACATAATCTTTGTCGTGTAGGTTCCGGCATAGTAAAAGGTCACCTCTTCTTTTTCACGTGGGTACCATAAGAGGTGACTTAGGAAGCTTATGGTGGAAGGTTAGCAACGTCCTTCTTATAATATCACCGACAGACAAACTACGATTTCCAACCTACCTGCTAGTGGTAAGGGCGGTTTTGCCAGTAGTGGCAACTACTAGCAATACCCCCCTTTTGGACGAAGCTATTTTCAGCAGTGAATAATTAATGGCTGATGCAATCTTAGCCTAATGGCAGTACATCAATCTTACAAAAACCCACAACAGTATTTGAAATCACGTTCAGGATGTCTAAAAGGCATAAAAGCAATCTATACGAACTTCTGCAAACATCCCTGATGCACTACAGAATCGTGGTAATCCCAACAGCACCACGAATGCATTATAAACTGTACATTCAGTATAAACTTATACAAAGGTCGCTATAGATTTTTTTTTATACAATTTAGAATGGCATACAAGTTGACGGTCCACCTGGTGGAAAGTGATAACCGTCGCCTATAGACATGAGCAGTACCATGGACATAACAGAGTGTACTGTTTCGCCCATGATACCCCCATGCGTTGCCATTCTTGAGGACTCAGGTGTTATTCCTTTGTACCCAGTAAATTCACGCCATATCCCACCCTTCAAACCGAAACACAGCCATGCAAACAAAACTGCTTCACGGTTGAAACACGAATGGGACAGAGGTACCCAAGCAATCGACTTTTGTACAAAGTCCCCCTCTGGTTTATACTCTTTGACTCTCTTCTTTTCGTTGCCTTTGTAATTGGCACTTCTTTATTAGTATACCTGTTTGAAGCCGGGGCGGACTGTTCATAAGACCTGACAAATCATAATATAAACAGTAACATCATCATAGCAGCCTTTAACTGTCCACTGCTGAACATAAGCCTTCCCCATAAGGGCATTTGGCCAGTACTTGCCACGCTTGGCAGGCGGGTTGACAACCGCAGTTAGGCTTTTATAGATGTTTTAAGAGGGACGCTCGTGTTCATTCCTCGCTAGTTTTGCCAGGTGTCCCGATTTGCGCGGGACGTCCCGATTTTCAGGGGTCTGGGGACGCGTCCCGATTTGTACCTGATCGGAATGCCAAATGTCCCGATCAATTAACCGAAAATAAAAGTTTTTTCATGAAAAAATTTATATTTACGTAACACTTAAAGTACGATTTTATTTTATAATTTCTACTAGTCTAGCAAGACTGATTTTACAGGGTACAGGGGAATAACACCTGAGTCCTCAGGAATGGCAATGCATTCCTGAGGACTCAGGTGTGTAATGTGTGTGACGGGGGTGTCATGGGCGTAACAGTATATTCTGTTATGGCCATGGTACTGCTCATGTCTATAGACGACGGTTACCACTTTCCATAAGGTGGGCCGTCAGCTTGTTTGCCATTCTAAGTTGTATAAAATGTATATTTAATGATTTCGTAACTATAATGATTATGATATAATAATTACAAATTTATAATGAAGGTTATCAACTTTTTATAATCAGTGTGTTTGTCTGCATCATTGAATGATGATGATGCAGATAAATGTAGTATATTGTAATCATTATTACTCAATATTTTTTAAGCTGATGCAATATATTCTCCTAACTTAGGTACCCCTCTGATCCTCATCTTATAAGTTAACTGTTCACTGCCAAATATAGGCCTCCAATTATTGAGGGGTTTTACCAGTAGTTGCCACGTTTGGCATGCGGGTTGGCAACCGCAGTCGGGCTTTTGGTGATGTTTTAAGAGGGACGCTGCTGCCCATCCTCAACCTCGATAAGTTCTTTTAGACAATAACATAATCAAATAAGGCAACATTATTTTTTTATAAAAATAAACAATGTGTTTTAAATTAACAATTATGATTCTTTTTCTTCATAAAAAAAGTATGGGTTAACTTTTTAATATCATTATGGCAATTTTTTTTTGGTGAATGAAAATGGAATGGTAACCCCGCCTGCGCTAACGGGATACGCTGGCGGAGCACCAGTGAAGGGTGATAGATGAGAATGAAAACAGGCCAGTTAGCCCATCATGATGAATTCATCAGGAATTAACCATGATAGTTTCCAGGGAAAACCGCGATGTCGACCTGGTTGGGTATATTGCTAGCAATGGGATTTTTAGTCTCCATTACTAACAATCCCTTTCCCCCCATTATGGCAATTAGGTACACAACACTTTTTCATTGATATCATTATCCAAGTCAATAGTAAAAAAACAAAGTTCAAATACATACAATACATTTTTTCTAAGCTCCTATTATTTTTATCAATTAATATCATAAAAACGTACAAAATTACTATTTAAGTGCATAAAAGTTTACCTTGGTGATACAGTATTGTAAAATAAAAGAGTGAACATATTACACCACTGTAACAGAAGAAAAATTGCATTTTTTATATGTACTGATTACTGGTGAGAGACAAAAATATCCGTTTTATTTTGAAAATCTGATTAAGAACTGTAAACAAACTCTTAGTCATCACTAACTGTTTATCACCTGATTGGACAAAACAAGTTGAACATTTTGACATAAAGTAATACCAACATTAACATAATCAGACTAATGTTGCTACCAGAAAAATATACTTTTTTCGTTCTGAAACAGAAAATCAGTTGCCAATTATTTTATTGATTGATTAATTAATTAACTTATACTCAATTATTTACATAATTTGTATTAGAAATAAAGAATGAATTTCTTGGATAATATAACACTTCGTCGTAACCGGACTAAGTCAGATACATTTAACCGAACCCAAGAAAATTTATCAAGATCCTTAAATGAAACTAGCAGTAGCCTACCGGATATATCAGTCGAGGACATAGATCAAACTCTGAAATTAAAGGCACGAATTGAGACATTGGAAATAGAACTGGAAAGTGCACATGCGGAAATAGATAAATTAACATTAGAAAATAATATATTAAAACGAAGCAGTGACGATTTACAAAAAAGAAACGAGTTCCTGAAAAAAATTTCTAATAGCCCGATAAACCATAAACAGACACCAAAAAAAGGAGAAACATCAAAAAATGCGAATATACAATATAATCTCTTGGCAATGACACAAAATACTATGAACGTTGATTCATCACAATCACGAGATATTCATGACTTACATGACAAAAATACAACCTTCACTACCGAATCAGACAAAATAAACTTAAGAATATTAGAAAAGGCCACGGAAAAATTTCAAGGAATAAAATCTAATACACACAAAATACATATAATAAGTACTAATAAAAATAATAATATACTTTCAATAGCCGAGACCAATCTAAAAAATTACTCAGAATTATGTCACTACAATATACCTTATAGCAATATACAACATATGTTAAAAGGAGTTGATACAAAACTTACACATTTTACTATGATGGATTACTGTGTTATTATGATTGGAGATGATGATTTTAAAGTAACAAAGAATTATATTAACTTGATTTATTATATTCGAAACATTTTACAACAAATGAAACATACAAATATTATTCTCTGTCTTCCTACATATAAATATGGTTATCACACGAATATGTTCAACTGGAGAGTGGAAAATTTTAATAATCTATTATACTTGGATGTGGCTACTCATAAGCATGCCTATATATTAGATTCGAACAAAAGACTTTCTTATGGCTATAAAATGTTTTGGAAGCATTCAGGCAATGTTAATGACTATGGTATGAAGATAATATTTAAGGATCTTCAGAAACTCATCCTTGACATACAATATAATAACAATAAGAATGACATAAAATGTAATGATAATGATAATATACACAAAGATATAAATACAACAAATGACGAATCTATATTTTTTCGACACTAAACATATACACATTTTACATCAAAACATTGCAGGACTACTGAGTAAATCAGACTCACTAATGATAAATATAGAAGAACTAAGAGACAAAAATATTAAAGTAGACGTACTCTGTATAACAGAACATTTTATGATGAAAGAACATGAAATGCTTTTAAACATACCAAATTATACATTGGCCGCTTGTTTCAGCAGAAGTGACAGCAAAAGAGGAGGAGCATGTATTCTAGTAAACAATGAATATAAATGGTCAGAATTGACTAAATTTCACAAATTTTCCATAAAAAATATATTTGAATGTTGTGCTGTCGAATTAATTGATTATAAAATTATTATAATATGTATTTATAGAGTTCCAAAATGTAATAATCTTAATATCTTTTTTAGTAGATTGGAAGAAATATTAATGTATTCTTCTAAATTGAAATGTAACAATGTATTATTGGCTGGTGACTTCAACATAGATATGTTAAAACATAATAGAATCGCATTGAATCTAGAATGCTTATTGTTAAATTACAACCTAAAACTGGCTTTGAAGCAACCGACAAGATTAGCAAGCGGTACATGTATAGATAATTTTGCTCATACTTATAAAAAAATATCTAGGACTGATGTATTAGAATTTGGTCTATCAGATCATACGGCTCAGTTAATAAAACTTCCTGTCAAAAAGATTTTAAAAATAAATTCTTGGCATAAAACAATTCGAGATTATAGCAAACGCAATATACTCAAATTTAAAGAATGTTTAGAGACACTTTCCTTCTCTGAACTCTACGAAATAGATGATCCAACGAGTGCCTATCAACATTTCATTGACAACTTTAAAATGTTTTATGAATTATGTTTTCCTAAAAAATATATTACCATACAAACATATCGCAAGTCAAAGTGGATATCCCGCGGTCTAAAAATTTGTAGTAAACAGAAAAGACATTTATTATGGAAATACAGACTAAATTCGACTAACCATAATAAATTAAAATATCAAATTTATTCTAAAGTATTCAAAAAGATTATTAAACTAACCAAACGTGCACAAAACAACTATGACATAAAAACATCAGATAATAAAGCTAAAACAACATGGAAAATTATTAACAATTCTAAATTCAATATACCTAAAGATTTTATCCGGACAATAAAAATAAACAATGAATACGTTAGTAACCCTAAAAATATAGCAAATCATTTCAACAATTACTTTATCGACAGAATTAATCGTACGACTAACTGTGGAAAAAATATAACTGCAAAGCTCCATCATAGAACACATTCTATGTTTATGGCCCCAAGTACACCCCAAGATATAAAAAAAATCATAAGAAACTTAAAAAATACAAACAGTGTTGGATATGATGGTTTTTTAACTAAAATTATTAAAGAGGTAAATGAACATATATGCGCTCATTTAAGCTATATTATAAATTTAAGTATACAGACAGGCATTTTCCCCCAGCAACTAAAAAAGACCATAGTTAAACCTCTTTACAAAAGGGATGATAAAGAGGTAATGGAATCTTATAGACCCATAGCACTGATATCTATATTTTCAAAAATATTTGAAAAATACCTATATACTGAAATTAATGCCTACTTAGAGAAAAATAACATTATCTGTAATGAACAAAAGGGTTTTCGAAAAAATAAAACTATAAATATGGCGATTTATGATTTTTTGGAAAAAGTTATGTCCGAAATTGATAAAACCTCACCTGTTTGTTCTATATATTGCGATATGACACAAGCATTTGATCATGTAGACCACAGCATCCTAATACGTAAACTCGAGGCATATGGGATAAGGGGTAATATCCTTAATTTGATAAAATCATATTTATCAGGTCGACAACAAATTACAGAAGTGACAAGATTAAATTGGAAAACAAAAAAGCAACAAAAGTTTATATCAAAACAGCGCACTGTAACATTTGGTGTACCCCAAGGTAGTGTGCTGGGTCCCCTCCTTTTCCTAATATATATTAATGACTTGCCTAACTTTGTTGACCAACCTATGACGTTATTCGCTGACGATAGTACAGTTACTGTAAATTGTAATGATATTAATTTATATGAATATATTATAAATAAATCTCTGACATCAATAATTGCTTGGTTAAAAAATAATAATTTGGTAATTAATTTAAAAAAGACTAATATTATGCACTTTAATCAAAGAACACAATCTAAATCTAATATTAAAATAATATATGAAAATAATATTATAAATGAAGTTGACACGGCTAAATTTCTCGGTCTAAATATTGACAAAAAACTAAACTGGAAAACTCATATAGACGAAATAAACAAAAAAATATCTAGCCTGGCATATCTACTCTACAAGCTGTCTAGGACCGTAAACAATAACGTGCTACTTACAGCTTATCATGGTTTAGTAGAATCGATATTAAGATATGGCATTATTTTCTGGGGTAATTCAACAAATAAAGATATGGCTTTTAAGATGCAAAAAAGATGTATAAGATCCATGTTTAGATTGAATGTCACAGATAGCTGTAAGCCATTATTTACTAAACATAATATCCTCACTCTTCCGTCCTTATATATATTTGAAATGGCCTTATTTGTGAAGTTAAATCCAATCTTATTTCCACGTCTATCTGATAAAAATTATCGAAATAGACGTAATAAAAATCTATTATGTATACATCCAGCCAAAACCACTTTATTGCAAAAAAGCATTATATGTATGGCCCCAAAAATTTATAATAAAATTCCAGATGTATATAAAAATTTAAACACAAACTTATTCCGGAAAAAACTGAAAATGCTACTGATTGACAAATGTTATTATAATATTGACGAATTTTTAAATGACAACCTTTAATATGTTTCTCTTTCGACATTTGCTATTGACATTGTAATTCCATTTGACTTTTTATTTAGTTTATATATAATCTTCACAAAATATTAATATGTTTTGTAAGGCATGGATAGATAGGGGGCATGGATTTGCTTTGTAAGGCACTTGAAATTGCCACTGTCCTTGAAATAATATTTTGCACGCTAATGTTAGCAAAACATGTTAGGACTATACAAATCCTACAATGAACAACAAGTATGTCTTTGCACTTACTATGTACACATGTTTGCAAATAAATTTATCTTTATCTTTATCTTTATCTTTACAAGTGCCAGGCTCAATATACAAAAGCAGGAATTTCAGAATTCAGTATGAAAGCTATTGTCATTGAAAAAGCTATGAAAAATCAAAACAATATTTATATTACAAAAAAGTAAACGAAACGAATATAAATTCCCGCCAGCAACGTATCTATACTTAAATTGACGAATTTGATAAAATCTCGATTAAAATATGCTAGTCTGCTAAAATTTATACATACAAACAAAATATGCCATAATGTAATATTACAATACAGGAAGGTTTTCAGCAAACAACTTTTTCCTCATTAAATAATTTATTTTAATACAGAAAAACATGTGGAACGTTTAACAATGCGGAGCGAACACAGAGAGAAAATGTTACACTTTTTAATACAATATATATAGAGACATAGATCATAATCGTATACAGCCATTGGTGTGAGAGTGTGCTCTATCTTAGGTTACAACATGCCACATAAAACGTGCTACATTTGCAAAATTTACTTAACTTCTGCTAAGGTTTTATTTATAATAAATATCGTAATAAAAATAGTATATTTTTTTAATATCTACTCAATAAATTTTGCTAAGTCCAAGTTAGGGCCTTAAATTGGCACATTCTACTTTATACGCTGCCTACCGAACGCCTGCGGTACTTCCGTTGAATAAACTAAACATAAGTTAGTTTACTTACACAAGTTTACTGTTTTAAAAACAATAACATAAGTAATGTTAGTTTTATATATAGTACATAAATCACATTTAATTAGGTGAAATAACACGAAATTTTCTAATAAAATTTGTTATTGACAAATAATTGATATATCAATATGAACAAAAATTTCTATACACCTGCTATGAATTAAGAAAAATAACAACTGGTTGTATACTTTTCGCCCTCTTTTTACTAATTATATTTACATAAGAAAGGAGGCAACCATATGATTTACAGTTTTTATTTTATCATTCCTTCTAAGTAATTCCTTGTTCTTGGTAGAACTATAAAAAAGGGTGAGCACGAAAGATAATTAAAAGGTCGCAGTGTCACAGGTTTTTCTGGCTGAAAAAGCCTGCCTTTCAATAATAATAACACATAATAAATATTCCATTATACATACATACATACATATAAATATATATTATAATAATACTCAGATAGAAAGGAAACAACAGCATTAGATAAAGCAGTGTTTAAATTTTTACTATTTATTATAGACGTTAATATTTTCTTATTAAAATTGTATAAACATTGCAAAAAATCTTTATTTCTAAAAAATCAGTACATATGTAGATATACAAGCTACACAGACGCTAGTGACCTCAATAATTAAAAGTCTTATAAGAGAGTATTATCCTAACATTTCTACAGTAATATTACAAAGAGGTAAGGTAAGATTTGATTGTTTATTTGTAATAAATAAACTGATAAACTTCTTAAGCGATTTTAATAATTTTTTCGCCTATAGAAAACTACATTATAACGAGCGAGTAAAATAGGTTATACATACGTTATTTTTATTATATATTATATAATACTAGCGGCCCAGTACGTGCTTTGCTACGTATAAAATGAAATAATAAAAAAAAATTTACAATCAATATCGCTGACAATTTGCTTCAATCGAAACACATTCCAGACAAATTATCTTTTTGAAGACTAGGCAGCATGGTCTCCGACCTTAGCCTGTTCCAAACGGAACAAACGTACTAAAAAAAAAAAAATCAATCGAAACACGTCCAAAATGAAATGACCGCATGAATAACAACATGCTTGTACTGTCAACACTGAAAAAGTTTTAATTTGACAGCACAATCGCCATCTTAAAAAAAGTATGAAAAAATCCCCATTAACTAAATGATCCGCCGTTTATTGAATTCATTTGTTACAAAAAATGTGATAAATGAAGAACCGCTCGACCGATTTCGTGCAAACTTCACATGAACCATCTACTAAATAGTCCGAAGAAAGCCTCAACATTTGGTTTGGATAGGTGAGCCCATTCTTGAGTTATAAAATTACAACGAAAAGTGGCATTAATTTTTGAATGAATGACATAATTCATGCGGTCATTTCGTTTTGGACGTGCTTCAATTAAAGCAAATTGGCAGCGATATTGATGTTTTTTTTTTTTATTATTTCACTTTATACGTAGCGAAGCACGTACCGGGCTGCTAGTTTCTTTATAAGATTATAGGAAAAGAAAATTGCAAAAGAAATTTTACCTATTTAATAAACAGCCTGCCAAGCGTGGCGACTGCTGGCAAAATCGCCACAATTATACGTCTATGGGGAGGTCTGATATGATGATGATGATTATTATTATGATGATGATGATGAAGATGATGAGAAAGGCTATTAAAAGTATTTTCTTACATACACATATTACACATATGTGCAGTTATAAAGTGGTATTGACAATAATTAATTAACTATTGACCCGCTCCGGCTTCGCACGGGTGCACATTACATCACATCACATTAGAAACTTTTAAAATTATCAATGTTTCTCTACAATATTATGCATGTATTATACATATAAACCTTCCTCTTGAATCACTCTATCTATTAAAGAAAACCGCTTCAAAATCTGTTGCGTAGTTTTAACGATATAAGCATACATAGGGACGGACAAACAGCGACAGCGACTTTGTTGACAGTGTGATGATTTATGGGCCTAAACTTCCCAAGGAAAAGGACCAATAACTTGTTGAAAGATTTTGGGAAAGGCCTATATCCAGAAGGGGATAGATACAGGCAGAAATAATGATGGAACGATTCGAAAGGAAGTTCTTCTATTCAATGATGCCCCATCTGAAGAAGTCGTTGATGACGCCGTTCATCCTCTCAGGGTACAGGGGTCCGGTCTTGGTTTGTAGAAAACTATCGTAAACTTCAATGCTCGCGTCATCTCGTATAACAGGAGCATTTTCTGTCTCCACTGTTATGATGGGGAGGGAATAGATGGCAGTCACGAGGCCGTATGGTAAATACTAAAAAAAAAAACTTTATGTATAACTTTATTAAAAAAAACTTAAGTAGCGGAAAGTCTTTGTCTGAAAGAAACATTTTGTCATAATCACATTGAGATTGTTCACCGGAGAGAGTACAAGAGTCCTCTGCATGGGTTTTTTTATGGGTGAAAATGGAATGGCAACCCCGCCTGCGCTAATGGGATACGCTGGCGGAGCGCCAGTGAAGGGAGATCTATGAAAATGAAAACAGGTCAGTTAGCCCATCATGTTGAATTCATCAGGAATTAACCCAGTATGGCATACCAGTGAATTTACACGGTACAGAGGAATAACACCTGAGTCCTCAGGAATGGCAACGCATGGGGGGTATCATGGGCGAATCAGTATATTCTATTATGTCCATGGTATTTACTGCACATGTCTATAGGCGACGGTTACGACTTTCCATCAGGTGGGCCGTCAGCTTGTTTGCCATTCTAAGTTGCATAAAAAACAAGAGAATATTTATTTTTAAAAGGCCGGCAGCATATCTACAATTTCACTGATGTTACGCCCTGCTCATGAGCATCGGTAATCACTCACTATCAGGTAAGTCGTATGCTTATTTGCCCACTGTTATATATAAAAAAAAATCTTCATACCTCTTTTAGCTCAAGTTCAAAGGTTGTTTTTGGGTAAATGACATCAGGATTAAGTTTCAGAGAGCGCAGTGCGTTGCTCAACTCTTGATAATAATGGTCGGTGAGGTCTTGGAAGTGCTCCCGCCGGAACTTCTCGTCAGATCCCGTGAAGATGAAATACATCAGGTCGTATAGTGGAGAGTTATATTGGATTGTTTGAAAATCTACAGGTATTACTTCAAGAGCGCCGTTCTGTAAAATTATATTTATTAATAATTAGCTGACACAGACAATTTGTGTTTGACATTGTCTGTGTCAGCATCCATAATACCACCACCATCACCATCACCATCGTATAAATATTGACAAATATATATTATATATATATATAGGTATATATATATATATATATATATATATATATATATATATATATATATATATATATATATATATATATATATATATATATCACCGGAGGGAGACTGTACAAAAGTCGATTACTTGGGTACCTCTGTCCCATTCGTGTTTCAACCGTGAAGCAGTTGTGTTTGCATGGCTATGTTTTGGTTTGAAGGGTGGGATATGGCGTGAATTTACAGGGTACAGAGGAATAACACCTGAGTCCTCAGGAATGGCAACGCATGGGGGGTATCATGGGCGAAAAAGTATACTCTGTTATGTCCATGATACTGCTCATGTCTATAGGCGACGGTTACCACTTTCCATCAGGTGGGCCGTCAGCTTGTTTACCATTCCAAGTTGTATAAAAAAAATATATAAAAAAAAATAGCCCATCGTGATGAATACACACATTTGCATATACTTATATGTAACATCTTCTTTAATACTAGTTTTTTTTTTTTATTCAATACACTTCGAGTTTAGGACACTATTCATTATAGTATATATTCTAGTTGCCGTATGGTCACAACAAAATGGGCCATCCCTTCTTTTCCCGTGGGTGTCATAAGAGGCGACTAAGAAAATTTAATGATCGAGCGATAGGCAGCAGCGTCCCTCTACATTCCGAAGCGTAACTGTGGTTGCCAACACGTCAGCCAAGCGTGGCAACTATTGGCAAAACCCCCCTTATCATATTATATAAGAAATATACTTTAATTAAAACTTTATTAAAACACTGAATTTACGCGGTTGGTTAAAAGACATGGCTGTTCTAGACAAGCCCATCTGTATCTATATATTTTAAATTTAGAAACAAACTTTGTCAAGAACTATATATCAGTTAATGACGTCTAGTGTGTCTATTTGATTATTTGTCATAGATAGATAAATAAACGGAAACTCTTTAATGTTTCATCCAAAAGATTACAATGGTAAACATATTAATGATACAAACAATTATAAGAAATTATCACAATGAGAAAACAATGGACGTCCTTATCGCTAAAGCGATCTTTTCCAGGTCGTAGATGTTTATTACTGTAATCTTTTGGAAGAAACAATAAAGAGTATCTGTCTATTTATCTATTTGTATTTTATTTCTTGTATTTTATACGTACCTCATTTACTCTATGCATTAAGTTGCTTGGTCTATAATCCCCGTGGCATAGAATAGGTCGTTGCAACGATTTATTTTTGAACATCAATTCTGTATTCACTTCAGTATCCAGATATTTTTGTAGTTTATTTTTATGTTTCTCTGGTATTACAGCTAAAGTTGTGTTTATGTGCTGTTGATACATACGCTTTAAGATGCCAGCGATCATTTCACCATTACCTTTAATTTTTTCCACAACTTGTTCAAATTCTACTGGATTATTTTCGCTGTATGCCATAGAGAGGGCGTGAAACTTAGCCAATGATTCCATGGCTTTTGCAGCGTAGTCCCAATCTATAGATTTAAATCTGTCATGTGTGGTGAATCCTTTCACCGTTAGATTTTCAAGAACTATTGTTTGCGCAACCGGTTCTTTTGGATAACAACCATAGTATTTGGGTACAATCAGTCTCTTTTCAACAGGTAAATTATGCGCATTTTGTATATTTTCATATTTTTTTAATAGATCGACATAAAAAAATTGTTCTAGGTCGACTATTTTCATAGGTAACTGGGCAGATAAATTTTCATTCGTAACAAGAACTTTAGCAAACAGTTGAAGATCTTCTTTCCCAGACTCGGATACAATGATTGTGTACAGAGATGATGAATAATTGGCACCGCCAGTAGAAATTGGATTTACAGCAACAGTAGGATTTATATAATTATTTTTTTTAACGATATCGTCTAATACTTTGTGTAGTTTCTCTAACGCCATTGTGCTAGCGTTGTTTTTATCAGGAATTTTATTTTAAACTAATCAAGTAATGTATGCATATGGCGTATTTTCTTTATCGTTGATTGTATTAATTTTGTACTTGAACAAAGATATAGATTAAAAATAATTTGATAATCTTCAATAAATAGTTTGATATCTATCTACACTTACTCACACTACGTATAAGGCGTAGTCTAGAAGACCTATTTACTTATCATTATTAATTGATAGGTACTCGTTAGGAATGTATAAGGTATGGTATCGTGAGCAATATAATATCTTCTATAATGACCATGCAGTTATAGTTACCAGTTTCCATTCGATGGTATGTCAGCTCATTTGCCGTTCCAATTGTATTTTGAACACAAGAATTACAACAATAGTTTCAATTCGAAGATTATTTTAATAAGTCGTTTCGTTTCTTACGAAGCTACGATTGACAATGAATTTTCAACAACGCATACAGATTATCGCTGGCTTGACAGCCACAGATCACAGATGTCACGTCTCAATTTACAATTAGTACATAATCTATGATAGTGTAATGTTACAAGAATGTATCGTGGTAAATGGTTTATTATATTAGATTTACTCTGCCATTTTGATGGTTTTAAAATACGTTTTCCTCTGTTTGTGGCAATCAAATGGACTGCTATATTATATCAATACTTTCAGATATTTTCTTAGATTAAATTCGATTTTATATCTTTTTTTTTTTTTTTTACAACACAGGGGGCAAACGAGCATGCGGCTCACCTGATGGTAAGTGACTACCGCCGCCCATGGTCACCCACAACACCTACGGCATTGCAGGTGTGCTGCCGGCCTTTTAAAAAGGAATATGCTCTTTTCTTGATTTTCTTTCTGATTCTTATAAATATTTTTACTCATATAGTACTAATGGTGATTTATAAATATTTTCCTCGCAAATATAATTAAAAGAAACAATTGAAAAATAGTTTAGTTTAAGTCGTCGTGTCATGTAAGACGATTCAAAATTTTTATGACACGTTATTTTTGTTCTGTATTGTTTCATCTGTTAAATAAGTAAATTCAACTGTAAAGAACTGGCAAGAAGCACAAATGTTACTCATTTCAAATTGGTATTATATATTGTAATGAAACTTTGAATTTAAAAAAAGAAAATACACAGTCACCAAAAATTCGTTGCTTTTGTTTATTGTCGGTATATTATGTTCTTTTTGGTAACAGTGAGATTTTACCTATGTAATAATTTAATAACGGTTTACTATTAATAAAATTCCGGTATGAATTCATAAAAATAACATTATATAAGAAACAACCTGTAATAATAGACTTTTTTTATACAACTTAGAATGGCAAACAAGCTGACGGCCCACCTGATGAGCAGTACCGTGGACATAACAGAGTATACTGTTTCGCCCATGATATCCCCCGTGCGTTACCATTCCTGAGGACGACAGGAATGATAACGCACGGGGCGTTACCATTCCTGAGGACTCAAGTGTTATTCTTCCATACCCTGTATATTCACGCCATATCCCACCATTTAAACCGAAACACAGCCATGCAAACAACTGCTTTACGGTTGAAACACGAATGGGACAGAGGTACTGAAGCAAACAACTTTTGTACAAAGTCTTCTTCTGGTACAGACTTAATATAAGAGTAAATTAATTAATAAACACATAAACCCAACTATTTAATCTTATTACTAATTAATATAAATACGAAAGTTTGTGAAGATCGATGGATTTTTTTACTCAATCACGCAAAAAGTACAGAATGGATTTGAAAAATATTTAGTACACGGTACAATATTCATATACTGATTTACGCAGGTGAATCCGCGGAATACAGTTAATATTTTTTTTATACCACTGAGGTGGCAAACAAGCATACGGCCCACCTGATGGTAAGTGGTTTTCGTAGCCTATGAACGCTTGCAATACCAGGGGTGTTACGCGCGCGTTGCCGACCCTGAAGAAACCTCTTTACCCCCCCTGTTGAAGAACTCCATGCTGTAGTCTCTTGGGAAATCCTGGGCAGGGAGCTCATTCCATAACCTGAGTGTTCGTGGGAGTAAACAACTTTGAAACTATAAATATAAATGTTTGTGGTGTGTTTATCTATAATGTCGTCACCTTTATGGTAAACTTACGAAACTGAAAAAGATGCATTTTACAGGGGAAGAATTGGGTATATTTGTAACTTAGATGATGTAGCATTTAGTGTATAAAACAGGTTAATATTTAGTCAGCCAAACTTCACTTTGGCTGACTCAATTTTGACGTGCAATTTTTTCAGTGTTGCAAGTAATTCAACGAACATTTTTCCACATCAGCAGGTCTTTTTTTTACAACACAGGGGGCAAACGAGGGATTCGACTCACCTGATAGTAAGTGACTACCGCCGCCCATGATCACCCACAACACCAACGGCATTGCAGGTGTACTGCCGGCCTTTTAAAAAGGAATACGCTCTTTTCTTGAAGGTTACGATGTCTTGTCGGTTTGGAAATACTGTTGCTGGAAGTTGATTCCAAAGAGTGGCTGTGCATGGAAGAAAGTGCCTAGGTCTACTCTTAAATTTAATATGTCAATCCAATCTATTGCCAATGACAATTTTGTACTTCACTCATGAAATAACAATTAGGAATTAGGTTAGAATTTGGATCGGTTTATAATAGTTTGTACTGGCAAGTTACACTAAAGTTTTAATCACTTACCATCAGGTGAGCCGCATGCTCGTTTGTCCCCTGTGTTGTAAAAAAAAAAAAAAACACTAATATGTATCTATCAGAACTATATGGAACTATTATGTCACTAGTGTTGCAATTTGAGAGAATTTATTTCAAAAGTAACTCCACAAACTGACTTTTTTTAATTGGTAACTGGTATATTTGTTTTCTTATACAAATAAACATGTGCTTATAAATTATTATCTCTATCTCTCTCTCTCTCTTTCTCTCTCGCTCTCTTCAGTCGTACACTCTTGATAGCGTGCTCGTCGTTTTTATAATGATAGTGGATCGTCGATAAGGCCCTCCTTCGCGATTGAATTCCTCGCAATGCGTCTCCATCTACTTCTGCTCACAGCCAAGCTAGAGCATTTCACAATAGACGGCAATCACTTTCAATGATTTTGATAACGCATTGATACTTTAAGTGTATTCTCAAATATAGATAGAAATTAATCAGCGAGGATAAGTATCATTATGAATCATTATATATTTCTCACACATACTTAGTATTAACTATATTATAGTAATAACCCGATTCACGCACACGTAGATAAAAAAAGTCGAGCTGTTTTCTGTTTCGAAGCAATTTGCTTCGTAAACTTTTAGTCAACTTTTTTATAACATTTCTCAGATCCCAAGACATCAGTCATACTGGTGATCAAATATACACTCTTCAGGAATAAATATCATAAAATGTAATACTTTCCATTTTTTTTATGCAACTTAGAATGGCAAACAAGCTGACGGCTCACCTGGTAGAAAGTGATAACCGTCGCCTATAGACATGAGCAGTACTATGGACAACAGAGTAGGTATACTGTTTCGCCCATGATACCCCCCATGTGTTGCTATTCCTGAGGACTCAGGTGTTATTCCTCTGTACCGTGTAAATTCACTGCCATATCTCACCCTTTAAACCGAAACAGCCATGCAAACACAAATCCTTTACAGTTGAAACACTTGTCATTCATTCATTCATTCATACTAATGTCGTCCGACCACTAATGTCCTTTATTAGTAGATGTTGACGAGTCGACACGAACATAGCCGAGTCGAGCCGATCGTTTAAATATCTTAATGTTCTAATGAATAAGAGTGTTGCTAATTTAAATTTAGTAAATATTACCAAGTTTCGATAAAAATAAATAAAGTTTTTGTAGGAAATTGCGAAAGTATTACAAAACGTATTATAAAATTGATATTACAGTGCTTGGTAATGTAGCAGTAATGGATACAAACTTTGGAATGAACTTAGTAGTAAACAGACTAAGAGTTGGCCAGAGGACTTTTTTGTATGTAGTTACTAATTAGTAAAATCATTTGAACACGGTATAGTACTAGTATATTACTAATTTTTTAGTCGAATTATGAAATTAGTAATTACTAACTATTCGAATAATAAAATTATTCGGATTCGCGCATCGCTAATTTATACTTATAATAAATCTGTAGAGAGTTCAATTCTGTACATGAAATATATTTCCAAAATAACTATCAAAGGGTGATTAATGATCGATACTGATGCCAAAAATGCAATCAGTAAAATTTTTGTCTGTCTGTCTGTATGTTCGTTACAGAAACAAAAACTACTCGACGGATTTTAACGAAACTTGGTACAATTATTCTTCATACTCCTGACCAGGTTATAGTATACTTTTCATCACGCTGTGATCAATAGGAGCAGATCAGTGAAGGGAAATGTTAAAAATGACCACTCGTGCGACGCCGGGACGGGACGCTAGTTTATCATAAATCAACGCCTATTTCTCTTCAACCGGCAATTAATTACCTTCATTTGTTTTCACTCTTTGTAAAATGTACCTGTACATATTCACTTTTGGACTCATACTTTTTTGGGAGTATGATTTATTTCGGTCTTAAAAGAACGCTAATAACTTTAACTTCATTTTATATTGACTATTTTAACAATCATGCTTTGCTTTATAACCAAACGAAGTGTATATATAATGAAATAATTTAATATTTTGTTTCACCAAAAGAAACGATTTTAATTATTGTGTAACCGTTTATTTTGATTTAAAAACTAAACTGCTGAATTTATTTTGATAAAACTATTATGGGAGCTATCTGTAGGTATATTTTTTATAGGATAAAAAAATATTTTTCAAAATCTGTTATTAAGTGACGGAGTTATGAGGTAACAAACATTAAAATAACAATCAAATTGAGAGCATTCTTCTTTTTGAAAACGGTCGTACCTGTTTCAAATAATTTTCGAAGTCCATTTTCGAGTTTACGAAATACAGGACTGTATTTCAGACAGCAACTAAAGTACTACCTAATTCTTTGTAGTAATGGTCCATGAGGGACTGAAAGTGCTCTCGTCGGAACTGCTCGTCAGAGCCCGTGAAGACAAAGTGCTGTAGATCTATTAGTGGAGAGCTGTTTTGGATTGTTTGAAAAGAAACGGGTACCAAGTCAAGATATCATAGGAAAGATATTTATCTATATGTGCATAATCTATTCTTTTTTTCCATTTAGTATATCTTGAAAATAGTATATTAATATAATGCACACTTACTAGGGGGGAAAAGGATTGTTAGCAATGGAGTTTGATAGCCCCATTGCTAGCAATATACCTTATTAGGTCGACCTCCACGTGGTTCCCCCTGGAACCCATCGTGAACAATTCTTGTTTCTTTATCTGCGATTTATGATACACTACTGTCATAAATTAAAAAAAAAATACAAAAAATATTGCTTATATATATATATATATTTGTTTATTTATCTAGACATTGAAATACAAAACGTAATAAAACCATACATTTTGTTACAGATTCAATTTAATATGTGAGAACGAACTCTTTTTAATATTGCACGTACTGGCCACTTGTACTTTTTTTACTATAAAAATTATGATGCATACTGTCGATTCTTTTTTTAATTTTGTAAAAAGGACGTTGAAAACGTATTACGTAATATATTTATCTCGTCTTCCTTATAAATATCTAATAATTAAGCCACATTTGCATCACAATTATAGCTGTTTACAGTACATTTATAATGAGGTACATTAAAAGTCTTATGAAGAATGAATGAAGATTGTTCATGGAAATAGCACCATTGTCAAGGTTGGAATTACAGTTATTTTATAACGTAATTAAACTTACTATTTAATATCTATGCAAATAATTTATCTAAATTAACGAATCCCACAACTGGGACGAATGGTTACTATCCTAACAAGTGCCATTGTCTTCATGTCCTTACGACTTTCTAGAAAAGAAGGTGGGCGCACTTGTATTTGTTGAATTACCTAGCCGTGGTGGGTAAGCTGGGTATAGCAAAGATTATATAAATGATACAATTGGAAAATAAACATGAATTTGAAAGAAAGAAGAAAGAAAACATTGCCAACAACAAAAAGAGAAATAAAAAGAGAACAAAAAGTAAGAGTAGTAAAACTTATACAAATTTTTAATAGAAAACAAATTTGACATTTGTTATTGCCAACATGGCCGCTACTCAGCATATGCTAAAACAATTCAGTTGCTACAGTGCTGATATTCTGTAGTAGCCATGTTTGACATCAAGAACGATGACAGTAAAAATAGAAAAGATTTAGAAAATTTTAAGAGGCTATATGCATGCAAAATCTGCCGCCCCTTGTACTCCTTTGTCCCACCCGGCTATCGTATAAACGATCTACTAGTAAATATAGCACTGATGGACACTTTAATTAATTAACGTAGCACGCCATTTTAATACTTAATCCAAAAACAAAAACACCATCTGGCAACACTAGAAACGTACGTCATTCGATATTCGCGCTCAAGCGCATGTGACACAAAAATAACAAAAAAAAAAAAGACAATATAATAATAAATATAAGAGCAAATAATATCTCTCGACGATATCGTCGTTAAAACATCTCTAAAAGTCAAAACCGCCTAGCAAACGTGGCAACTACTGGCAAACTTCTTACAGGGAAGGCTTATGTTGAGCAGTTGACAGTTGACGGCCGAAATGACGAAAAATGATGATGACGTAAACGTAATATTGGTAACGGGGACTAGAGACATCATAGTTATCAATTTATAATATCTAATCAACGCCAATATGGCTCCAGATCGATACTAGCGTATTTTTTTTTCTAGAACTCACATTAACGAAGCAACTTACCTAACTTCATCCTCTCGATTCCCCGTAAACCAATATATTTAGGCAGAATTACCATCTGCTCATGTTTGCTTGTTTATTTTACATTTAAAAAATACAGATAAATAAAACTTAATGCTAATCACAGTTACAATGGAAAAATATAAAACTATCTTGTAATATAATAATTTGAAAAGAATAACTGTAGAGATTCTTATGAGTTCTTCTCACCAGATAACATGATCATGAACCTTTGTAATCAAGTCTATTTTAATAAAGATTATTTCTATTCTATTCTATTCTATTCTAACAACACCTTTTATTAGCTTCAAGAACAATCTACATTCACCTCAACAATATTAACTTATATATAAATCCATGTATCAATAAATCGTGTAACAAGACTCTAAGCTTCCAATCTGACGTTCATACCGGTGAACAATGGATTGCTTACTTTTATTTATAAAATAGAAAGAAACAAAAAACAATTCCCGGCTTTTTCTCTTGCTCTCTTTTTCTCTCTATTTCTTTTTTTTTTAGCTAAATGATTTTATACTGAATACAGTCTTCGATCAATTCGGTGAATCTCTTAGCGAATAGCTCATTTGGCGTCAGAACAAAATTATTGAAGTCTGCGTCTCCATCCATCCGCGGGGCGTTTTCGGCTTCCACCGTTACAACTGGCAGAACTAACACACCAAGCATTACAGCAAATGGCAGCATCTGTAATAAAATATTTTGTGTACTATTTATAATTATTGTCTCTTTTGTCGCCGTGTCGGTCCCGGCATGGAATAGGCCACCCCTTCCTTTCCCGTGGGTGTCGTAAAAGGCGACTAAGGGAGAGCGGGGGATGGGCAGCAGTGTTCCTCTTAAAACATCTCCAAAGCCTAACTGCAGTTGCTAATCCGTCTGCCAAGCGTGGCTTCTCAATAAAGATGAATTCAGGGTTAATCTTAAATACTCTTTAAAACTAAAACAATTTGAGTAGGCTTAATAGGGTTAGTTTGGTATGGGTCCCATAATGGTAGACATATAGGGATTAAAGGTAATAAAAGGGCCGATGAGTTGGCGAGAAGGGGATCAGATTAAAAAATTATAGGTCCTAAACCATATGTTGCACTTGCATCAAGTGTTTGAAGAGAGTAGCAAAAGGAATGGAGGACTTTGAAGGCTCTTAGCCAACCAAAAAGTTCTTAAACGACAATGCTGAGGGATGGGATAAACTCATCTACAGCGGTGGCAGACAACAGGGAAGATTCATAATGGGTGCCCTAACTGGACATATGCCAGTAAGGCATATACTACACAAGATGGGTCTATCTTCGGACACACTGAGCAGACTGTGCGGGGAGAAATCGGACTCCATGGAACACTTGATGTGCAACTGTGATTCGTTAGCGAGCATGTGTATGAATCTACTAGGAACGGCTTATCCAGAGCCAGGGGACTACAGATATCTTGAATCACGGGATATCGTTAAGGTAACACATAGGATCTATGAAATGATGGTATAAGGTAGGGGGAAGCAAAAGATCCCGATGGGTCGATGTGCAACGTCTTAGCTGACCCCATATGCGAATACAAGATAATAATAGAATCTTTATTTAATATCTATTATATAGTTAACTACATAAAATTTACTACATTGTTGTAAATCTTAGATAATACCAAGGTAAATACTTATTATGTACGTAATGCCTAACAATATTATACTTAATATATGCAAATTATGAATAGCTACATACAATTAATCTTGTTGTTTCATTGTATGTAATTAAATTAATCAATACCAGAAGAAGACTTTGTACAAAAGTAGTTTGCTTGAGTACTTCTGTCCCATTCGTGTTTCTACCGTGAAACAGTTGTGTTTGCATGGCTGTGTTTCGGTTTGAAGGGTGAAATATGGCAGTGAATTTACAGGATACGGAGGAATAACACCTGAGTCGTCAGGAAAGGCAACGCATGGCGGGTATCATGGGCGAAACAGTATACTCTGTTATGTCCATGGTACTGCTCACGTCTATAGGCGACATTTACTACTTTCCATAAGGTGGGCCGTCAGCTTATTTGTCATTCTAAGCTGCATAAAACAAATTAAACGACGATAAACTAATAGATTCTCACCTCCTTTAATTCACTATTGAACGTCTCCCTTGAATAGACCTCGTCTGCTTTTATATTGAACTTGGCCAACGCCAAGAAGAGCTGCTCGTAGTAGTGTTCGATGAGCTGGTGGTAGTACTTGGCTCGGAACTTCTGGTCGGACCCCACAAATATGAAGTAGATTAGGTCCGAGACGGGGCTACCAGCACGGATGGTCTGGTAATCGACTGGCACAATTTGGAGAGAGTCACCCTGAAATGAAAAATAGACATATTTGTTTGAGTCTAATATTTTTTACGCAATACATAATGGAAAATAAGCCCACTGATGGAAAGTGATCATCATTTTATCCGTTAATTGTCCACTGCTGGACATAAGCTTTCCGCATAAGAGGAGTTTTGCCATTAGTTGCCATGCTTGGCAGGCTGGTTAGCAATTGCAGATAGGCCTTTGGGGAAGTTTTAATAGAGATGCTGCTGCCCATCCCTCGCCCTCTCTTAGTCGCCTCTTACGACCTTATCGCTTTTAGCGATAAGGTCGCCCATTGTTTTTTGCTGTGATTATTTCTTGTAATTGTTTGTATCTATAATAAGTTTACTATTGTAATCTTTTGGAGGAAATACTAAAGAGTATCTATAATATATATATTTATATATATACATACATATGTATATATTCTTAAATATGATCTTTGATATAATATACTTTGCTATACACCGCTCTACCCGCTGACATTAATGCTCTTTTCCACATTGGGTTTGCTGGAAGAGAACTCTTTTAGAATTAAGCTCGCCTTTGTACATTTACTTACCTCTGTCATATTTTTTATGCACTATCAGTTTCTACATCAAAGTACAAACAAATAATGCCACTAGGTCAAGGTCGTCAACTACTGTAGGAAACAGAAGATTTCAATGTCACTAAATCTTGTGATTAGTGCATTTAAATGACGAGACAATGTGTTTGTTTGTTGATATTTCCTCGGAAATGGGAGTTAATATCAGACAAAGTCTAGTGTAACGATTAATCAAGTCATATTTGAAGATTACAACATAATGCATCTGCATACGTATACATAGTGAGCATAGTTACGCCATCGTAGAACCAGGTAAGCGTTTACTCAGTACAATAACTCGATTGTGTAATAATTGACACCTATGTACGGTACAATCGTTTTAGATTTAATATTATATTACAATTATTATTACATCATATGTATATATTTATTTATATATTTATATTTATTTATTTATTTATTTACCTCTTTATTGCACCGAAACCAGACCAGTTTACCAGAGGGAGACTTTATACAAAAGTCGATTGCTTAGGTACCTCTGTCCCATTCGTGTTTCTACCATGAAGCAGTTGTGTTTGCATGGCTGTATTTCGGTTTGAAGGGTGGGATATGACATGAATTTATTGAATAACACCTGAGTCCTCAGGAATGGCAATGCATAGGGGGTATCATGGCGAAACAGTATACTCTGTAATGTCCATGGTACTGCTCATGTCTATAGGTGACGGTTACCACTTTCCATCAGGTGGGCTGTCAGCTTGTTTGCCATTCTAAGTTGTATAAAAAAAAACCGAAACATAAAAATAAATAATGACATATAAACAATTCAACTGAAATACAGTAGCATGGAGTACAGATTAAAATATACACATAAAGGTACAAAAGGCGGTCTTATCGCTAGAGCAATCTCTTACAAACAACCTTTGGTTGAAGGAGAACATTTAGAAGTGGGTAGGTGGCGCATGAGTGAATTAATAATTGTTACGTATAATGCACAAAAACATCAAATACATATTGTTTATTAGACTACTTATTATAGCAAATAATATGTACTACATATACATATACATATAAATATATATTATATGCTTATTTACTTTTTATTACATCACTTTGTCAATCAAATTCGGTTGTATTTTTTTTAAAGTTTGTTACCTCATAACTCCGTCAGTTGTAAACCGATTTAGAAAATTCTTTCTTCCTCTCAAAGGATATACTTCTAGCTTGGTTCCATAGAAATTCTATCAATATCGGTTTAGTAGTTTAGTTTTTAAATTAAAATAAATGAGTGTCACAAATGAAGTTGACTTTTTTGTGGGACACTAATCTTTCATTACGTTTATCACCTTGATGATAACATTGACCGCTATAATTCATACAAAAGAACATAACCTTTATTCACAATAAAAATTTTGGAGTTAATAAGCAAAAAATAAACAATTTAAGATAGTTAGAATCCGTAAAATATATTTTTAAATGCATAGTTGCTTCTGATTGTTACAATCCGGAAACGTGAATTCATCTTTTTTTCCATGGGAAATATAGTAGATTGGAATGCTTCGTGATTATTTTTAAACTGTGCTTATGATTTTTATTTCTTTGTTTTTTATTTAAAAATAATTTTCTTATCTTGCTCAGAAAACTGAAAATCAGGATAGACTCGGACCAAACTTTATGCAGTATAGATCTTAATAAAGTATTTCTAGAAATTATGATTTTTTTATACCACTGAGGTGGCAAACAAGTATACGGCCAACCTGATAGTAAGCGGTTACCGTAGCCTATGAACGCCTGCAATACTAGAAGTATTACGCGCGCGTTGCCGACCCTGAAGAAACTTCTTTACCCCCATTTTGAAGAACCCCATGCTGTAGTCTCTTGAGAAAACCTCGGCAGGGAGCTCATTACATAACCTGAGTATTCGTAGGAGAAAACATCTCTGAAACCACGCTGTACGCGACCATTTAGGTATGAGGGTGAACTCCCTGTCGATGGCGAGCCGTACGATGATAGAAAGTGGCCGTGGGCATCATACTGATTTGATCTTATACGAACCCGATGAGTCGCAATGCTTGTGTCAAACAAATCCTAACCGGCACCGGACGTCCGTCTTTGTCGATATTTCTATTCTATTTCAAAGGACGTCCATTACTTCGCAAGGCAAACAAATTTCGACTTTAAAATTATGATTAAAGAATACAATATCATTTGATAACAGTGACCGTACAACTATCCTAATACATCTTGCCACTTGAAGTGGGGATTAAATTGCAGTGGGCACATAGATAGATAGACAGATATTCTTTATTGTTTCCTCCAAAAGATCACAATAGTAAACTTATTATAAATATAAAGAATTAAAAGAAATAATCACAATGAGAAAACAATGGGCGACCTTATCGCTAACAGCGATCTCTTCCAGGCAACCTTTGGATGGAGAGGAGTAATTCCTAATGGACAGCACTATAATACAAATAATAGACAAAATTATATTATTATTATTATTTTTATTTTATCACGTTCACAAGCCGGAGTGAATAAAAAAGAGCCGGTCAAGTGTGAGTCGAAACAGAAATAGTATACTGTTATGTCCATGGTATTGCTCATGTCTATAGGCGACGGTTACCACTTTCCATCAGGTGGGCCGTCAGCTTGTTTGCCATTCTAAGTTGTATAAAAAAAAAAAAAGATTATTAATAGATTTGAGATCAGTACTTAGTAATTTCTGTGTTAATGTATCTATTATTTGATATAGCAGTATAATTTATGCCATAATATAATATTATAATATGCAACAAATGACCCACTTTAGCTATTAAAGTCTTTCTCTATTGCGCTTATGCTCAATTTGAAAGACAGTGACAAAAGACACTAATGGTTAAAAATAGGTTTGTTTTGAATTTTTATGGTAGGAATAAAGGATATATATATATATATATATATATATATATATATATATATATATATATATATATATATATATATATATATATATATATATATATATATATATATATATATATATATATATATATATATATATATATATATATATATATTTCTATGGGTTCGATCTGTATTTACAAAGACGGAGTTATGAAGTAACAAACATAAAAAAATCACCAGAGAAACACCTTCTTTTTGAAGTCGGTTAACAATTATAAAAACACCACAAAATGACATAATTTTTTATTGCTTGCTCCTCAAACAATCATTCCCTGTATTATGGGAAATCATTTATCTACAGCGCAACATAGAACTTCCAAATGTTAACTCTCCAAAACTCAGACCCTGAGGCCCCATTTACACAAAGCAAACTACTATTACACGGAGGTCACAAAAAGTGTCAATGTTGCGGTTTCATAATTTAGAATGAGCAGTCATTTATCAACCGTAAAATTTAGGCCATCGACTTGGCGTTTACATTCATAGACCAGCGGTGTTATTCTGTAACCGACTATTCTATACAGTCGCTCGCATACAAAAGCTTCAAGTCGCTCAGCGAGCTATAGAGACGGCTATGCTGATCATTTTCACCACCGTACAACCCGCCATAAACTAAAATTTCATCCCAACCATCTGGACGAGTGGCGTTCTTCTAGTGTGCGTTTTACAAGGCACTTTCTCCCACGTACAACTAATCTTTGGAATCAACTTCCAGCAGCAGTATTTCCGAACCGATACGACAACATAACCATCAAGAAAAGAGCATATTCCTTTTTAAAAGGCCGGCAGCACACCTGCAATGCCGTAGGTGTTGTGGGTGACCATGGGCGGCGGTAGTCACTTACCATCAGGTGAGCCGCATGCTCGTTTGCCCCCTGTGTTGTAAACAAAAATGCTCATTTTTTTGCGTGACAGAAACCGAAATGAGGGTATCCGTAGAAGAACCACATAACAAACATAAAAAAAAAACAACCGATTTGAGCTTTGTTTTTGAAGTCGTTTGAAAACTCACTTCGCTCGTCATTTCCAAAGTCTACAAATAATACAAGAATACAGATTTGAAATTATGAAATTTAGATGACATGCAAACTTAAGTGAAGTGAAAAGTGAAATGTAAAGTGAAGTGTAAAGTGAAATGCAAAGTGAAGTGAGTTGCGTAATCGTTACAGAATAGGTTAGCTGCGCTCTGTCACCGCGGCCAACCTCGGACGCAGTTTACTACGCCCGTCCGAGATAAAGGGAGATCAAGGCCTTTATTACAATGACGTATTGTGCTGTGAATTGTGCATGCAATTGTCAATGAAATACTTCCACCGAATTAGTTGATATATCCGTTACCCGTCAGTTTTAAACATGGCAGACATGGTTATACCATTTTGCCATAATTTCAAAAAAGGTTTTTTTTAAATTTTTTTTTAAAGATAGATAATTTATTTGCATTACTTACAGCACACAAATTACAATACAAACATACACACACAGTAAAAGAGATAAAAGAATGAAAAACAAAAAAAAGCAAAATATAAAAACAACATTTTCCTTTTTTCATGTACCTACGTGCTATAGTAACACAAAATGGTCACAACTCAGTTTATTGCTTTGCCCTTAAAAAGAGCACGGAATGGGTGAGTATGGAATAACAAGCCCGCCTGTGCTATTGGTATACTCTGATGAGACATCAGTAAGAGATGATAGGTGAAAATTTGGCAGGTCAGGTAACCCATCGTGACGAATTCAACAAGAATAAATCACGATGTTTTCCATGGGGAACCGCGTATAGGTAGATTTGATAGGGCGACTGGTCACGACGTATATCGTGGAAAAATAATAATTACAACTATAAAAATAAAAAATATTTTGTATTATTAAAATGTGTATTTTTGTTAAGAAACACTCACAATTAACTTAATAAACAAACAAACATTATAACGCGCAGTAATAGATATAAAAATAAATTGTGTGTAAGTAACACAACGACTAAATGTTTTGAGTGGAGGGAAGGGATTGTTAGTAATGGGGAGGTTAGTCCCCATTACTATCAATATACCCTATCAGGTCGACCTACACGCGGTTCCCCCTGGAAACTATCGTGGCTAATTTATCGTTGAATTCGTCACGGTGAGCTAACTGACCTGCCTTTTCATCCTCACCTATTACCTCCCACTGGTACCCTGCCAGTGTATACCGTTAGCGCAGGCGGGGTTATCATTCCATACTCACCCATTCCATTGCCATTACCATGCCATTTTCACTCATTAAAAAAAAGTATTGAGTACTAACGCTTACTGCGTGGCAATACAGATATATAACTGTCTACCTTAACGTATCAGGAATTGTAATATTATATCCTATTTAAAATAACGCTCTTCAAGCTACTTTTATATAAATGTTATTACTCAGTAAATGAGAAACGAATTTATATTAATAATAAATCGACATGACTAGGTAAGTAATACGTAAGTATACAAAAAGTGACAAAATATTATTGCTACTTATATGTTCCGTGTTTTTTTTTATACAACTTAGAACGGCAAACAAGCTGACGGCCCACCTGATGGAAAGTGCTAACCGTCGCCTATAGATATGAGCGAAAAAGTGTTTTTTGTCAAATAATAAAAAATACTTCAAATGTTATACAAAATGTGGGTAGTTTTTCTTTAATGGATTATAATGGAATGATAACCCCGCCTGCGCTATCAGTATACATTAGCGAGGCACCAATGAGGGACGATTGATGAAGATAAAAAAGCAGGTCAGTTCCGATAAGTTAAGATACGGCCTTGAAATAGAGCTGGCTGGAAGAAGATGCATGAAGTAGTTGCACCGACAAGAGGACACACTTAAATGAAAAAAAAAGTATGTAGGTATCAGAACAAAAAAAAATTATGATGAACTTATTAGATTCTGACTATTTTTTTTTATACAACTTAGAATGGCAAACAAACTGACGGCCCGCCTGATGGAAAGTAATAACCGTCGCCTACAGACATGAGCCGTACCATTGATGCGTTGCCATTCCTGAGGACTCACGTGTTATTCCTACGTACCCTGTAAATTTACTGCCATATCGCACCCTTCAAACCGAAACACAGCCTTGCAAACAACTGCTTCACGGTTGAAACACGAATGGGACAGAGGTGCCCAAGCAAACGACTTTTGTACAAAGTCTCCCTCTGGTGAATTTTAGAGTAATCGATATAAAATAACACTCTCCCTGTCTTAATAGTGTTATATTTCACAATTCCATTCACTTACACGTTCCAAATAACTACAGTTTTCAAAAGGGTATCGCCATTTTTATATTTGTTTATTACTACCACCGAGTCATTGAATGACTAATACTTATTTTGTAAATTCATTAATAATTATGAAAATAAATTGAAAATATTTAAAAATATTCAAAAAATTAATAAATATCAGAAGGAGACTTTGTACAAAAGTCGTTTTCTTGGGTACCTTTGTCCCATTCATGTTTCAACCGTAAAGCAGTTGTGTTTGCATGGCTGTGTTTCGGTTTGAAGGGTGGGATATGGCGTGAATTTACAGGGTACGGAGGAATAACACCTGAGTTCTCAGGAATGGCAACGCATGGGGGGTATCATGGGCGAAACAGTATACTCTGTTATGTTCATGATACTGCTCATGTCTATAGGCGACGGTTACCACTTTCCATCAGGTGGGCCGTCAGCTTGTTTGCCATTCTAAGTTGTATAAAAAAAAAATTATAACATGATTTAGATTCATTAATTTTTTTTGTGACATATATAAACAGTGATTTGATGTAGGTAGACAAAATAATCACTGACAAGATGGCAGTTCTTCTTAAATTAAACATAATATTACGCTATTATATTATTTTTATGTTACTATATATAAAATTGCTTATTTAATAACATAATTGAAATTTGTTTGCCGTGTGGTCCCAGTATAGAATAGGCCACCCCTTCGCATGGGTGTCGTAAGAGGCGACTATGGAAAGGCGAAGGATAGACAACAGCGTCCCTCTTAAAACATCTCTAAAGCCTAACTGCGGTTACCAACCCGCCTGCCAAGCGTGGTAACTACTGGCAAAATCCCTCAAGAGGAAGGTTTATATTTAGCAGTAGATAATTGAAAAATGATTCGATGACGATGATCAGAATTTATCCTCAAATACGGAAAACATAAAGTATAAGATTATTAATCATGTTTATATTGACTAAGTTCCTTTTCTTTATAAAATACAGAAACATACTCGTAACACCACGGACCTCAAGAATGGCAACGTATGAGATACCACGGGAATGATAGGGTACTTTGCGATATCCATGCCCCACGGTTACCATTTCCCATCAGAAAGGCAGTCAACTTAGAACGGCCTAAGTTTATTAAAAAAAAAAAGAAAATTTTTGGATGTTTTATCAAACTCACCTGCCGTTTATTCAACAAGTTGCTCGGCCGATAGTCCCCGTGAATTAATACCGGCTTTCCAATAGGTTCATAATATTTCAAAAAACTCTTCATGTCCGATTGTGACTTGAAATACTTCATAACTCTTCCCCTGTGGTCTTCGTTTAACACCTGTATCGAATTCCCGATCATTTTCTCCCAAACATTTTCATCTTTGTCCTGATCACCAAACTTGAACACTAATTCATTGCATATTTTAACATATTCATCTGGGCATTCTCTTTCAAAAACAAATGAGAAAGCGTGAAATTTTGCCAGTACCTTGATGGCTTCGGAGGCGTACTGCCAATCGACGGATGTCAATCTATTGTGAGTTTCATATCCACGTGTCACCAAGTTCTCCAATACAATGGTCTCCTCCCCGCGAATCGGACTACCGCCGTAAAATTTTGGAAAAATAAACCGATCCTCTCCCTGTACGGAGTATTTCTTCTGGAAACCGTCCCATGTGTTCACCAGTTTAGTGTAAAAGAGCTGTTCAGTTTTAAACATAGAGTCCATGTACGATTTCTTGCGGATCTTTTCCCCTATAGCTGCCACCTTCGCGAAGAGATTCAGATCGTCCGTGTACGGTGACGAGATGGTCGCGAAAAATATGGCCGATGTAAAATTCGCTCCGCCACTAGTGAAGCCCTTAATATTCACTTTGTAATTACATATGTTATTTCTGCCCGCGATTTCCTCGAGCACTTTTCTCAGCGATTTTTCCGCGTCCGTCATTGTGCACGACCGTTTCAACACTGTTATGGTTTGCCACGTGATTTAGATACGAAGTGATGTAACCTTTGATGTCGGCAAATGGAGCAACAAACGGCAACGCAGCAAATTTAGAAATTAACAGACTACATAGAATTTTATCGAGACAAATAAACGATACACTCGAATGACAATCATTTATGTAAATGACTCGCGATGCGCTCCAGTTTTGCACGGGTACATAGATTCTTAATAATAATCTATACTTTTTAATATCATAAAGAGGGTAGTTTTGATTGTTTGTTCGTTCAATGTCTCATAGCACGTTGACGGCTTAACCAATCGTATACACGCATTATATAGGATTTGAGAAGTATATAGGCTACAGCCCATAACTCTCTTATATAAATTTTCCTTAAATATCTCCTACAATGATACCAACTAAACCGTCTTTCAAAAAAAGCGTTCACGCTCACTTTTTATCTTTATCCGAGCAGTAAGTGCTTTATATTATTCCCAAATTCGTGTATAATATAGTATATATCATATATTTATTTATTTATTTATTTATAGCAAGGCAACAGATTACAAATTAATACATTTATAAAATAAATATTACATAGAACAGCATTAAATTAGCACTCCAATAACTGCTCTGCACAACATTCGATATTAGAAACATTAAAAGAATGACGGCTATAAATTTATATGTGTAAGTATATTTGTTATTCATATATTTAATTTTAGTATGTATATTTAATTTTAGTTTATATATGTAATTTTAGTATGTATGTATATCAATAATTAGTAGTACCGCATTCGAGTATTCTGACACTTGCCTATGGTTGACTGGGAGAGAATGCTTTTAGCATTAAGTCCGCCATGTACACATATTTGTACTAATAAATAAATGATAGTTGCAATTATATTATATTATTTGATTTATGTATAATATATATACTGTTGTTGTGTCGAAATAAATAAATATTATATTACGCTTAAAAAGTTTTCTCCCACGAATGCTCAGGCTGCGGAATGAGCTCCTTGCCGAAGTTTTCCCTAGAGAGTAAAAAGGGTTATATTAAGACTTCTTAAGGTTCGGCAACGCGCACATGACACACCTAGTGTTGCAGGCCTTCATAGGCTACAGTGACCGTTTACCACCAGACGGGCTGTATGCTTGTCAGCCACCTTCATGGTATAAAAAAATTAGCTGCATCACGCAGTTGTATCCGTATTAAAACGGCCCTTGAAAAGTAGCTTATTGGCTAATGTTTCTACATTGTAAATGATTGTATTAATGTGAGATCATAGGTTATGTTTATCATTTGTTATTGCAGCCTTGATAATGTAATTAATTCTAATTATACATTATTTAATAATTATTCTAACATAGTATGCACTTTGATTTGATTATAGCAAATTTATTTATTTATTGTAAAATTAATTTGTAACTTTAAATAATTAACTATATATATATATATATATATATATATATATATATATATGAAAATTACTAAAAGATCAAAGCTGATATTCTTTATAGGAGGTACCAGTAGTATTTCGCTGCGGGCACTTCGCAGCTTAATGCTGACGTGCTTGTCTTTTCACTGTTGCGACACATAAAACCACCTACAAATTTTTGTTTCGTTTATTGTCGTAACTCATTAATTTATTTACATTCATAATATATTCATAAATTATAGAATAATGAATTAATTAATTAATTCATTCATGAATGAATTAATGATGAATGGATAAATGAATGAATGGATGAACGACGAATGAATATTATGTGCTTATAATGGTGAAGAAATAATTTATCCATCCATCTAGGTATATCTTAAGTGAGCTTTTAATCTACCCGTGTACTAAATTTCATTTAAATCTGTTAAATATTTTTTTCATGATAGATACCAACATCCATTCTTTGACCTCATAAACTTTCATATTTTTTTATACCACTAGACTGCCAAACAAGCATACGGCCCACCTGATGGTAAGCGGTTACCGTACCGTATAATCTATATATTTATAACAGTAAACAGTAGGATTATTAAAGTAAGATAAAATAGTAAATTTTCATAGTTTGTACTGTGTATTATATGACATTATATATTTTAAATATAACAATATCTATCTATCTATCTATCTCTATCTATTGTATTTAAGAGCTGCGCTCTTGTCGGTGGAGCTCTTGCCACTCACTACGATTTTCAGCGAGTCTCTTCACCTCTTGATACGACACGACACCAACTCCTTCCTTGATCTGCCTGACGTAACTATGTCTTGGTCTCCCTCTCCCCCTCCTTCCTTCTATCTTACCTTCTATTATAATGTTCATAAGTTCGTCGTGTCGTATCAAGTGTCCCAACGTTTTTCCCCTTCTGTCCTCAATAGTTCTAATAATTTGTCTTTTTTCCTTAACCCTAAGCAGGACCTCCTCATTGCTAATTCGATCCCTCCAGCTAATTTTCTCCATCCTTCTCCAGCACCAATAACAATATAGTATAAATATTTTAATTGCATGTTGCATCATAATTGTTAGATTACATATGTTGTAGTAAAACCTCTTAACCAATCAAAAGCAGTTTTGATTGAAAATTATTGGTTATTAGTACTTTTAAATGCAAATTTGCGGTTAAAAGTACTTTTGACTGACGCTCTTCGTCAAATGTAACTTTAACTGCAATAAAGCATCAGTCAAAGGTATTATTAACTCGATAGATGAACAAAAAGATATTTATTAAATATGAAATCGTTTATTACGAAAAATTTGGCATTACATGATTGTAATGCCAAATTTTTCGTACTACAAAGTAATACAAAGAAAAGATACTAACCTAACCTAATTTAAATAAAATAGGTTAGATTAGGTTAGGACTTTAACCTAAAAAAAAAATTTTTGACTGATACAACCAGTCAAAAGTACTTTTAACCAGCTCCATTGAGCAAAAGTACTTTTGACTGATTTTGCTAGTCAATAGTACTTTTGGCTGGTTAAGAGTTTTGACTGCAACACATGCAAGAATCATCACTTTAATGATACAGTAAATTTTAACCATAGATTACGGGAAAATCATTTAAAACCTTGACTTTTAATAACTGTGTATTTTAGTTGCGTATGAGTATATTAGTGGTTTAATAACTTAGTACAAAAGATAAATGTAAACCGGTATTTTGTAATGCACCAAGGGCACCGTGGGCGTAAGGGCCGGTAAATAGTAACCGGTTTTTTGTAAGGGCACCAGGCGTCACAGTATAATCTGTAATCACAGTATTGGTTAGAACAGTTTGCAGCCTTTTCCAAACACAGTCTTATTTAAAACAAAAAATATCAATACTATACTTAGGAATACTATATATGTGAAAGTGGGTTTGTTTGTTTATTTATTGCCTTATAACGCTATGAAATTTAATATATAAACAGCTGAGCAGACTGTCTTATGGTCGCGTCGTATTCGTTTGTTTACATTTTTAATAAATTCAATTGAAATAGACTATAGATCTTATTTCTTTATGGGTGAAAATGCAATGGTGTTGAAAGTGAACCATGTAGCGCCATCTAGTCGTTTCTTACTGTTACTTTTTCCTTCGGTTCGATCCGTTACTTGTGTGGCCGCGCGATATATTTATTTTATATGTTTTTTTTTTTTACTTATTCTAGTAAATTAAAAGAGTTTATACTTAAATTATTATGATTTTCATTACAATAAATGATAACCCCGCCTGTACTATCAGTATATGCTGGCGTGGCACCAGGTGAAGATGAAAGCAGGTCACTTGGCTCCTCGTGAGGGAATTTAACAAGAATTAACCATGATGGTCTCCAGGAAACCGCGTGGAAGTCGACCTGTTGAGATATATTGCTATACTGTTAGACTCTATTACTATAAATCCTTATCATCCATCTCTCTTCACTCGTACACTCTTGACAGAGTGGTCGTGGTTTTAACAATGATAGTGGAATGTCGATGAGGCGCTCCTTCGCGATTGATTATCACCCATAGATATCATTAAAAAAATAATTAAAAATGTATTTGTTGGAACCATAAAAATGAATTACAAAAGTAGGGTAGTGTACGATAACCGCCACATTAGTTAAAATAACTGTGTCGTGGCTGTCAACGCCCACCTACTCAAGGCAGAGGCGTTAGTATTCCAGTAGAATAAATAAAACTGTTAATTAAACAAAGAAAAAGCATATACATGTATATATATATATATATATATATATATATATATATATATATATATATATATATATATATATATATATATATATATATATATATATATATATATATATATATATATATATATATATATATATATACCAGAGGAAGACTTTGTACAAAAGTCGATTGCTTGGGTACCTCTGTCCCATTCGTGTTTCAACCGTGAAGCAGTTGTGTTTGCATGGCTGTGTTTCGGTTTGAAGGGTGGGATATGGCGTGAATTTACTGGGTACAGAGGAATAACACCTGAGTCCTCAGGAATGGCAACGCATGGGGGTATCATGGGCGAAACAGTATACTCTGTTATGTCCATGGTACTGCTCATGTCTATAGGCGACGGTTACCACTTTCCATCAGGTGGGCCGTCAGCTTGTTTGCCATTCTAAGTTTTATAAAAAAAAAAAAAAAAAAAAAAAATATACATACATATATATATATATATATACCAAACATATATATAAGTTTGTTAACATTGTTATATATACCATTGTTTTACTTATTGTCATAAAACTTCAACTGCATTGTATTGTACCTCAGAGAGAGACTATATTTATTATAATTTATATCTGTATCTCTTTTCCACCATACAGCCAAGTTTCTACCGCCTTATGATTTATATATTATTTTCCAGATGAGAGTAAAAATGCAGATTATACCTTAGTGGTCAGGAATGGCAACGCCTGTATATTATGGTGGATATTATGGTGTTTTCTTTCATGTCCCTAGTACGACATATCACTTGGCGTACTATTTTTTATCTGATAGACGGTAAAATTATTTACCATTCCAAGTTATTATTTTGATTGAAATATTATTGTTTAAAGACAATGCAAGAAACAATAATATTTTGACAAGAATTACACATTGCTATAACACTTTTCACAGGCGCTATGTGTAGTAAAATTTAAAGTGACTGCCAAATCACCAATTCTGAACCGATTTCTGTATTTCTTTTTGCAATGGATAAGGTTTGCTCTCGTACTAATTCTTTATTATTTTTGTTACGAATATTGTCTTTGTGTTTTTTTAAGAGTAAAATTATAAATTGCTTGCTTTTACCTGAGACTTCATTTGCGTGTCCGGGATATATTCATTATATTTTTTATTGCATTTCGTTTCGTAATGTGATTAGTAGATAACATTTCAAACACAATTATGGACCCTGTTGGGCACAGCGAGAACGAGAGAGGAGGACAACACTTTTTTCACTTTAGAAATAGTCTAAGGATCTGTTACAATATTATCCAATCATTTCAAGATTCAAGATTCAAGATTCAAGATTTATTTATTTGTAAAACATGCGTATAAATACATGCAGATGTTGACAATATAATAACGTTCGACATGTTTAGCCTGTACGGCATACAAACATATGTGGTTACACAGATAGTTCACATTATACATCAAGTCCATTTTATACCATTAATCGTCATCACATTACAATTTTCAAATACATTTAAATAAATAGTAATTGTCAGTCAAAATTAAAAGAACGATGTCACAATGAAGTTAATAACTATAAATAAATATTCGTTTTGTCAGATTTTATCATTAAAGAATTCACATACATTGTAATAACATTTATCAATTAAGAATTTTTTTAATTTATACTTAAATACATTAGTTGGTGTATCCTTTATAGATTTTGGTATTTTATTATAGATTTTTGGTGCCATACATAATATACTATCGTGCATAAGTTTTGTACTAGATTTTTTTAGATATAACTTATCATTATCACGTCGATTGCGTTTAACAATTTCTGAAAGTCGTGGAAATAAATTCTTATTAGTTTTAACAAATACACACACTTCAAATATGTACAATGAAGGTACTGTCAATATATTATATTGTTTGAAATACGGCATACAACTATCAGTATTTTTAAGATTAAACATGGCTCTTATGCACCTTTTTTGAGCTTTAAATACAAATTCTTTCTTCGTTGAATTTCCCCAAAATATTATGCCATACCGTAAATTTGAAGCAGTAATACCATGATACGCTGTAATGAGCGCTGATTCATTTACTGTAGGAGACAATTTATTTAAAGCATAAGCCGAAGAACTCAATTTCTTGGATAATTCATCTATATGATCTTTCCAGTTTAATTTATTGTCTATTATTATACCTAGGAATTTGGTATTCTCTACAATTTTAATATCACTATTAAGGTAACAAGCACCAATAGTACTTAAAGAAGTCCTTTGACTGAAATGCATTATATGTGTTTTATTAATATTTATTTTTAGATTATTATTATTCAACCATTTAACTATATTCTTCAAAGCTTGGTTTACATCATTTTCATACTCATCAATACTTTGGCATTCTATTGTTACTGTACTGTCATCAGCAAAAAGTGACATAGGTTGCTTTGTTATTTTGGGTAGATCATTTATATATATAATAAACAACAATGGACCCATAACACTACCCTGGGGAACACCATACAAGACAGTTCTCTGGTCAGAAATATAATTTTCTTCAAGTTTGGTTCTATTATTTATTTTATTTATTTGAGTACATTGTTTCCTGTCAGTAAGGTACTAGACTGGACTTTAGTAAATTTAAAACATTACCCCTGATTCCATATACATATAATTTTTGAAGTAAAATATTATGGTCTACGTAATCAAAAGCTTGAGTCATATCACAGTAAATGGAGCAAACCGGTGTACTTTTATCCATATTTGTCAAAACAGTGTACAAGAAATCATAAATTGTTAAGTTAATGTCTTTGTTGCGTCTAAATCCTTTCTGATCTGATGTGAATAGATTTTGTTTTTCAAAGTACTCGTATATTTGTAAATATATGTATTTTTCAAAAATTTTTGAAAATGTTGTAGGCAATGCAATTGGTCTATAACATTCCATTGAATATTTATCCCCTTTTTTAAATATTGGTCTTACAATTGTAGTTTTTAAAATTTTAGGAAAAGTATCTGAACTTATACTGAGATTGATAATATAGCTAAGATGTGAGGCTATGTATGTTGAAGCAGCTTTTACAACTTTTGTAGATATGTCGTCATTGCCAACACTGCTAGTGTTTTTTAAGTGTGTTATAATTTTTAATATATCATGGGGTAAACTAGGCGCCATAAATATTGAATTTTTACTTGTTTTTATAGTACTCGTAACCTGATTTCCTGAGTTCAGTATAGGTGTAACTTTGTCGATAATAAAGTTATTAAAAGCATTACATATGGCCTGTGGGTCACAAATAATTTTGCCTTCTTTTTTTACTAAATGCATGGAACTCCTAGCTATACTTTGTTTGTTTTTATTTATTATTTGCCAAGTCGCTTTAGTTTTATTCGATGACATATTTATCTTATGACTATTTTGTGAACGTTGAGTTAGGTTAATAATTTTTTTAAGTTTTCTAGAATATTTTTGTAAGGCGTCTTTGCTTGTATCGTTTGGATTAAATCTATAATCCCATAGAAGTTTCCTTTTCTTTCTACAGCAAGCTTTAATTCCACGCGAAATCCACTGTGGCTTTTTAAACGGTTTCTTAGTAATAAGTTTATTTGGAAAGCATAAGTCATAAAAAAGTTTAAAATGGTCAAAAAAATATTAAAGGCTTCATTTGCGTCATTAGTATCATAAATGTCAGAAAAATTGTAGGATTTTAAACAATCTATAAATTTTGTTATGTTATCCTTGCTAAAGTCACGTCGTTTAATGCGCCAATATTTGATACTCGTAAATGTTCTTTTTATTCGACATTTTAATAACTGAGATGTATGATCAGATAGTGCAAAATCTATAATTTCTGATCTACACTTATTTCCTAAATTGTGAGCAAAATTATCAATACATGTTTGACTTTTTAATCTCGTGGGTTGGCGAATTTCTAATTTGAGATTATAAGTTGAAAGTAGACATTCAAATTCTAAGGTGAGATCGTTCTTTTTCAATACATCAATGTTAAAGTCACCTGCAATAATTATGTTTTTACGACTTTTTTTACAAATTACTTCCAATATATTATTTAGTTTTTGAAAAAATATATCTAAATTATTTGCTTTCTCATTGAAATTGTATCACGATAGGTGATAGATTTTCTGTATTAATATTATTAATTATTTAAATATTGGTGTATTTCTATTCATATCGTAATTGTTATTAGTATTATATATGTATTTAATATATTCTTGTATGTTGTGTGTTCAATACAGAACATAAAATTTTAATATTAAAATAAATTGTTTATATATTTTTTTTGTTCTGGCAATGTAAAATTTTCATTTTCTTTTTTTTTTTGTTATATACAGAATACTTTTTGGTAAGTGGCAATTATTAATTTTTTTGTCATTAACAAGTCTATACATGAAATGCCGTGTGCTATAAAGTATTGATTCATTAAACTATGTATATTAAAATGAATATATGCCTTTTTAATTACATTGTGGTTGTATAAACCATTAGCGGAAGTAGTGTTATAGTCGGTATTATTATCATTTGATTTAGACGTAGTAATAAAGTTCCCTGTCACTAACTTTACCAAGACACTACAGCATGGGGTTTTTCAAAAGGGGGGGTAAAGAGGTTTCTTCAGGGTCGACAACGCGCGCGTAATACCTCTGGTATTGCAGGCGTTCATAGGCTACGAAAACCACTTACCATCAGGTGAGCCATATGCTTGTTTGTCACCTCAGTGGTATAAAAAAAAACTTCTTGCTTGGTCCAGTATACTTCTTCTATATTCTGTAGAGTTCTATCTTATAACTATTAAAGCATACGCAACTATTATACTGTTGAAGAGAAAAGCGCTATGACACCAGAAATTTACCACAGAGACATTGTACAAAAGTCGTTTGCTTGGACACCTCTGTCCCATTCGTGATTCTACCGTGAAGCAGTTCTTTGCATGGCTGTGTTTCGGTTTGAAGGGTGGGATATGGCGTGAATTTACTGGGTACAGAGGAATAACACCTGAGTCCTCAGGGATGACAACGCAAGGGGGGTATCATAGGCGAAACAGTATACTCTGTTATGTCCGTGGTACTGCTCATGTCTATAGGCGACGGTTACCACTTTCCATCAGGTGGGCCGTCAACTTGTTTGCCATTCTAAGTTGACAAGTAAACACGAATGGGACAAAGGTACCCAAGCAATCGACTTTTGTACAAAGTCTCTCTCTGGTGATGTTTTAAGGGAGATGTTGCTACCTACCCCTTAAATTCCTTTAGTCGCTTTTTACGATATGGGAAAGAAAGAGGTGGCCCATTTAATATATACGGATACGTGATAGCAGATTTGAAAAAAGATCTTAAATAGAAAATATATATATATATATATATATATATATATATATATATATATATATATATATATATATATATGGCTATAAGGGCAAAGGAAGACTTAAAAACATAGATAGACTGTGTTAAAGATAATATAGTCAAGAATGGAAAAGGAAAATATATTAAGCAGACCTCAAACAAGTAATTTAGATAAGGGCAGGAAGATAATAAAATATCTCTCACACAAATAAAAGAATTTATTTAACAACAAATATAAAGTTAGATTACAAATACTCAATTAGATTTGTTCAACTCGTTACGTATGTACGCTTTGAGGACGTCAGCAAAATTGGTATCAACTACAAAGCCAAGGCTTAGAGCACGGGAATTATCAAACTTTATCGGCAATGACTCAACCATATGACAGATCCTCTCGTCTCTTTCAAAGCGCACCAGAGCCACAGCTTTCTCACCAGCTACTTCCTTAAGAGCCCTTAACTGTTCATCTACAGATACGGCGAAACCTGGCAAATTTATTCCACGCCAGTCTCCCAAAACATCGGCCGAAATTGTCGCAGCATGAATAATATTACGCACAACAATAGCAGGACTGGTAATCCAAATTTTCTGATCTCTCCGTACTGGACATACAGCCTCCTTTCCGTTCAATGGTTCCCTCAAAATACCACTCGCATAAGATGTCATAGCCGCATTAGCAGTACCGGCACGAATACTAACAGTAGGCAATCTGACAAAACGGCCGTCTAAAAATTTCCTTCTTGAATAGTCGTTTATCAACAACTCACACATTGCTTTGGCAGTTCCGTAGGATGTCTGGGGCATAGTCGCTGTTCTATCGTTAATTACATCTGGGAGTTCGCCTCCAAAAACGCCGGATGTACTAGCGAAGACAAATCTCAATGAAGGTGCATTTCTTCTGGCGGCTTCCAGTAGTGCCCTGGTCGCATCGAAGTTCACGGCCAATCCAAGATCGAAATCAGCTTCGGATTGTCCACTAACGATAGCAGCGAGGTGGAAAAATACATCGCAATCAGCAGTGATAAGTTGGTTTGCAGCTGTCGGCGCTCTCAAGTCGAGAGCAAGTAAACGGACTCGTGAATCTGTACGTTGTGCTGGGAGGATCGTGTCCACCAATACTAGTTCTGTCACAGGCAAAGGAGAGTCGGGTCTCAGCAAAGCATCAGCTAAGCGGGATCCGACAAATCCTGCAGCGCCTGTCACCGTGACCTTCATGTCGTTGAGCAACTAACAGACTGTTCAATTCTGTGATGGTATGTCTCAAATTACAACGACAATATGTCAAATGTCATCTGAAACTTTGATATTATATTAAAAACAAATAAGCCGATAAAGTTTCTTTTGTTATCGTATTACATAACAATGTAATGTTTTAATGTAGCATACCTACACTTATGCAATATTAAGTAAGAGATTATTTTATTTTCGGTTGAATTTAAAGTTTCTTTTTATTAATGTTTTAAATAGCATTTGTAACAATATAGCTAAAGGGCTATATTTTTAATGGGTAAAGATGGAATAGTAACTCCGCCTGCGCGAAGAGAAGGTTAGATTTAGAAAATGGCCTCTCAGCATCGACTCCAGATTGATGCACGATAGTTATTACATTCACTTTTTACATTCACTTTTATTATACATTAAGTTTTTACTCCAAATATGTAAAATTAACGATTAATATTGTTAAATTAAATACACATATCAATCATTTTTCACTACACAAAGAACTTATTTACGAGTATAAAATATGTAAAAATAACCTAGACCCGTACATTATAACTACTAAACTAAAAAATGAACTTTATTTACACCAAATGGTGATTACATTGTATTTTTGTGGTCCAACGTTATCTTTTTCTTACAAGTTATATACGAACATAAACACAATATATATACAATACCTACGGAATAGACAATTCTCCCTACAAATTAATTTGGGCCTTACAGCCGTATTAAGTTTAAAAAAGTTACTAACACGTTTCAGTTCACTACTACATATGAAATACATATACTACTATTGCAAAAAGAAATCACAATATGGAAATAGCTTTATTATAATACGTGTTAAGGAGAACTTACTGAAATATATTTTTTTGTTAGTGGATAAAAATATTAAAATAAATAAAATAAGTATATCTAAAAATTTAGATACACCACGTATAATAAGTCATATTCTAAATATTATTATTAAAATTCAATTCAATAGATATCGCTAAAGAATTAGAAAACATGAATTTATTTAAGTCAAAATCATGTGATGTAGAATCGGTAAGCTCTTACACAAAAGATTTGAACATTGGTTTATCTATCATGACACAAAATATACGTAGCATAAATCATAACTTTCATGACTACGAAGTACTATTAGAAAGAATAAAGCTTCGTATTGATCTACTGGTACTCACGGAATGCTGGTTATCATGTTCAACAACACTACCTACTCTGGAAGACTATAACTGCTTTTCAACCAAAAATAACCACAAACAAAATGATGGAATCGTGATATATGCTAAAAATAATTTAAATATCTCTGTAGACGAACCTATACTAACTGATTCTAATTGCCTTATCATAAAATTAAACCCTGATATTGTCATCATTAGCATTTATAGATCGCCCTCATATAAGGATATTACGTCTTTTCTTGCATCGCTTGACGCACTGCTAAAGCAGTTATCTAATTGCCAAAATATTGTGATCATAGGCGATATAAACATACCCATTAATTTAGAAAAAATTGATCGGAATTCGGAAAACTATTTAAACTTAGCTGCTTTTCACGGTCTACTCCCTGCACATGACATACCAACTAGAGATATAAGTGGTAATTGTATAGATCACGTACTAATAAAATCACAAACACCGACACTAACCCTGGTCCCAAACTCGACAGTAACTGATCACAAGGCGGTGATAACTTTTCTACAAAATCGAATTATAAGATACCCTGAAAGCTCCTCATATAAGAAAATAGACAACGAGAAACTGAAGTCTGATATTTTTAATTTAGATTTAAATCCTATATATAGTTCTGATGATCCCGAATTTTCGATGAATTACTTATCTCAAGAACTGCTTAAAGCTGTAGAAAATAATACAATAACTGTTTCGGTAACTAGACGTAAAAGGTTTATTAAACCCTGGATCACACCTGGTCTCCTCCGCTGTATAAAAAATAGGGACAAGTTACACATTAAAGCAAAACAAGATAAAAATAATGAAATACTAAAACTCACGTATACTAGATACAGAAACTATTGCAATAATTTACTAAAAGAAATAAAAAAGGCTTATGATAAAGAACTTATTACAAAAGCGGGTAAAAATAATAAAAAAATATGGGACGCAATAAAAAATATTGGTAACATATCAAATAAAGTTAAAAACCATCCTAAAGAATTACTAACAGTAGCTTCAAATCCACAAGAATCTGTAAATATAATAAATAAATATTTTATAAACATTGGGAAAAGAATATCGGAAAGCATAAACACAAATAAACCTAATTTTTGTTACAGTGAGAATCAGAAACAAAATATTGTAGGCTCCTTGTTTCTCTTGGAAATAGATGAGAAGGAAGTCGAACATATTATTATGGGATTGAAAACGGAATGCTCAGTCGGCTGGGATAAAATATCTAACAAAATGCTAAAGGAAATGAGAGAGTTTCTGGTGCCACTTCTAACATTTATCTTTAATAGATGCTTTGACAAAGGAATATTTCCAACATGTTTAAAAAAATCGGTAGTTATTCCAATCTACAAAGACGGTGACAAAGTAAACATTGGTAACTATAGGCCTATATCATTGTTGCCGGCAATTTCGAAGGTGCTGGAAAAACTAATAAATAAGCGATTAACTAGTTACCTTGAAAAAAATCACATACTGTCTGAAAACCAATTCGGTTTTCGACGTGGGAAATCTGCCTCCGATGCAGTGCATTCTTTGACTGATTTTATCGCAAATAACATTGATGAAGGTAAAAAATGTTTAGCTGTATTTTTAGATCTAGATAAAGCATTCGATACAATACCAGTATCGCATTTAATAAATAAACTTGAAACTATTGGTATTAGAGGTCTACAACTACAGCTTTTTAAAAGCTATCTTGCGGAAAGGACTCAAACAGTTAATGTAGATGTATACAGTAGTTCTGAGTTACCGGTAACCCATGGGATTCCGCAGGGAAGTATTTTAGGTCCTACACTTTTTCTCATCTATATCAACGATCTGTGTTCAACCAAACTCACAAATGGGAAATTAATTTGTTATGCAGACGATACGGCACTCGGTTTTACAGCAAACACCTGGAGTGAGGTTTATGATGTGGCCCAAAATGGTTTAAATAAAGTGTGGGAATTCTTAACATTTAATTTATTGTCATTAAATGTTAAGAAAACAAAATATATCTGTTTCTCTGCCCGAAACATAGACACGGTAAATTTCAATCTCAAAGTACACAATCACAACTGCGTGACAATGAGGAACTGTCGGTGCGATTGTCCTTTGTTAGAAAAAACCACACAATTAAAATATTTGGGAACTGTAATTGATTGTACACTTACCTTTAAACACCACATAACATATCTTACCAGTCGTGTACGCAAACTTATAGTGGTTTTTAAAAGACTCCGTCACGCTGTTGATAAGAAACTAATAAGAACAATTTACCTAACACTATGCCAATCTTTGTGTACTTATGGTATATCGATATGGGGAGGATCTCCAAAAACTATTCTGAAGCCACTTGAAGTAGCACAGAGGGCCGTTCTAAAAGTTTCAAGTTTTCGACCAATATTATATCCTACAAAACAATTGTACGAATCATGCGAAGTTTTGACAATTCGCCAACTCTTTATACTTACTATCGTCCTTAAGCAACACAACCAAATAGAGTATAACTCACAATCATTAATAAAACGTAAAACATACTCTATCTGCAAGCACACACGTAAATTTAGAACTTCCTTTGCACAAAGATTCTTTTGTTTCTTGGGTCCGTATATGTACAATAGGGTGAACAAGAAGCTGTCAATCTATTCTAAAAATAAAATTAAATGTAAGAAAGAGATAACTAATTGGCTACTAACATTGTCGTATGACCAAACTGAAAATTTGTTGTCAATTCCAAAATAAAACTAAATCTAAAACTACAAAACTATAAATACTAATCGCACACACACACACACACACACACACACACACACACACACACACACACACACACACACACACACACACACACACACACACACACACACACACACACACACACACACACACACACACACACACACACACACACACACACACACACACACACACACACACACACACACACACACACACACACACACACACACACACACACACACACACACTTGTATTAATGTAGTAATAGATGTGATGTGAATACTATAACTATCAGATGGCAATTGTGAGTAGCTTTGACGTGGTCTAGTGTTTTGAGTAGTCATGCTCACTAAAATGTCCAGACTTGTGGCGGCGTGGTGGGCCGGGTCATTGGGCTCCCTAAAATATGGTCGAGCGCAGTGATGGCTGGCTCATCCGTCATACTCGTGAACGGGTGCTGCTTGTAGGGACTGGTCTGCTCTAATCACTATGACTGATTTCCTCTTATTAATTGTTTAACCAGTTGGTTATGTATTCAATTTTTTTTTCTCTTTTTGAGTATTTAATTGAATTAGTGCTAATTGGTGGTTTGTATTCACACAATTAAACTTAAAAATGTAAAATAATAATAAAATTATTTAAAAGAGCATCACGCAAGTTTCTTGCTCGTTCTTCTTGTGATGAGACAGCTTTCCGAACGAGCGGTAAATTAAAAAAAATGTAATGACTTTTCAAAAGTGCTTCAATGTAAGTTTATTTGAATAAATGATTTCTATTCTATTCTATTCTATTCTATTCAGTAATATATTGTAAAACTCCGGAGAGAGCCTGGAGATCTGTAGTACAGGTTTCGACCTAGTTCAGACTCCAGACTCTCACAAGAAAAAAAAAAAAAAAAAAAAAAAAAAAATTTAACGATATGCTCTTAAACTTGTATGAAATTAAGTTTACGTTATATATATATATATATATATATATATATATATATATATATATATATATATATATATATTTTATACCACTGAGGTGGCAAACAAGCATACGGCCCACGTGATGGTAAGTAGTTACCGTAGCCTATGAACACCTGCAATACCAGAAGTATTACTCGCGCGTTGCCGACCCTGAAGAAACCTCTTTACCCCACTTTTGAAGAACCCCATGCTGTAGTCTCTTAGGAAAACCTCGACAGGAAGCTCATTCCACTACCTGAGTGTTCGTGGGAGGAAACATCTCTGAAACCGCGTAGTACGCAACCATTGAGGCTGTAGGACATGAGGATGAACCCCCTGCCGATGGCGAGCCGTACGATGGTAGAAAGTAGCTGTGGGCATCATATTGAACAATTCCTTTGAGCACAATCCATTGTACAGGCGGTAGAACACGCACTCCTAAGACTCAAGGGTTCGATACCCTAGATAAATATCGTCTAAAAATATATATTTATTATAGATATATATTCGATACATTTCGTCTAAAAAGTATATTACGATAAAAGTACAAACTTGAAATATTTTTTGCTGGCGTCACGATGAGAAAATTAGTAACAATAAAATAAATAAGATTACTGTAAATAACATTCACATTTATTCTACAAACAAATCTTAGCGGTGTCTGGTGATTGCGCCTTTTTTACTCTTATGGTACTTCGATCAATAACATCAATTAGATACATCAATAATAAATTAAACAGAGCACGAATGTAATACCGCTAAATAACGCCTCCAAATTGTAACAAACTCTTCGAGTATGAGATCGTATTTCTAAATATTAATGTTATTCTAAAAATATTTTCTACTAGTGGTCTGCGTGATCTGGATTTTTTGTATTGGTTGGAGTTTCCCATCTGTGACTAGAAACATAACTGCGAATACTGAATACAACTGTAAGAAAGAAATATTTTTTGAAATAAACTTAGATATAAGTATTTTTGGATAGCCATTTTTTTATTACCGTATTCTTGAAAATCTAAGTTAAAAATCTGCTGTATATTTTATCTTGATACCGATTGCCATCTTACCAGAGGGAGACTTTGTACAAAAGTCTATTGCTTGGGTACCTCTGTCCCATTCGTGTTTCTACCGTGAAGCAGTTGTATTTGCATGGCTGTGTTTCGGTTTGAAGGATGGGATATCGCGTAAATTTACAGGGTACAGAGGAATAACACCTGAGTCCTCAGGAATGGCAACGCATAGGGGTATCATGGGCGAAACAGTATATTCTGTTATGTCCATGGCACTGCTCATATCTATAGGCGACGGTTACCACTTTCCATTAGGTGGGCCGTTAGCTTGTTTGCCATACTAAGTTGTATAAAAAAAATCTAGAAATAATCTGTTCCATTGGTTTTCTACTTTTAAAAATCACGCATAGAAAGTAGCGAGCAAAAATCTGGTAAATTAAATATAAGAGCTCAGTAAAATGAGACGTTATACACTGGATCGTTTTTAGGCTTTTAGACGTCTACATGTATTTGGTGTTTTCGAGCGAAGATTTTATGACGTGATTATTATCTAGAGTTTTATAATAATTTAAATATTTACTTAATTTTATTATCATCATCAACCTTGTAAGTTTTATCAACGGATTGTTTAATGCACATAACTATTTTATTTTGTTCATTTAAAAGAAATTATATTAAGATCTCCGTTCATAGTACTATAGTAATCATGGCGGAACAAGAGGGGATTTTGCGTAAAATTATCGACGTAATTGCTAAAGATCAAAAATATTTGAATTTTAATGTAACAGTGAAACCGATATCTACAGACGGTGCCAATTACACGTCAAAGTTGTTTTTAATCACTGTATCAGAAGCGGACAAGGAAAACCTGGAGTTATTTGTGAAATTTAATACGTTCAGCGAGAAAATTTGTTCAGAACTACACTACTATGGTTATGAAACGGAGCGTTTCATGTATACAGAACTTGCAAAAACATATAAAGCAATAGAAGAGGAAAACAAAATACCACTTGAAAATAAACTGTTTATACCTCAACATTATAATTGCGACCTAAATATTGCGCGAGAGACTTTGGTGTTGGAAAATTTACAATCAAAGGGTTATACTACGCGTGACAGATTCGAATCAATAGACTGGGAGTATGCTAGCAAATCAGTAGAAACACTAGCTAAATTTCATGCATTGTCTATACCTCATAGAGGTAATCGTTCTAGCACATTTAATAATTTATTAAATAATAAAGGCCCAGCATTTTACTTTATTAGTAATATTAAAGAATCTTATCCTGTTATAATAGAAAATGCTATAAATGCAACGAACGATAAAAATAAAGAGAAAGTTAAAAATTATATAAATAACATTGCTATTTTTGAAAAATATCAATCTTTCTATACTAATCACTTGCGTCGACAGTTTATAATACATGGAGACTTCAGAGTTAGTAACCTTATGCACAAAGTGAACGAGGTAATTACATTTTTATACTAAATCATAACGAATGGTATATGTTTAGAAGCAACGAGGTCGTATGACTCATATTGGCATAAAAGCAATTGTAATAAGAGATTATTTTTAAATAAAGTTCCCAAGAAAACGATAAAAGTAGGTAATATAGGAAAATGTTTTAAGTTACATTAACCATTTTTGTATTAAAGTTGACTTTAATGAGATTTGTTTAAAAATTGTAGATCGACATTGGTAACTCCGCGTAAATTTTCACAAGTAAAGCAGTTTATATGAAATTTTGCAATTTTGTTTAGTTAAAAGGATTATTAAAAATTATATTTTTCTCTGTTTTTTATTAGACTTACCTTCGCTTTTTTGTCCATGTATTTCTCTTGAGTTAAAAGTTATTCAAAAGATAATTGGTAACGTTTTATTAAATGTCCTCGATAAATCATATGATATTTTATTAACATAAGATTTCGCCTTAAAAACGTATTAAGGTAATACAACAATTTAAACATTTTTTTGCTGGTAACACGATGAGACTACAAAATTAGAAACAATAAAAAAAATTAATCTAAATAACATTAACATTTATTCTAAAAATAAATCTGAACAATGTCTGGCGATATTATGCATTCATTATGCCTTTTATACTCTTACTTCTTGATGATTCCTTACTTGATGATTTATCAGTTATTCATTTTTTTTTTCCACAGGACGGTTCATTAGTCGTTATACCTGTCGACTATCAAACTATCCATATGAGTAGTCCCGTACTAGATTTGCTGTTTTTCATCTTCACGGGTTCCGACGAGGCGTTCAGGAGACAGTACTACGACCAGCTCATAGAACATTACTACAAGGAGCTACGTCGTGCATTGAGCCAACTACACGTAGATCCCGATAAGGTCTATTCCAAGAAAGACTTCGAGTCTGATCTAAAAGAGGTACTAACAGTTTCAATACCTTAACTAACATATTGTTTGATTTCTCTGTGCTGTTATATGATTAATTATGATCCTTAGAATTTACTATTTACTTAGAATAGCAAACAAACTGACGGCCAGTCTGATGGAAAATGGTAACTGTCGCGTATAGACATGAGAAGTGACATAATTAAATAAAGCTGTACTTTGTTTGTAAATTATGAAAAAAACAATACCGGCATCTTTAATATTACGTGATAAACATTACAGTTTTCAACATTCGGACTGTTCACAAGCATGTGTGTTCTCCCACTGATCACTGTGGAGGCTGAAGATGCGCCCGAAATGGGAGAGGAAGTCAGCGACATCCACAGCTTCGTGAGGCTGAACTGCACGCCTAGGTATCGCGAGAGATGGAATGGAATTGTCAACGACTACATTAGATGGGGCATACTTTAGTTACATTTGTAAATTGGACTTTAATGACATTAAAACTTTATTGTTCTATAATACAGGTTTGTTAAAAGCATGGGGTGATGGCAAAGTTAATAATAACGGAGGTGATGGGTTTCAATTTAAAAAGTATGGGGATTTCAACTATATTATTATGAGATGTAGCAGCAATTGTTGTTTTATAAATTTGTATTTACAAATTAAATAACTGTCCTATCTTTCAAATTGCAGTTAACAGTTATGTTTTTATACCACTGAGGTAGCAAACAAGCATACGACCTACCTGATGGTAAGCGGTTACCCTAGCCTATGAACGCCAGCAATACCAGAGGCAGTAAGGGACGTTGCCGACCCTGAAGAAATCTCTTTATCAATAATATATCATTTTTTAATATACAAGTAGGTTCGAACATTACAACCAGAGGAAGCCTTTGTATAAAAGTCGTTTGCTTGAGAACCTCTGTCCTATTCGTGTTTCAACCGTGAAGCAGTTATGTTTGCATGGCTGTGTTTCGGTTTAAAGGGTGCGATATGGCAGTGAATTTACAGGGTACAGAGGAATAACACCTGAGTACTCAGGAATGGCAACGCATGGAGGGTATCATGTGCGAAACAGTATACTCTGTTATGTGCATGGTACTGCTCATATCTATAGGCGACGGTTACCACTTTCCATCTGGTGGACCGTCAGCTTGTTTGCCATTTTAAGTTACATAAAAAAATTGGTTACGGCTAAACCGCTTAACCTGTAATGCTGTTTCGGATATTATCGTAAACATATAAGGTCGCACGAAATTTTTATATATTAAAAGCATTCATAACTTTTGTTTACCTAAGTTTGGCAACATTGCATTTATCTATTTTCCGAAACAACTGTACATTTTCCAATGTTTTTTTAAAGATCATTTAAAAAGCAATTTGCTAAAGAATAAATATGTTAATAATAGAATACATTGCATATAAATGTATCATTAAAAACTCTGCACCTACTTCATATTTTGCTTGCAAATTTTTTAAATACATTTTTTGCAATCAAAATACAAATTCTTAATGACATTTTAATAGGAATATTATTACATGATTAACTGTACAGTTCACAGAACACTTTTTAAGTAATTAATGAGAAATATTGAAATATATTCAATTGTTTTTGATAATCCACAGACAAAGGTCATGTTGTCATACTACGTTATGTACGTTCTTAAGATTAGATGTATTGTTTTTTTTTATACAACTTAGAATGGCAAACAAGCTGACGGCCCACCTGATGGAAAGTGGTAACCGTCGCCTATAGACATGAGCAGTACCATGGACATAACAGAGTGTACTGTTTCGCCCATGATACCTCTCCATACGTTGCCATTCCTGAGGACTCAGGTGTTATTCCTCTGTACCCAGTAAATTCACGCCATATCCCACCCTTCAAACCGAAACACAGCCGTGCAAACACAACTGCTTCACGGTTGAAACACGAATGGAACAGAGGTACCCAAGCAATCGACTTTTGTACAAAGTCTCCCTCTGGTATTTGTACAAAGTCCCCCTCTGGTCAAATATTGTAAATAGATAGATAGATACTCTTTATTGTTTCCTCCAAAATATTACAATAGTAAACTTATTATAAATATAAATAATTACAAGAAATAATCACAATAGAAAACAATGGGCAACCTTATCGCTAAGAGCGATCTCTTGCAGGCAACCTTTGGATAGATGGATGTAAATATTGTAATTAGTTATCTTACGATCTCTATAGTGTAATCATACATGTATTTATTGGAATAAATAAACAAAATATTTACAAATGAATTATTTTACTGTTTTCCTTTGTTAACAACTTGTGAAAGTTCCAAAATATATAAGATCCTAACCTATAATTATAGGGGGCAAAAGGGATTGTTAGTAACTAATAGCCCCATTGGAATGGTCACCCCGCCTGTGCTGACGGTATACGCAGGCGGGGCACCAGTGAGGGATGTTCGTTGTCATATCCTACCTTCAAATTTCGATTTCACTTGTATATATAGAAAGGTCCTGGATGCCAACTAATATAAAATTAGTTTATTAGAATAAGTCTACAATAAGTCTATATTTATTATAGATAGATACTATCGGAATTAAAACAAAACTGATATCACGGGGCTCTATAGTCTATTAAAAATAAAAATAATTTCAGTTCAAATAGCTGGAAGATTATTTACCGGCTATTATCAGAAATAAAAGATATTTTTAATCTTGAATACGTGTGTTTAATACGTGTTCCCTCGGCAAAAATTAAAGCGGGAATGAATGACAGCCAGTCTATTCATTACTGCCCTCTCCAAAAATTATAAATACAAAAAAATATGTAACGGATACATGATCGAATCAATTACAATACTTAAATTCAAAATTAAAACAATTGACATTCCAATAATCTAATTAGCATTTACGTGACAATATTTTATTAACATTGTACTATAAAATATTGTATTGTATTTATTAAATAAATATACTAACATTTAATAATTGAATTATAACAACGTCAACAACAATCAATTGACTATCTATTTATAGTATTAGTAAATAACAATATGTATTTGTATAAAATATAATCATATAACCTAACAATTTGTTATTTAGAATGTTCCAATTATAAATATGATAATATTTTTTTAAGAATAGAATAGAATAGACACATTTATTGCCATACAATTACAATATAAAATATAAATGACATATACAAAAAGTATCCCACACCCGGCAAAAGGAACCGGCTCAGCTGATGCTGTGAGTGTCCCAGCGCAATGTGAACAGCTGCACAGCGCTGGTTTACAGCCAGTCGCTCTCTTAACAAAACAACCAAAGTGCAGGGTACCACTGTAAATTTAACTTATCGACTATATTTTTTTTTTGTTCGCCAATTTCACAGAATTGGATTTACTTTTATTTTAGAAAAGATATGTCAGTCCTATACAATTAGGTTAAGATTAAGAGCCGTATTTTTTAAGAAGGAGGTTCTATGTTCAATTGTATATTTTTTTTTATGTATACCCACCGATTTCTTTAAAGAATATAACTTTTTTTTATTATTATTATTCTTACTCGCCTTCTAAAAATTTCCTGCAACTCTCATAATCGCATTTATACACATTATGGCATTGTTAGTTGGGCACAGACGACGTCACAATAGCTAACCTAAGGTCAGTGCAAGTCATAAGTAGTTCAAATAAGGATAACGTTTCATACATCTCAAGTTGATCCATCACTGTGCTCGGTGACACACAAAAACCACACGTCCGTTGTCTCTTTGCCAAAAAAAAATTGCGTTCTTATTTTAAAAAATATAAGAAAATTTTTTTAAAACATTTTGTGGCCAGTGCTTAACTAAATTAGTTTTGTGATAAATTTAATAATTTTACATTAAACAAAAAAAAAAGAAAAGAAAAAGTGTTGTACTTAACAATATATTATATCTAATAAACAATACACATGCTCAATTAGTTAAAATTTATTTTTTAATTCATAAATAGTTCCTACGTATTAATTTTTTTTTTAATATTGGCGGTAAAAATGGAGTCGCATATTATACTATTATTATTTTTTCTGAAATGTTCTTCGGCTGTGATTTATAGCATAAATGGTAAGTTTATATATTTTAATGCTCAACTTTTAATCTACCTACTATATTAATTAATAACATATAGTATATTGTGTGTAGTACGCTGCAGTATGTAAAATGTTATTTACCTAGATTTAATTACACATTGTTAGTAAATTCAGCGCTATATAGGTACATCTCGCTGGAGCTGTACATATATAGCAACAGCTGAGGCGGCTCCAGCAACCAGCAACATTAATTGTTCTTTTTTTCTTTTTGTTGTTTTAATTTTTTATTTTCTTAATAATGGCAATAAAGGTCATCTATCTATCTATCTATCTAAAATGCTCATTTTAATTTATGCATATTTAGTTTTAGACGTATAATTATATGAAGTAATTCGCTTGCATTTTTTACATAGACGTTAGTTGCACTATAATTTCACCAATTTTGATAATTCCTTGAATGAATAAATGAATAAATTGTACTTACCAAATATTAGTGATAGCTAGATCTTAAAATTAATTACAATTGTGCAACTAATATGATAAATTTCCTAGTTAATCCGAATCTTTATACATTTTGTCATTATTAAAATTGCCAATTTTTCGAGGAATAAAATGTGCTTAATAAAACTGGGTGTCCAAGTACATAGTAAGCATTTTAGTAACATAATGGCCTTGGATACCGTGGTGATTAAAAAGCGGTATCCACATAGTTTTGGTGCCGTTTAAAATTAAACTCTCACTTCAACGTCATATAGTCGAGAATTTTATATTTTCAATACAATAAACGATGCGTTAATAGTATATTGTTTAGTATTTAACAAATAGATGCCTAATGTTAAGGTTACCAAACTTAAAAGGCCTATATACAGTACGATAGGTCGCTTTGAACAATCTAAAACAAATCGTTGCTTCGATAACAAATCCCTTCAAATATACAGCCACGAAACACTAACACTCAGTGGAGAAAGGGATTGTTAAAAATAGGTACTAACTGCCCCGTTGCTAGCAATATACCCTATCAGTATTATTTTTCTGATGTATGATAATGGAATGGTAACCCCGCCTGCGCTAACGGTATACGCTGGTGGGGCACCAATGAGGGGTGATACGTGAAAATAAAAATGCAGGTCAGTTAGCCCATCATGATGAATACACTTGGAATTCAGCACGATGGTTTCCAGGACATGCTACATATGAAATTGACCGCTGTGAGCGAGCATTTATATGATTGACGAAAGGACAAACATGTGTCATCGTAGACAGAAACCCAAAGACTTTTTTTTTTATGAAACTTATATGCATATGTCGCCTATAGACATAAGCAGTAGTACCATGGACATAACAGGGTTGCCATTCCTGAGGACTCAAGTGTTTTTCCTCTGTACCCTATAAATTCACAGCCATATCCCACCCTTCAAACCGAAACACAGCCGTGCAAATATGAGTGTCTATCTATCTATAAAGTACCTAACATTTATGTCAATTAATGCGTTGCAGTAAGAAAATAGATTGGCCGATAAGATATTTATTAATAAAGTAACCCCTTTGTTAAGGAGGGGAGGGATTGTTAGCAATGCGAACTACCAGTCCTATTGCTAACAATGTACCCCGTCAGCTCGGCCTCTACGTGGTCCTCCCCGTAAACCGTCGTGCTAAATTCCAGGTGTATTTATCACGATGGTCTAACTGACCTGCTCTTTCATTTTCACTTATCATTCCTTCACTGGTGTCCCGCCAGTGTATACCCATAGCGCAGCCAGAGTTACCATACCATTATCATTAATTAAAAAAAACCTTTATTGATAAAAACTACAATCTACTATAAACCTGTTTTAGCCATTAAACTTTTTTGTCACTTTCTCTCAAATTATGAATGTGGCATAAATGAAAGAGATAAAACATTTTAATAGCCAAAATAGGTTAAGACATTTGACGTTTTTTTATAAATAAGAGCGTAATTTAACACTGCACGTGCTAGGTTAATGTGTCGCCCACCATTCTATGTAGTTTCCTTTACTTGTTATCTATATTCATAAGGTCGTCATAAATGATGCCAATGGCCACTTTCTATCATGAACATCGACAGGGAGTTCACCCTCATACCCTACAGCCTAAATGGTCGCGTACAACGCGGTTTTAAAGATGTTTTCTCCCACGAACATTCAGGTTATGGAATGAGCTCCCTGCCGAGATTTTCCCATGAGACTACGTTTTTTTTTTATACAACTTAGAATGGCAAACAAGCTGACGGCCCACCTGATGGAAAGTGGTAACCGTCGCCTATAGACATGAGCAGTACCATAGACATAACAGAGTATACTGTTTCGCCCACGACCGTACCCAGTAAATTCACGCCATATCACACCCTTCAAACCGAAACACAACCATGCAAACACAACTGCTTTGCGATAGAAACACGAATGTGACAGAGATACCCAAGCAAACGACTTTTGTTCAAAATCTCCCTCTGATAACATTACCCTCCTTTTTACGATAGTCGCGTAAAAGTGCAATTTTACGTACAATTAAATCAAATGCATTACATATTATAAATAAACGTTCATGAACTAGAGTTCAAGTTCGCAAATACTTATTTTATAGTACATTTCATTGGACACAGAATAAGTAATACGAAGAGAAGCAGTAGTGCAAGAAACCAGAGGTCCAATAGCGGAAACTCGTTACACATTCCCACTGTGTCACTAAGGCCTCGATTAGTGTCTTATTTTGTTTTATACCATTAACTAATGTATTTGCGAGGATCAAATAAATCTTTATTGTTATGAAACAAGGCCACACCATATTTGCACATGAGACTAAATACACCTTAGTTGGGATCGACAGGAAATCGTTGTGTTTATCCGTTTATTTAAGCTTGCAGCATCCGTCAAACGTTCTCACAAGATATTGTTTTTTAATGTATGATATTAGAATGGCAACACTGACTGCGCTATAGATGTACCTAGGAGGGGTAACAATGAGGGATGATAGATGAAAATGATAGCAGTTTTGTTCTTAGTTAATGGTAACCCCGCCTGTGCTAACGGTATACGCTGGCGGGACACCAGTGTGGCATGATAGGTGAGAATGAAAAGACAGGTAAAAAAAAGAAAAAAAAAGAGAAAAGAATATAAGGCCTATAGTAAACGACACCATATAAAATTTCCCTCTGATTTCCCCTCATTATGTGATAGAAAAGGGATTATTTGTAATGGAGACTGATAACTTCATTGCTAGCAATATAGCCTAACTGGTCGACGTCCACGCGGATCTCTCTGGAAGAGGAATTTTTCAATATGATGCCCACAACCACTTTCTACCATCGTACGGCTCGCTATCAACAGGGAGTTCATCCTCATGTCCTACAGCCTCAATGGTCGCGTACTGCGCGGTTTCAGAGATGTTTCCTCACACGAACACTCAGGTTGTGGAATGAGCTCCCTGCCGAGGTTTTCCCAAGGGACTACAGCATGGGGTTCTTCAAAAGGGGGGTAAAGAGGTTTCTTCAGGGTCAGCAACACACGCGTAATACCTCTGGTATTGCAGGTGTTCATAGGCTACGCTAACCACTTACCATCAGGTGGGCCGTATGCTTGTTTGCCACCTCAGTGGTATAAAAAAAAACCATCATGCTGAATATCAGTTGCATTTTCACGATAAGCTAACTGACCAGCCTCTTCATTTTCACTTATACCCCACTGGTACCCTACCAGCGTATACCGTATACTGTATAGCGCAGGCATGGCTACCATTTTATTACCATCCATTAAAGAAACAGGTTAACCTCCAAGCGGTTCCCCCCTAGAAACCATCGTGGTCAATTCTTATGGAATTCGTCACGATGGGCTAACTGACCAGCTTTCATACGCACCTATGACCTCAATGATGCCTCGCCAGCGTATACCGATATCACAGGTGGTGTTACCATTCTATTATCACTCAAAAAAATATACATTATGTTTCATATATCAGTTGTAATAAAGCGCGAATTTACTGGTTACAGAGGAATAACACCTGAGTCCTCAGGAATGGCAACGCATGCGGGGTATCATGGGCGAAACAGTATACTCTGTTATGTCCATGGTACTGCTCGTGTCTATAGGCGACGGTTACCACTTTCCATCAGGTGGGCCGTCAGCTTCTTTGTCATTCTAAGTTGTATAAAAAAAAACATTTTATTTGCTTCAGAGAGCGAATATGCCAAATTCCCCGCACTGTACGACCTGGACGACTTCGAGACATGCATGCTGGAGCCAGACGCCGTGTACTGCGTGGGCGACTACGACCTCTTCTCCGATGGACCGTCCGAACTCATGAGGATTCTGCAGGTAACTTTTTATATACTAGCTTTTTCTGATGACAGGAAAGACATGGGATTTTTTGTTTTTGACTTTTTTTATTTTATATTTTTATTTTATTTAAAAGGTATACACAGTAGGTTACAATCAATAACATTATAAACATTTATATAAAGATAATAGTTTGAACTAGATTGAGACCCAGACATGTGTACACACAGCACGGTTAAAGCAGTCGACAAACAATGTTAAATTATAAATTATATAAAGAAAGCATATGAATGTGGTAAATAACAGTGAAGTACATGCAAATAATAAAAATATATAAAAATATGGACATGTCAAAGAAACGTGATAGCTGATTGTAAAATATTTTTGAAGGCATTCAGACGTGAGTTGAAGATATAAATTTGAGGACATTTAGTGGAAATTTCATTCAAAGTACGACAAGACAGACACATACATTTTATTTTTGTTATGAAGGGTTTATAAATTCATGTTTTAGAGAACATATATATATATATATATATATATATATATAGAAAATAACAACTAATAATATATATATATATATATATATTATTAGTTGTTATTTTCTATATCTATCCTTATAATAAAGTACCGCGTTCGTGATTCACTGTTCATCCCAGAGGTTGACTGGTAGAGAATGCTACTAGCATTAAGTCCGCCTTTTGTACCTTACTTTATTTTGGTCAACAAAGTTATTTAAAAAAAATAAAGCTGGTAACCACCATCTACACTGTGACAACCATGGAATACTGCTCTTCCTGAGGACTAAGATGTTACACCTCTGTATTTTTTTTATGCAACTTAGAATGGCAAACAAGCTGACGACCCACCTGATGGAAAGTGGTACCCGTCGCCTATAGACACGAGCAATACATGTATCTTGTTATTTCATTCACTGACAACCGTTTCACGACAGAAACGAATGGAATGACGTACTCAAGTAAACGGCGAAACTTGTTTCGAGTAATCTACGTAAATGCTATAAAAAATGTATGGAAAAAGTTTATTTTTCCATGACGATATTCTGAAATTTAAAATCGCTCCCATACATTGAGAATACGCTAACCTACTTTATCACCATCATCGTCATTATATCAGCGTTTAACTGTCCACTGCTGAACATAAGCCTCCCCCATGGAGGGTTTTGTCAGTAATTGGTATTGCTCACAATTCAGGTTACATGTATATTTCTATAACTAATAACGCAACATTTAAAATATTTGTAGTCTAGTGTTATTTAATTCATTATAATTGTTACTCCATTTTCTCGCACTGTACAACTATGTTAAAGTGAATGCTGTGAACACCTATAATAGGCGTGTGCATTAATATTGTATTGTATTTAATGTTTGTTATATATGTTATAATGCAATATGCTGTTGGTGTTCCTTTAAATAAATAAATAAATAATTGTCACGCTTTGTAGACAGATTGGCAATCGTAGTTTTTTTTTTTCGATGGGTGAAAATGGTATGGTAACCCCGCCTGCGCTAACGGAATACGCTGGCAGAGCACCAGTGAAGGGTGATAGATGAGAATGAAAACAGGCCAGTTAGCCCATCATGATGAATTCATCAGGAATTAACCATGACAGTTTCCAGGGAGAACCGCGAGGAGGTCGACCTGGTTGGGTATATTGCTAGCAATGGGATTCTCAGTCTCTATTACTAACAATCCCTTTCCCCCCGGCAATCGTAGTTAGGCTTTGTAGATGTTTTAAGAGGGACGCTGCTGCCCATCCCTCGCCCTTCTTTAGTCGCCTCTTACGACATCCACGGGGGTACATGATACCCAAGAAAAGTATTAATGCACTATAATAATAATATTTTTGCTCAAGCGAGTGTAACAGTTGCATAAAGTACAATTTACAATTTTTACAATTTATATTGAACGAGAAAAATATCTACTTTTTTTTATACAACTTAGAATGGCAAACAAGCTGACGGCCCACCTGATGGTAAGTGGTAACCGTCGCCTATAGACATGAGCAGTACCATGGACATAACAGAGTATACTGTTTCGCCCATGATACCCCCCATGCATTGCCATTCCTGAGGACTCAGGTGTTATTCCTCTGTACCCAGTAAATTCACGCCATATCCCACACTTCAAACCGAAACACAGCCATGCAAACACAACTGCTTCACGGATTATTATAAAATTCTATGGAAATACCAATTACGTGGTAATTACAGGATCTAGTTGTTTGCTGCAAAGGTTAATATGCATGTTGAGTTATTACTTGGACATGTTAACCGGCAGTAATTAACAGCGCAGGACAGTTGATTACGATCACCAGTTGTTAGATGACAAGTTCATTTCTATTCTTAACCCATGGTAAGCAAAGGCAAGGGATTATTACTAATGGGGACGTTAGTCCCCGTTGCTATCAATATACCCTACCAAGTCGACCTCCACGCGGTTTCCCCTGGAAACCATCATGACAAATTTATCGTTGATTTATTATTAATTTTTTTTTATATTAATTTATTGTTACAATAAATAAATATAAAAAAATTAAGAATTTGGTTCCGTTGTCAACAAGGAAACTCTTATGGATTATACTCAGTCTTACATTGATGTCTGACTTACGGCCTTCCATACCATAATTCCTCCATAATTGTTATAGGTAATTACTACATTTATTTACCATAAGAACAATGCTGTCATTTGTGAAATACTAACCCTCTGACATTGTAATTGAGTCTTCATACAACATTATCATACTCTAAGCTGTAATTTAAGTTAAAAAAAGTTCAAAAAATAATTACAAAGTATTTGTGTTTCTCGTTATATTTATTTATTTATTAATTAATTGGGTAATCTTATATTTTATTTTGATTAAAAACTTATTATGTTTGATTTTTAAACAGAGTTCAAACAGATGAAGGGTCTCAATTCGAATGTATTTTTGTTTTGTTCACCTCATAACTTCGTCAGTAATACACTACTAAGATATTATGTATTATCTATTTATGTATCAATGTTTTAAGTATGTAAGTGTATTTTATAAAATTAGGGTATAATGAGGCTGACATATCCTTATAGGATAAAAGCCTCTAAATAAGAAAAGATAAAAAAAAACTCCATCAGTACTAAACCGATTTGGAAAATTATGTTGTTATTTGAAGGAATACACTTACAGATTAGTTCCATAGAAATTTTATCAAAATCGGTCCAGTAATTTTTAGATTTTTAGATCATAATAACTGATTTTGTCACAATTGAAATCGGATTTCTTTGTGGGACACAATATTTAATTATATAAGATGCAATCGATAAGAATTTTATAAAATGTTACTCATAATTTCAAAGATATGGGTTTTCCCAAGAGACTACAGCATGGGGTTCTTCAAAAGGGGGGTAAAGAGGTATCTTCAGGGTCGGCAACGCGCGCGTACCTCTGGTATTGCAGGTGTTCATAGGCTACGGTAACCACTTACCATCAGGTGGGCCGTACGCTTGTTTGCCACCTCAGTGGTATAAAAAAAAAAGATATATTTTTAAGCGCGTTCGTATCTGACTCAAAGGATGTCTCTGACAATTCAACGCGGTGTCATGCCGCAAGTGTCATGGGGACCTTTGGGTCGGGTACAAATCATAAATACGAGCATTACATTGACTGATTATTATTTGATTAAAACATTATTGTAACTAATAATTTATTTTTTATTGTAATTCAAATGTAGGTATTAATATTATAAATTTTAATGTGAATTATGAAAATTTTCAAATTATATATAATTTCGAAAATAAATATAAATTATATAAATGTATAAATTAAAATATTTAAATATACATAAATTATAAACATATAATAAATACATATTTTTATATGCTATAAATTCATCATACAGTAATTTAAACTTATACAATTTTTTTAAATAATAAATACACACAATTGAAATTCGTAAATATGTACTATATTTATAGACCTTAGGGCTTAAATTACTAAAAACTTAACAGCTTAAGGTCACGTGATTATAAACGGAGCTGTTTTGTCTACGCTTATTGGTGTTAATTTGCAGAACAGATAAAATTAATCTTTAAAACTGTCAAGTATTAAGCGTACATGGTAAACCCCCTTGTTGACCTTACATATATATTCTGCGCTTTAGAAGCGCTTTAACGCTTTAACTGCCGAGAACTCACCTAGCGAGCGATGATGATTAACTAGCATATAAGTAGCATTACAACATATTAAAGATAATATAAAATGTTCTAGTCGAATATTATTTGTTTACTAGTGACTTTTACTTGAGTTACAAAACATATAACTAATATTCTAATAAATGTAAAAAAATAAATTTATATTTAAAAAGCAAAAATAAAATTAGTAGAAAAAATACGTGACTAGAACTATTTTATAGATTATCGATATAAAGAAAAATAGAGCATCCTTATTAAGTAACAATGCTTTAAAAAGTGTTAAATTTTATAACTTTTGAAAAACAACGTGAACCTAAAATAAATATAAATGAATCTAAAATCTACGATGAAATTTATGTACAGCTTTCTTTTTTTTTTAAATAAGAAGCTGCATTTTTGTTGAGTGCAATTTAACAAGTTCATGTGAGTTAACGCAAGTAAATCCTCACAAAGATTTGATCAAAGAAATGTCTGTTATAAAGAAGTTAGCATTTATTTATTATTACCTTGCGTGTTACTGATCAGAGTTTTAGATCGAATTATTAAGTTTATTAATAAGCATGCGCTTTCACAAAGTTAGACTTGCTAGCTGCTAAAGAGGGAATAGATCCGGCCTGGTATTTGGCAATAGATGCTAGACCATTTGCCTTGGCACGCTTGAGCAGTTCCTGCTGGCCAGCGAGAACATTCTCAGGTTTGTCAGCCCAAGCGCGAAGCACGGACACTTGGAGAGCGCGGCCGTAGCTGAAGGTGAGGGCCCACGGCCTCTTCAGATCGATCGCGTTGATGGCGTTCAGGTGCACCGACGCTTCTTCCTCGGACTGGCCGCCGGAGAGGAATGTGACACCAGGAACGGCAGCGGGGACTGTCCTGAGCAGAGCGGTGACGGTGGCGCGAGCGACATCTACCGGAGTGTATGTCTTCTTGAGTGTATGTCTGACTGGCCGGCAGTCACCATGTTGGGTTTGAGCAGAGTACCCTCAAGGAAGACGTGGTGGTCGCTGAGCGCCTTGTACACGGCTGCCAGGACGACCTCGGTAACCTTTTGGGCGCGGTCAAGGTCATGTTCACCATCGGGCAAGACTTCGGGTTCGACGATTGGCACGATGCGCTGGCTCTGGCAGATGGAAGCGTAGCGGGCCAAGACGTTGGCGTTCTCCAAGATGGCGTGGTAGGACGGTGTGTTGCGACCGATCTTCAGCACGCACCGCCATTTTGCGAAGTGGCAGCCATCTTTCTTGTATTGAGCGCAACGCTGCGCGAGATCGTCAAGACCCTGTGTGGTGCACTCGTCCTCAGATCCAAATAGTGGAACGACGCCCTTGTCCACTTTGATTCCAGGGATGATACCGCGCTTCTCCAGCAGCAACACGAGGGGCGTGCCATCATCGGCCTTCTGGTACAGGGTCTCGTGGAACAGGATCACACCGGAGATATTCTCAGATAGGATCGGATCAGAGCTGAAGAGCAGTTGGCGGTATCTGCGGCGATTTTCCTCAGTGTTCTCAACGCCGATGTCTTGGAGACGTTTGCCCATAGTTCCTGTGGACTCATCAGCGGCGAGGATGCCCTTGCCAGGGGCTACGATCGCTTGGGCGATCTTCCTCAGCTCCTCCTGCAACTCGGGGGCTGGGTACTGGAAATAGGTGGTCATTGTGGTATTATTTTTACTAGGAAGTTGAAACACTGACAATGTTGAACTGTTGAGCTTCAGCAATGCTCCTCGCTATGCATGGCGAATAGCTTTACACGTGTTCCCGAAGCGGTAACGAAGAACACTGCTGAAAATACCTATTTAATTCGCCATTTGAGCTCTCAGTGTTAATGGCCCCATACTCAAATGCTCAAGGCCAAAATACCGACTGCATTTGTGGTAAAACCAGTTGTTTGTATTTAAAAACTGTTTTTTTAAAAACTTTTGATAAAATGTCTACGGTACCAATATAAATATATCCTTTTAGATAAAAAAAAAAAGAATTTTCCAAATCGGTTTACAATTGACGGAGTTTTTGTTTTTGATGTGTGAAAAGGGTATGGTAACCCCGCCTGCGCTAACGGGATACGCTGGCGGAGCACCAGTAAAGGGTAATAAATGAGAATGAAAACAGGTCAGTTAGCCCATCATGATGAATTCATGAGGAATTAACCATGATAGTTTCCAGGAAAAACCGCGAGGAGGTCGACCTGGTTGGGTATATTGCTAGCAATGGGATTCTCAATCTCCATTACTAATAATCCCTTTCCCCCCAATTGACGGAGTTATGAGGTATCAAACGTTAAAAAAATGCAATTAAATTGAGAAACCTTTTCTTTTCGAAGTGCGCAGGTACCGCAATTAATTGGAGAATGCACAAAAATATATTTGAGCTCAGGCCGTCCTTTTTTAGCGTCACTTATGACTAACAAACGTAGGTAGGCTAGATCCGTTTAAAACAAGTTGGCCCCTATCTAAAGATTTATTAGTTGGCCGGTGGCCAGTGTTTCATACACAGTGCATGACCATATGAGGTGTTGTAACATGATTTTCCTTAAAAACCTTTGCAAAAAGCACACTTCCTTATGTTATTGTGCTCCAGATAGTTTTGTAAGAAACAGTTTCGACCCTGACTAAGGTCATCTAAAGACACGTGTTACCATTAATATTGCAGTTGAACCACTGCGGTAGTTAACATAAGCTGTGGCAATTATCGGTCAGGCTGTATGCTTATTTATTATCTATCTACATCTACACTAATATTATAAAGGGGCAAGATTTGTATTTTTGTGTGTATGTTTGTAATTAATAAACTCAAAAACTACTTTGCCGATTTCAAAAATTCTTTCACCATTAGAAAGCTACATTCACCCTGAATAATATAGGCTATATTTATTTCTAGAAAAGATTAGGAGTCCTTACGAAAACTTTAGTAACGTAACTCGAGGTGTAAAAAAAATTGCTATAAAATATCTTTCGTCGCGTGCTCTGCGGAAACTATTGGTGATAGAACAAAAGTATGTTTTACAATATTGAAGAAAATATCAATAACTACAAAAAACTTAGCGATATATATCCAACTATTATCGTTACGTCACAATAACCACTTTTTAAAATGTTGTAAAAATGTCCACCCGTGCGAAGCCGCGACGGGCCGCTAGTATGATATAAAATATTTTTTTTAAATGGCCGACAGTGCACCTGCAATATCCCAATTATTATTTGGGATCAGCGTAATATGTTGTTATCCATATTACAAAAAGATTTGGCTTATAGTTTTACGACTGGCCGCCTGCCTGACGTCGACCCTCTTTAGAAAAAAAAAGTATTTTTTACTTCATCCATAAAGAAAAAAGTAAAATCTTTCCTCTTATAATATCGGATAAGTCCTCTAGAGAATAGGCAGCGAGAACCTAGCACTTTTAACCATACAATACAAGGGTGGAAGGGATTGTTAGTAATGAAGACTAAGGGACCCATTGCTAGCAATACTCAACCAGGTTGACCTCCCTGTGGTCCCCCCTGGACTCTATCTTGCTATATTCCATCATGATGGACTAACTAACCTTTTCATTTTCACCTGTCATTTCTCACTGGTGCCCCGCCAGCGTATAACGTTAGCGCAGGCGGGGTTACCATACCATTATCATCCAGTAAAAATGATAATATAATACAAAACAAATATTTAACTGTACAACTAATTTATGGTCCATCTGTATGCTAAATATTGACTAAACCAGCACATGTTTGTACGTGATTGAATAACAAAATATCATAACGGATATTCGAGAACGGGCTAACATCATAAACTTTTACCGAGACATCGTTCATGTGACGAACAAGTACGCCAAATTTGATAACGACTGCTTGACCCGTTTAGCTGTGCCGTTTGGCAACGGGGGACAATTTGTGTTTACAAAATAAAAAGGAGATTATTACGTTTTTCTGGGATTTTCCCTAATTTATGTTTTCATAAGAAAATTACGTAGACTTCAACGAATATTTGGACAAAAAAATGACGAACTTGTCCAGCCGTTTAACTACACATTTGGTGATTTATTTTTATTTATATGGATATAAACAAAAATGAATAAATAATAATTCACACTATCCTCCCTATAAACAAAAATTTATGAGTGGGTACTCATAAATTTTTTTTATACAACTTAGAATGACAAACAACCTGACGGCCTACCTGATGGAAAGTGGTAACCGTCGCCTGTAGACATCAGCAGTACCATGGACATAACAGACTATACTGTTTCGCCCGTAATACCCCCCATGCGTTGTCATTCCTGAGGACTCAGGTGTTATTCCTCTGTACCCTGTAAATTCACGCCATATCCCACCCTTCAAACCGAAATACAGCCATGCAAACACAACTGTCACGGTAGAAACACGAATGGAACAGAGGCACCCAAGCATTCGACTTTTGTACAAAGTCTCCCTCTATACCTCTTTACAATTATTTACCATAAAATTGTATTAATTAATTATTTAACTTTATAAAATAAGTACTAGTTGCTACACACTGCCATCTAGCGCCAACCTATGGAGACCTTTTATTATGGATATTTAAAGTGATTCAATGTAGTGATAGACATATTTACTTAAAAATATTTTGTTTATAAACATATATAGGAAACATTAAGACGCACTAAAACTCTGTACTACATACATGTATAGTAGGTGTATTTATTATATTGCCAAGGTTGTTGTATGATCTACATATAAATGGAATTTAATTATACGATACTCGTTTAAAACATAATACTACGAACCCACATAATATGGGATAAAGGAATGATTATAATGTCTACTCTATAAGATTACTGACTTTTATTCATATAAAAAAAAAAAATTGTTGCAGGAATACTCAGAATACAAACTGAAACATTACAATCACACACAAATACATCGAGGTGTTTGTGTGACTAAAACATGTAAAAAGTTTATGGAAACAGTGAGTAAAACAGAGGACCTAGAATCGACCCTTGTGGCATGCCTCAATGAAAGTATTTGGAACGATTATGAACTTCAGGTCAAACTCAATAAGATACAATATTGTAAAAGAGCTGATGACAGAGTAACTATGGATGCCAGTGATGCCGTGATGATCGTGGTATATTTAGTATTCATAGCGTTGAACATCATAGGTAGCTGCTACGATTCTACGTTCTGGAAAAAAGAAAACAAAGGTTTGTGCAGTTATTTACAATGAAATGAGACTAAAAGACGAGAATAAAATATCTAATGCTCTCGCACACTTTCTCTCAATTCAACTGTTTTTTTTATCTGATTACTAAAGAAAAAAGGATTGTTTTGCAACTTGTATATGTATGTATAAAATAACACCAGATATTTTGCGCTTGTATGAAGACTGCTTATTAATATAGGCCAGAGAAAAATCAAATTAGATTTCTTTATGCAACTTAGAATGACAAACAAACACAACGACATAAATGATGATGTCAGCCGTACTATCCACTGCAGACCATAAGACTCCAAAAGGGAGATTTTACAGCCATTATCCGTCCACTGCTGGACATAAGCCTACCCCATAGACTGCCATAAAAACCGCCCTGAACAACCTGCATCCACTGACTCCCTGCAATGCATTTCAGGTCGTCACTCCATCTAGTGAGGGATCGTCCTACACTGCGTTTGTTGAAATGCGTCAGCATTGTGATAAGTGATGCAACCTGAATCAACGCTTAAAGATGCCTATACTTAGCGATTCCCTTATTTCAAATGGCAGATCATTCCCCAATCGAATGAATATAACTGTGAAGTAATTCCTTCTCGTATTTTGATATATTTTCAGGAAATCCATACTTATTAGCATTTTCTGTACGTAAAAATTGGAACAAATTAATAGCGTCAAGCGCCAGAGGAGTAGACCCAAGGCTTGATCGACTGAAACTCTTCAATGGATTAAGGTTTAGTACTATTTGATAACGTCGACAATGATTTATGTGATGATACTCGTGCATAACTTGTAAACTGACCTGTTTTATTTCTGTTTCTAGAACACTCACGATGATTTGCATCTTCTTTTCACATTCAACACTAATTATGTCATATTCTTACATCTCCAACCCTATGTTTGTTGAAAAGGTAAGATTGTTTTTCCAAATGGCTAACCTGTAGATATTGTCCTGTAATTTGTATTTGTAATCCTTACTAATGCTATAAACGTGAAATCGTATCATGCCTAGCCTTTAACTGTCCACTGCTGAATATAAGATTCCTCCTGGGGGGTTTGTCAGTAATTGTCATGCAGGAGGATTGGCAACCGCAGTTAGGAGATGTTTTAAGATGGACGCTGCTGGAAACTGTTGGAACGCTGCTGCTGGCACGGGAAAAGACGCACCCCTTCTTTAGTCAATTAACATATCCTGAGAGCCTACCATGAAATGTTTTCCAAAATTTCGGAGCCAAACGAAACCGAAATTTGATGTTAAAATTACATAATACATACCGTTTGGAAATATTAAAAATGTTAAAATGTTGTTCTTTTTTACTTTTATGATGGGATGTATGACGAACGAAATGTTAAACACCATTTATTGGTCCGATTTTGTTATAAACAAAAACACGAAATTGAGTCCGAAATTTTGGAATTTCATTTCATGCTAGACCCGCTGATCACAAGAATGAAGTCATGGGTCATTAATATATAAGAGCGTGTAATGCTATTTGCTACTAAGAGTTTATGGGGGAGTCCTATATCCAGCAATGGTCAGTTAACGGCTGATATGAGAATGATAATGATCATTATACTTTTTTGCTTTTCAACAAAATATTTCCGCAGGTATTATTCCTAATCTACGTGTAAGAAAATTTAATAGGAATAAAACAAAACAAGAATCAACCAAATTTGTAGTTAGTGTAGAAAGAAATAAGTATTTTGTATTTGTAACCTACTATCGTTCATTATGATCAACATATGCAAATTAACTTGGCGAGATATACAAGACTCAAATACATACGTTATATAATAAATTTATTTTATTTTTTATTTAATTTTGTCTACGTAGTTTCCTTAAAAATTGTCACAATATTGTACACCGCTCTACCCGTTGACATTGATGCTCCTTTTACACTTTGGGTTTGCTGGGAGAGAACTCTATTAGAGTTAAGCTCGCCTTTTTACATTTGATTATCTATGTCATATACTTATAACTGGTGTGTACAATAAAGAATTAAATAAAAAACAAAAAACAAAAAATTTATTGATTCTTCATGATGAATTCATCATGATGGGCTAACTGGCCTGTTTTCATTCTTATCGATCACCCTTCACTGGTGCTCCGCCAGCATATCCCGTTAGCGCAGGCGAGGTTACCATACCATTTTCATCCAACAAAAAAAAAATGTATAATAATAATAATAATAAATTTATTTGCATTAAATAGGGTAGGTATCGGTGGCTTTATATTACATAAAGCTTCGTGCCCATTTAGCCATTACAGAATAGCATGCAAATGTCCCATTTTGATAGGAACTGATTAATTTATGCATCGACAACTATATTAGATACTTATCTTTTCTTTTTTGAAAAATTTGTCAACAGAGTAAAAGCTTTTGCTAAGTAACCATTTAATAATTTAATTCTATTTTAATGTTTATCAAACACAAGGCATGCTGTGGTTGCCTATAAATGTAAGAACAGTTAGATCTAATCTACCAGTGTATTGTATTGAAATGTTTAGCTGTATCTTATATTGGTAATACTATAAATAAATAAATATCCATAGAAATATTACTAAAGATTTTTATAGGAATAGACATAATTTTTATAGGAATTTCTTAATAAACGGCTTGTTTTAGGAATTGTCTTGTATTAGTCACTAGTTTTTGAGGGTATCTTGCGCTTCTTTGTACTTGTTCCTTTGCTTCTGTAAACATGTGCTTATTTAATTTAACACAGTATCTCGGAATGATGACGAAAAATAACCGAAAAAATTGGAAGCGAAAAAATTTGCTGTCACATTAATGATTGTAAAATTATTATACAATTACAGGCATATGATGATCCTTTGAAGCAATTGCTGTACAATGGAAGTTTGGTGACGCACTCGTTCTTCGTGATGTCCGCGTTCCTGCTGGCCTACAACTTGCAACTGTACAGCGAGAAACATGTTGTCACATGGAAGCAATTTCCTAGAGGCGTGTTGCTGAGGTGGCTCAGGTAAGACGTCTTATATTTAACACACCAATTGGAAAGAAAGAAAGAAAAACATTTATTCAGGGAAAACAAAAGAGGAATAAGAATTACGCTAAGAATTTAAGATTTTCTTCCACAAAAAGCATCGACTTCAATAGTGACAAAAACAGTTATTTTAATTTAAAAAGCTAAACTATTGGTCCGGTTTTGATAAAATTTCTATGGGATTAATTTAAAAGTATGTCCTTTAAGATAAAAAAGAATTTTGGAAATTGATTTATAAATGACTGAATTATGAGGTAACAAATAACACAGTATAACCTGCCACAAATTAAGTTTCATTCCAGCCATCTGGATGAGTGGTGATCTTCCACCGTGCGTTTTTTAAGACACTTTCTTCCACTCACAACCACTCTTTGGAATCAACTTCCTGCAGCAGTATTTCCGTACCGATACGACATCGTAACCTTCAAGAAAAGAGCATATTCTTTATTAAAAGGCCGACAGTACACTTGTCATGCCTCTGGTGTTGCGAGTGATCATGAGCGGCGGTAATCACTTACCATCAAGTGAGCCGCATGCTCATTTGCCCCTGTGTAATAAAAAAAAATAGAAAATTAAAAAAAAAGTTGAAAATACACTTCTGCAGCATGCATCAAGAAGCCTTTATGGATTTTCAATTCTGATTTTCCAAAGATATAGATCCTTTAAATATTACAATCACAGCAGCCAATAATATATTGACCCAAGTAGTAACCCAGTATGACAGCGTGAATTTACTGGGTACAGAGGAATAACACCTGAGTCCTCAGGAATGGCAACGCATGGGGGGTATCATGGGCGAAACAGTATACTCTGTTATGTCCATTGCACTGCTCATGTCTATCGGCGACGGTTACCACTTTCTATCAGGTGGGCCGTCAGCTTGTTTACCATTCTAAGTTGTATAAAAAAAGACATTCCTTTTTTATCTTCATGTCACGAAATTGGGTAACGCATATCTAAAGCTTTTGGTATTGTAGACATTCATAAACTGCAAGGGCTTCTTTTTTTCCGACGAATTACATAGCTAACTATTACCTCCTTATACTATTATGTATAAAATATAGTGGTTATAAACCACTTATTAAAAATATATTAATCTTCAGATTGACGCCCATATACGCCCTGATGATGGGAACCATTGCAACATTGATGCGCCACATGGGCGATGGCCCACTATGGCCGTTAGTGGTGACCAGTGAGTCGGCAGCCTGCCGGCAGTACTGGTGGGCGCATGTCCTGTATATCAACAACTATATATATGATGATGCATGGTGTACACCACAGAGTTGGTAAGAGTTATATTGCGTATTTCCATAAAACTTAATTGACAGTTTTCTCTTTTCATTGAATCGTTTCCTCTTGTCGGTGCAACTAATTCATGCATATTCTTCTAGCTAGCTCTATCCCAGGCCATATCTTTGACTATACTCCCTCCTTATACAACATGACACCTAGTGTTTCCTTTATCTGTCCCATGTAGTTATTCCATGGTCTTTCACTTCCTCTTTTACCCACTACTTTTCCTTCTACTATGCTATTTTTAAAAATCGTTAAAGAGGAATAATATATTATCAGGTACCTGGCTTCAGACACCCAGATGTTCTGCCTGTGTCTGCTATTGTGCGTAATGATCAGAACCCCTCGGTCCAGTAAGATAATGTTAACAGTCCTCTTCGTGTACTCACTCGTGGTGGTCGCTGCGCATACTTACTTCCAGAACTTGGATCCTGTAGTGTTGCAAAAACCTGAGTAAGTAATAAAGCCACTTACACTTTAAACATAAATAGATATCATTATATCGACCATAAACCGTCCACTGCTGAACATAGGGGTCCCCATAACGAGGGTTTTGCCAATAATTACCAGGCTCGGTAGGCGGGTTGGCAACCGCAATTAGGCTTTGGCGATGTTTAAAGAAGGACATTGCTTCTCAGTCAGTCTTCGACCATTAGTCGCGTCTTACGAAACTCACGGGGAACGAAAAGGATGGCCCATTCTGGGAATACATTCTGGGAATAAAATAGATGGAATAGATTTAAAATAAACTAATTAACAAAATACAATGCAATACTCCTATTTTTTGTTATGAAGTAACTGCTCTGTCATGGTTGTGTTTCAATTTTGAAGAGCAGGTTATGGCAGTAAAATTGCAGAATACGAAGACATAATGTGTCCTCAATTTTGGTAACGTGTGAGTGATACCATGACAGTACATAGTGTATTTTGTGACATCTACGGTGCTGGTCATATCTATAGATGATGGTTATCACTTTCCATCAGATGGGCTTTCAGTTTGTTTTCCAAACAAAATTATAAAAAATATAAAGGTACATTTTTCGCAATCCCAAAATTATGAAAATAGTGATTAGAAAATTTGCATTCTAACTAGATATTAATTCTAAATTTCCCCAAAGAGATCTCAAGATTCAAACCTTTGAATTGAAAATCCATGTTTGAATCATTCAAACGTGATTGCTACTTGCTTTATACTGCACACGTAAAGCCGTAGTCCAGTAAACTACATCGAAAATCTTTATATAGAAAGCTACTTTAAACTTTTGATACCTTACACCAAGTACGAGTAGTAACAATACCTATTTGAAAATATTTTCCAGATCTTTCCGCACCGTATATGCGTACGACGACACCTTCAGGCTGCTGTACTCCCGCGGCCACACCAACCTGTCCACGTACACTCTCGGCCTCGCTGGAGGATTCCTCACATATTATTTACAAACTGAAAAGAAGGACTTGAAAAATTATAAGGTAATATTATTTAGATAACCAAGGAGACTTGAAAAGTCGTGTGCTTCAAAACCACCTGTGTTTCTGTCGTAAAACAGTTTGCATGTTTGTATTTCAGTTTGGGGGATCGAATATGGCGTTTGCGATTGACATCCACCAAAGCTTAATTATTATTTTATTATTGATATTTTATCAGCCATTAACTATCCTCTACTGAACATGGGCCTCCCCCATAAGAGAGGATTTACCAATAATTGCCATACTTAGCAGACAGGTTTACAAGTACAGTCAGACTTTGGTAATGATTTAAATAATGGACGCTGCTGGCCATCCCTAGACTAATTTTCCCTAATCGCCTTTTACAACACCCACGGGAATGGAGGGAGTAGCTCATTCTATGCCGAGTCCAAATTGTCATAAAAAATGTAATTGTCATTCTAAGTATTATAAAACAAAAAATAAATCCAAATTGAGGTGTGAAAATGGAATGGTAACTCCGCCTGCATTAGCAGTATAAGTAACTGATGATTGGTGAAGATGAACACAGGTAAGTTGGCTCATCGTGGCGAATTCACTGTGAATTATCTACGATGGTTTCCAAGGAGGACAACGTCAGGGATGTCCGTCTCTAGAAATCTGTCCGATTCTAGAATAAAAGTATACGGGTATGTGAACCCGGCCTCCTGAGCCACTACAAAGTCCCAGTCCTTTCCGCAACTGCAGTATCTCTCCCTTTCCTTTCCCACATAAGTCCCTTATTCCTCTTATTTACCAACTTCCTTTACGCATTTCCAATGTTTCCTTTTTTTTTTCATCAATCCTTTCCTCTATATCGTAGGTGACAGAATTCATCAATAAATCCATTCCCAAAAAGAGTTGACGTCAGGCAAGCGTTCGATCGTAAAACTATAAGCCAAATCTTTTTGTAATATGGATAAAAACATATTACGCCAATCCCAAATAAATTGGGATACGAGTAGGAAGGCGATGATGATGATGGTTTCCGAAGGGAGGACCACGTAGAAGCCCATCTGACAGGATATATTGAATACACAAAGCCAAAAGCGTTGGACCATTGATCGTCCCTTACTATGATATTATTATTTTACAGAACTACCGCTGGGCGTTCTGGTTATTGTTCCCAATGGGCGTAGCAGTTATATTATCAGGAGGAATATTCTATATAGACGGCATCACACTACCCACAACTGTTAAGTTGCTGTACGCAACTATCTACAAGCCAATCTTCCAAATTCTCGTAGTTGCTTTCATCATTGGATGCATCTTTAAATTTGAGAGTAAGTACTTTAATGTTATATGTTTAATGTCTTTAGTAGAGATGAAACTGATAATCATTTGGCCTGATACCGGATATTCAACAAACTGCATGGCCAGATAGTCGAATATCTAGGAGATTAATTGGTTGCCTGATTGGTTAACTTGTTGATTGATTGAATGCCTGATTATTTGATTGATTGATTATTCAATTGATTATTTAAACTGCTTATTGTGCCCTGTGCAGCGGTATACCGCGGCATCGTGGAATGGCGCGGTTTCACGTGGTGTGGGAGGGTGTCATACATTACATTCTTCACGCACACGTTGATCCAGAGAGCGTACCTTGGACTCCAGACTACTCCCTATTATATGTCCGAATATAACATTGTGAGTATAATGGGTCGACAGATTGACGTTACTTCATTATTTACAATTATAATTTAATTCTTGTTCATTTAATTTAGTAAAATTCAATTCTGTTCATTTAATTTGACTAAATTTAATTTTTAATCTATTAATGAAATTTCAATTATATTTATATTTATTTATATTTAATACTTTATTGTACACATTAGTTATAAAAATATGACAGAGGTAAACAAAAGTACAAAGGCGAGCTTAACTCTGATAGATTTTTCTTCCAGCAAACCCAAAGTGGAAAGGAGCATCAATGTCAGCGGATACAGCAGTGTACAATTTCATTTAATTTAACTAAATTGAATTTATATCGGTTAAATTTAGTAAATTTCAATTCTGTTCATTTAATATTATTAAATATCATTCCTGATCGTATTCTATTCCAGTCAATGCTGCTGCTAGCGTCAACCGCTGGTTCATTTATTTCGGCGGCGATATTGTGGATACTAATAGAAGCCCCCGTCTCTGGCGTCACTAAAACTCTTCTACAACCACAGCCATCGAGACCACCACCCTCACTACAGAATGAACGATTGTAAATAAATTTGTTACTTCATACCCAATTTTGTTTTCTTTTTTACAAATTAAAAGTTTCTGCATATCATCATCATAACAGCCTTTAACTGTCCACTGCTGAACATAAGCCTCTCCTATGGGGTGTTTGCCAGTAGTTGCCATGCTTGGCAGGCGGGTTGGCAACCGCAGACTTTGGTGAAGTTTAAAGAGGGACGCTGCTGTCCATACCTCGACAAAGTTCCCTTAGTCGCCTCTTACCACACCTACGGGATTGAAAGTGGTGGCCCATTCTATGCCGGGACCACACACTAAACATACAGTTATATGGGAAACAAAATCCTATAACAAACCATATGTTCACCTACAGGTGTAATCTCAACCTCTTATGGGAAGAGGCCTTCGTAAACCTCATAGCCAAGAATTACAGTTCCATCCCAACCACCTGAATGTCTGGCAGTCCTCCACCGTGCATTTTTCAAGGAACTTTCTTCCATGCACAATCACTTTTTGGAATCGACTTCTAACAGCAGTATTTCCGAACCGATACGACAACATAACCTTCAAGAAAAAAAACATATTCCTTTTTAAAAGTCCGTCAGCACACCTGCAATGCCGCTGGTGTTGTGGGTGATCTTGGACGGCGGTAGTCCCTTACCATCAGGTGAGCCGCATGCTCGTTTGCCCCATGTTATAAAGACTGAAAAGGATAGGTGACCGATAAACTTACATAAAAATGAAAAATTATCTATTTTTTGCCAATAATATTATAAACAATAAGAATAAACGAGTTTGAAGGTGAAACACAATTGAATGCGCATTCAAAAAATTTACATGAATATTAATTTTTTACATAAGAATCTATTATGTTTTAACATGTCAGGTTTATAAGCAGCATCCTTCTCATTGCTCTCGCGTCTCCAGCATAAGCTAGTGGTAGTTATGGTGTCATTTGTCATATTTTTTTTATTCTTCCTAAAGACTTGTTCAGCTGTGATATATAGTGTAAACGGTGAGTAGAGTAGTGGACAAAACTACTTCGAATTCTCTTGATTATAATAAAAAAGTCTTACCTTTTTATGTCGCTAAAAATGGCAAACAAGTTCATAGTTCATTCGAAGTTGTATGGTTGTGTTTTTATGGATTTGAAATGGAATAACGTTTGTGGTCCCGGCGTAGAATGGGCTATCAATTGCATTCCCGTAGCTGTCGTAAGAGACGACTAAAGGAATTTATATATATTTACTGCACTTGTAAATTACATTGTTAATGCATTTATAAATATTGTGAGCAAGGGTGGACTTATCTCCAAAAGAGATCTATTCCAGTCAACCCAATACAGTGAGAAAGCATGTTGTTAGCGGGTAGCTTAAGTGCTACAACTATTAATATTTAGAGTACATAAACAAATATACAGTTAAATAAAATATTAAAATACATAATAAAATATTACATAAATACATATACTATAAATAAATATACCTACCTATTTATACAATAGATGTTAAAATAAATGAATATACTACCTACTACAGAAATTTAGTTAAATGATTTAATAATCGAGGAATGGGTATCTCTCTTAAAACATCAAAGCCTAACTGCTGTTGCCAACCCGCCTGCCAATAGTGGCAACTACTGGCAAACCCCTCATTATGGGGGAGGTCTGTGTTCAACAGTGGACAGATAACGATGTGATGATGATAATGATGCGCTATCAACATACGATAAGGTGATACCGTTGAGTGATTATAAATGAAGATGAAATCAAGTTAATTGGTCCATCATGACGAAATAATCAGAAATTGACCACATGTTTTTCAGGAAGGATTGCGTGGAAATCTACTTCATAGGGTATATTGCAAAGCAAAGTGCCCATTACTAATATTTCCTTCGGTAACTGTCGAACAAAACAGTGCCACTGACGTTACAAAATACAGTGTAAAGTTTATAATAGCCTCTCATATGTTATTCATCTCCTCAGGGCTGGTTTGAACATAAGACAATGTATGTGATGGCCTAAGGGCCCCTTCTGGAATAAGGCGCCCGCGCACCGCCAAAAATTTTTATAATACGTTTCTTTTTTCTCTTCTTTTCTTATTTGTTTATTTATTTTAATTATTTCGCGCCAATAATAGAATTGAACAAAATTTAATTAAAAACATAACATACAGGTGTATTGTTCAGTAAATGTATTGTTCAGGTAAACCGTTTCTTTAAATGTAAATTACATTTAAAGATTTGTATCTGACAAACGATCAATGATAATATTATTGCCTTTTTTTATATTTTATCGCCATATTTTAGTATACTTCGTAACGCATTTTAATTTAAATAAAATAAAATACATGTTTTTTTCGTTATTTTAGAGCGAGACGTACATTGGTTAGGGGCTCCGACATCGTTAATTCGGCCCTACTTTGAGTGGCTCTTTCTAAAAACAAGTAGTGTTTATACCAAAAGATTTTATGCTATACTATCTAGCTATTTTAACAACTTCGTCCGCTCCAAACTTATTCATTATCATTCTCGTGAAACTTGTAGAGAGCCCCTTTTTACTATAATGTTTGCATACGTGCTATAAGAAATCCCTGTGCGAAATTTAATGTTACTAAACCCAGCAATTAGGGGGGAAAGGGATTGTTAGTAATGGACACTAAATCCCATCCATAAAATCCCATTGCTAGCAATATACCCAACCAGGTCGATCTCCTCGTGGTTCCCCCTGGAAACTATCATGGTTAGTTCCTGATGAATTCATCATGATGGGCTAACTGGCCTGTTTTCATTCTCATCTGTCACCCTTCACTGGTGCTCCGCCAGCGTATCCCGTTAGCGCAGGCGGGTTACCATTCCATTTTCATCCACCAAAGAAGAAAAAAACTTAGCAATTTCAGATGTGCTTTATTTAGTCAGATTCTTTTTAAGATTCTATACCAAAATTATGCAAAAGTGGACTTTATGGTACGATCCTGTTTATACTTCCATCATTTTCTATTAAGTAGAGGGACAATTTGATTGCTACTCTAATTTGCTTTAAAAAGTCTTCTAAAAATTTGCTTAGCAAAGTAGTAAAGACGCTATATGTTGCAGCTCAACCTGCAGGGCGCTAGCTTACTTTTTTTATACAACTTAGAATGACAAACAAGCTGACGACCCAACTAATGGAAAGCGGTAACGGTCGCCTATAGACATGACCAGTTACTTTACTCCATAATTATAGATTTGAATAAATACCATAACTGCATGGGCACATGCAGTTATGGTATTTATTCATACCCATACCCCTTTTTAATCGAAAATTATTATTATTTTTTTTTTATACAACTTAGAATGGCAAACAAGCTGACGGCCCACCTGATGGAAAGTGGTAACTGTCGCCTATAGACATGAGCAGTACCATGGACATAACAGAGTATACTGTTTCGCCCATGATACCCCCCATGCGTTGCCATTCCTGAGGACTCAGATGTTATTCCTCTGTACCCAGTAAATTCACGCCAAACGTTATTAACCCTTCAACAAGAATATCTGACAGTTTTGTATATTCATGTTATCTTTTGTTTTACACCTCACCTGTATTACGTTATTATGTTCCTATATATAATGTTTCTCTAACTAAGAGTGGTTAATATATACCAATATCTGTATATTTTAGTTGCAATATGTATATACTGGTCCAATAACGAATATGTTAAATGTATGTTATCCAGAAATTAATACTGGTTAACAGACTGTTAACATATTATATTACCAGAGGGAGACTTTGTACAAAGGTCGATTGCTTGGCTCCCTCTGTCCCATTCGTGTTTCAACCGTGAAGCAGTTGTGTTTGTATGTCTGTGTTTCGGTTTGAAATGTGGGATACGGCGTGAGTTTACAGGGTACGGAGGAATAACATCTGAGTCCTCAGGAATGGCAACGCATAGGGGGTATCATGGGCGAAACAGTATACTCTGTTATGTCCATGGTACTGCTCATGTCTATAGTCAACGGTTACCATTTTCCATCAGGTGGGCCGTTAGCTTGTTTGCTATTCCAATAGTTGTGTGTATTAACAAACTTGTGCCCATTGTATAAGCTCTGGTTAGTTTGGATCTAGATGGCGTTGTGTGATGTGTGAAGTAATTTATTGGATAAAAATATTAACGGATTTTTTTTAATGCGTGATAGTGGAATGGTAGTCCAGCTTGCGCTACCGATATTCACTGATGGGGCTCTAGTGAGAGATCCCCCCCCCCCCCATTACTAGGGTAACATGGGGGAAAAGAGATTGTTAGTAATGGGGTCTAACTGACCCATTGCCAGCAATACACCCTATCAGGTCGACCTCCACGCGATTTCCCCTGAAAAACCATCATGGTTAATTCTAGTGGAATTCGTCACGATGGGCTAACTGACCTGCTTTAATTGTCACCTATCATCCCTCACTGGTGCCCCGCCAGCGTACACCGATAACGCAGCATTAAAAAAAAACTAGGGTAACATTTCAGGTATATACTACATTTTGTACTTACATTAGACTAACAAGTTCTAATGAAATGAACTAGGCGTCCTTTCACGCAGTTAAATTAAACCTTTAAACTCTTTAAACGTCATTTTTTTACAGTCTTACCTTGAACCTAGGTCGTCGCTGTCATACGACAGTTGTCATCATGCTTACGCAAGTAGTGCGCAAAATAACAAGTCGAACGTTACAAGGAGATTACTGTTTTTTAAACGACTCCAAAAAACCCGAGAACACGATATTTTCAATTATGTTATGTAGTGTCTTTGCCAATTCTGAATAGATTTTATAAAATCATTTTCAACCGCCTTCAAAAAAAGGAAATTCTCTTGTATTCCTTTATTTCCTTTTCCTGTAGATGTCGTAAGGCAAGGCAACTAAGGAAACTTAATGATCGAGGGATGGATAGATAGATATATATATATATATATATATATATATATATATATATATATATATATATATATATATATATATATATAAATTTTTACATGCATCACATTTCCATATTTAAAAATAATAGAATTTAATCTTGCCTCCGATCAAACTGTTTATAATTACTCCTCTCCATCCAAAGGTTGCCTGGAAGAGATCGCTTTTAGCGATAAGGTCGCCCATTGTTTTCTCATTGTGATTACTTCTTGTAATTGTTTATATTTATAATAAGTTTACTATTGTAATCTGTTGAAGAAGACAAAACAAGTTCATTTAGTTGGTAGTTACGTCACGTAAACAACACAAATTTTCAAAAATTTATAATAACCACTCTAATCGATTTATCTTCTAGCGGTGACCCTCTATTGTTTTATCTATGATATGAATAGAATGGCAAACAAGCTTACGGCCGACCTGATGGAAAGTGGTAACCGTCGCCTATAGACATGACGAACAGTATGAATATCACAGAATACACTACGAGGTTTGTCCGGAAAGTACGTATAAAAGTTTTTTAAAAATTTTATTTTACAATTATTCAGGTAAATCAATTTTATCCCCTTCAAAGTACTCCCCCTGTGACATAATGCACTTGTGCCAACGCCGTTTCCACTGTGAGAAGGCTCCTTGAAAGTCCTCTGGTTGTAGGTTTCTCAGCTGCCCCGTCGTAGCTTTTTTTATCTCATTTATGTCCCCCAAATGCCGCCCCCGAAGTACCAATTTGGTTTTTGGGAACAAGAAGAAGTCACACGGGGCCAAATCCGGCGAATAGGGGGTGTTCGGTCACCGTAATGGAATTTTTACTCAAAAACTCACGGACAACAAGAGAGGTGTGGGCAGGGGCATTGTCGTGGTGAAGAATCCAACGCCCCTCTCGCGCCAATTCTGGACGAACTCGTGCCACACGAGCTTTGAGGCGTCTGAGCACATCGACGTAGAATTTTCCATCAACTGTCTGGCCTGGAGGGACGAATTCTTGATGGACAATCCCCCGAACATCGAAAAAAACAATCAACATTGTCTTGACATTTGAGCGGGATTTTCTTGATTTTTTTATTCGTGGTTCCCCGGATGTCTTCCACTCTTTGCTTTGGGATTTTAATTCGACATCAAATTCGTAGAACCAAGACTCATCTCCAGTGATGACTCGGTTCAAAAAGTCACCATTCTCTTCGGCTTCCAACCAGTCCTCACAGCAAGCAACTCTTCGTGATTTTTGATCCGGGGACAAAAGCTTGGGAACGATCTTGGCGCAAATTTTTTTCATTTGAAGTTCGTTTCTTAGAATTTCGTGGACCACGGTTTTGCCCAAATTAAGCTCTTCAGCCACCTGTCTGACCGTTAAACGACGGTCCCCATTAACACAAGTTCGAATTCTTTCCACGTTTTCGTCGGAATGTGAAGTGGAAGGACGTCCCGAACGTGGGTCATCTTGAACGCTTTCTCGGCCCTCTCTGAATCTTTTTAGCCACTTGTGGACGGTTGGTTCCTTCACAGCATCATCCCCATAAACTGTTCTGAGATCGGCAAAAATTTCACGGCCATTCTTGCCGAGTTTCGAGAGAAACTTGATTACGACGCGCTGCTCTTCAACGGAAGCGGGCTCCATGCCGACGGGGTTTCGTTAAGAGGTAACTTCACAGATGGCGTGACAAGCCAGTTCGCACCGCACGGCGGTCAGACCAGAACTGAAGCATTGTTAGGGACATAAGGAAGGGGTCCTGCGCTTACCTGGCCTCCCCACTCCTCTTTCTCGCATTCCAGAACACTTTTATACGAACTTTCCGGACAGACCTCGTATAATACTTATGGCACCCCTAATTCTTAGTAATGAGGATTAGAAACACTATTGCTAGCAATATACCCTATCAGGTCGACCTCCTCGCGGTTCCCCCTGGTAAACATCGTGATTGATTCATTAGTGAATTTATCACGATGGGCTAACTGACCTGCTTTATCTATCACTTAGTGGAGGGTCGTCCTACACTGCGTTCACGCATACGTGGTCGCCACTCAAGAACCTTTCTTCCCCATCGGTTGTCGGTTCTTCGAGCTATGGCTCAATATGGTATTTATTATTATTAATTATGTATGTTGATTTTTTTTTATTATTCTTCTATAGAGAGCGAATATGCCACATTCCCCGCACTGTACGACCTGGACGACTTCGAGACATGCATGCTGGAGCCAGACGCCGTGTACTGCGTGGGCGACTACGACCTCTTCTCCGATGAACCGTCCGAACTCATGAGGATTCTGCAGGTCACTTCTTGTATACTAGCTTCTTCTGATGACAGAAAAAACATACTATTTTTTTATTTTCGTTATAAAATTATCGTTTCTCCCTAGGAAGACTTTGTACAAAAGTCGATTGCTTGGATATCGCTGTCCCATTCATGTTTCTACCGTGAAGCAGCTGTGTTTGCAGCAGCAATAATAGTCTGAAAATATTTATTTTATTTTATTAAATTGTTTTTGTTAAAGTTAAGGTGTTATTCCTCTGTACCCTGTAAATTCACGCCATATCCCACTCTTCATACCGAAACACAGCCATGCAAACACAACTGCTTCACGGTAGAAACACGAATGGGACAGAGGTATCCAAGCAATCGACTTTTGTACAAAGTCTCCCTCTGGTTAATAATTTTTGTCTTATAATTTTTGCATCTTTTTAACTAATTTTCTTTATTAAATAATACGTCAAGATACATTTTATGCGTAAATATATACAATACTGATAAAAAAAAACGAGTCAACTAACTTGACAATTAGTTGACAAAAAGGTAACCCATTTTTGAGGCTCGATGCTCTATCTATAACTATATAATCTAGTATTCACTATACCATGAAAATTCTAGATTTTTCCCTTTATTCAAGTTAATTTAATTACAGGAATATTCAGAGCACACTCTCAAACATTTTAATCACACACAAATACATCGCGGGGTTTGTGTCATGAGAAGGTGTAAGAAATTTTTAAAGAAACATGCAACAAACAATACATTGGACCTAGAATCGACGCTTACAGCGTGCCTTAATGATAGTGTATGGAATGATTATGAAATTCAAGCGAGACTGAATAATATACAGTATTGTGAAAAAGCTGGTGAAAAGAAGAAATTAGACTACACCGACGCAATAACGGCGACGGCATATTTGATTTTAATATTGTTGAACGTAATCGGCAGTTATTACGATTCTAGGCTTAAAAATAACAATAATGAAGGCAAAGGTAATATACACTTTCAAATACATTTTATTATATTATATATTTAAAATAGATAACAATATTAATCTATCTATACTTATAATAAATCTGTAGAGAGGTCAATTCTGTACATGAAATAGTTCCAAAATAACTATCAGGAGGTGATTAGTGATCGATACTGATGACAAAAATGCAATCAGTAAAATTTTTGTCTGTCTGCCTGGATGTTCGTTATAGAAACAAAAACTACTTGACGGATTTTAACGAAATTGGATACAATTATTCTTCATACTCCTGGACAGGTTATAGTATCCTTTTCATCACGCTATGATCAATAGGAGCAGAGCAGTGAAGGGAAAACGGGAGAAGTTACTCCATTTTTAAGCTGTCGTCGCGTGTGCAGCCTTAATGGCCACTTTTTAAAATGTAAAAATGTCCACCCGTGCGACGCCGAGACGGGCCGCTAGTATAAAATAATATACTACATATAATACCTATTTATCTTGTTATTGTGTGTAAATTAATTATAAATATGATTTATATATATATATATATATATATATTAATCATATTTATAATTAATTTACTTGTAAGTTATATATAATATAATGCATTTATAAATGTCGTGAGCAAGGGTGGACTTATCTCTGACATAGATCTCTTCCAGTCAACCCAGCACAGTAAGAAAGCATTTCGTTAGCGGGAAGTGCTATAATTGTTAATACATAAATAAATATACAGTTAAATAAAATATTAAAATATATAATAAAATATTACATAAATACATACGCTATAAATACATATAATACCTATCTACTTATATAATAAATGTTAAAATAAATTAATAAACTACTTACATTAGAAATTAAAATAAAACAAAAATATTATTTTATGCAACTTAAAATGGTAAGTAAGTCTGAATGTATGTAATGTATTTTATATATTTATTTAAGTAATATATACAATTATATATATAAAAAAAATTATAAGTACCTAAATTAAGGTGTGCATATGATTGTTTGCATATGCTTTAACATGAACGTTTTTCTTTCTTTTTTTTATTAGTTACACTTATTGCGTCCAATAGCCCTTTTTTCTTTTCTTTTCTTCGATCGCTTTAGCGATAAGACCGTCTTTTGTACTTTATAAGTGTATAATATTAATACATATAATATTTATTAAGTAATAAAATTAACCCTTCTTTGCATGATTTTTTTACTGGTTTAATAAATCACGGTGATATAATTCATGTTCAAAATTAAAGGAAAAATAGTAAAAAAAATAAATTTGACACCTATGTATTTTTTTTCCAACAATAGACATTAAAAAGGTATCCAGACACGGTCAACTTAAAGTGCACTTGGTCTTTTATATAATTTTTAGGCATTCAATGTTATGATGGAAATTTCCACCATTATGCAAAGAAAGGTTAATAGTAAATAAATAAACAAATAAATATAAAAAATTAAAACTATATTATTTCAGGGAATCCATATCTATTAGCATTTTCCGTGCGTCGAAATTGGAACAAATTGATTGCTCCGAACGAAAGAGGAACGGATCCGCGCATTGATAGGCTCAAACTGTTTAACGCACTAAGGTGAGTCGCAGCCACACTCATTCGAGATAAATATGTACATGTAAAGAACACAGACATGGCCGTGTGGTCCCGGCATAGAATGAGCTTCCTTTCCCGTGGGCGTCGTAAGAGTCGACCAAGGGAGACCGAGGGATGGGCAGCAGCGTCCCTCTTAAAACATCTCTAAAGCCTGACTGCGGTTGTCAATCCGCTTGTCAAGCGTGGCAACTACTGGCAAAACCCCCCAAGAGGGAGGCTTATGTTCAGCAGTGGACAGTTAAAAGCTGATAGTGTTTTTTTTTTTATACAACTTAGAATGGCAAACAAGCTGACGGCCCACCTGATAGAAAGTGGTAACCGTCGCCTATAGACATGAGCAGTACCATGGACATAACAGAGTATACTGTTTAGCCCATGATACCCCCCCATGCGTTGCCATTCCTGAGGACTCAGGTGTTATTCAGGACAGAGGTACCAAAGCACGAGTGACTTTATTGTAACATCTCTAATTTGTCTTGTCTATGCTTTGTTTCTAGGGCATTGACTATGGTCTGCGTATTCTTTTCACATGCGAGTCTAGCAATGTCACATTGTTACATAGCCAATCCGCTTTTTGTCGAAAAGGTAAGATAAATTCATGATATTCACCCCTAGAATAAGAAAATATAAGACTAAGGAATCAATAAAGATAAGAAATAGCAATAGAAATTTATTATTTGACAAAAAACACAAAGTTACAAACACAAGATACAGCGGGCTTCACACTAGGCGAGCCTGTATCGTGGGCACCCGACAAAGACTAACAAATCACAATGTGTTATAATAAAAAGTACATAGTGGGCGGATATTAATATAAAAGAAAAGGGATATAAAATTGGCATAGTGCATATTGCTGATAAGAGATAAAGATACATTTATTTAACCCTTCTTTGCATGATTTTTTTATTGGTGAAATAAATCAAGATGATATAATTCATGTTCAAAATTAAAGGAAAAATGGTTAAAAAAATAAATTTGATAGCTATGGTTTTTTTTTCTGCAATGGGCATTAAAAAGGTATCCGGACACGATCAACTTAAAGTGAAATTGTTCTTTTATATAATTTTTGGGCGTTCAATGTTAAGATGGAAATTTCCACCATTATGCAAAGAATGGTTAACAAAGTATGCTTGTATAAGCACAGAATTTATCCTAGATTCTGACACTAGAATGAGCCTGTCCTTTAGGAAACAGGATTCGTATCACCATATATATGCATACAGAGGTTAACAGAGGCCTTTTAGTATTACTATAATATATTTTATTTTATAAGTAATCTTGTATCTACTCATATATCTATGGTGTAACTCTCAATCAGTTGAGAATTATATTAGGACAGATTTTATCGAGGTTCTTTCAATTTTAAACTATTAATCTTTATTATTCTTAGCTATATTATGTTTGGAATGAAATTATCAACTAACCAATTGGAACTAATATACATAATAATTAATAAAAACTGATACATATGTTTTGAACACTTTTCATTAGAAGTTGAAGCGGCTTTTCTGTAACGTGTACGTGACGACCCTAGTGTTGCAGGCGTCCACAGGCTGTAGTGACCGTTTACCATCAGACGGGCTGTATGCTTTGTGTCACCTTTGTGGTATAAAAAACAGGCTATAAATGAATTAATAAAATAATGACAACGATGAAATGATGATGCGACGGTTATTACTGTCCATCAGGCAGGCCGTCAGCTTATTTGTCATTTCAAGTATCCTAAAAGTTTACAATATTTTTACAGTCGTACGAAGACCCCCTAAAGCAGATACTATTCAATGGAACATTAGTGACGCAATCCTTCTTCGTGATGTCCGCATTCCTACTGTCGTACAACCTTCAAATCTATAGCGAGAAACATACTATTACGTGGATGCATTTCCCGAAAGGAGTGTTACTAAGATATCTCAGGTAAGAAACCTGGTACATGGTTTTTGAAAAAAAAAAACAACAGCTGAGTGTCTTGACCGTTTTCATTAACTGAAATTACATTTTAAATGGACAGTAGATTCATAAAAAGTAACTATTCAAAAATGCTTAAAGTTAAACTTCTTTAAATGAATGAGTATACTTTATTTGCATTATACAATATAGGAAATAAGCAAGACAATTAACAACAACGATACAATTGTATAAGTACAGTACAGTGTTCTTTCCTTTTTATTCAAAAGTTTCGTCTTGTCGGTGCAACTAATTCATGCATTCTCTTCCAGCCAGCTCTATCCCAGGCCATATCTTTGACCTCCCTATACGACATGACATCTCTCTCTCTCTTCAGTCGTACACTCTTGACAGAGTGGTCGTGGTTTTTACAATGATAGTGGACATAACACCTAGTGTTTCCTTTATCTGTCCCATGTAGTTCTTTCTCGGTCTTCCCCACCCACTTTTGCTCTCTATTTTTCCTTCTAGTGTGCTCTAAATTTAAATTTATTTCAGTAAAAATATTTTTTTTTCTTTTCTATGCTCATAGGTATCATCTTTTTGTACAATTTTTATAAGAGATCAGAGATATACATAAAAATTAGGAGGACCTAATCCCATTTCTATTATAAATGCTAAGTGAATATCTATATATTCTAGTTACTTATGTATATATCGGTCCAATAACGAATATGTTAAAAGTCTGTTATCCAAAACATAATATTGGATAACAGATTATTAACTTTAGAAAATAGATATCCGACCGATATGGGCGATATTAAAATAGGTGATAACCTTTTTACCGCCTTTAATGTCCAGACGGGACCCAATTTATAGATATCGGATAGGTAATATTACTTATGCCTAGTAAGAATGTATCGATGGATGTTTGTTGCTTTATCACGCAAAAACTAAATCGAATTAAATGTAATTTGTTACACGGAATATATATGCTAACTTACTACATAGAATACTTACTGATTCACACATGTGAAGCCGCGGGATACAGCTAGTCCCAGTGCTGATGAATTTATTAGGATAGTCCAAGTATCACCCTTCATACTGGTACCTACTCGACCAACGTAATAACTCAGGCAGGGTAAGCAATCCATTTTCATCCATTAAAAAAAACATTTAAAGTAATATAATTTGTTATTATGAACAGACTGACTCCAATCTACGCCCTGATGCTGGGAACAGTTGCCACGTTTATGCGATACCTGGGCGAAGGCCCACTGTGGCAGCTGATGGTGACCAGCGAGTCAATGGCCTGCAGGAAGTACTGGTGGGCGCATATGTTCTACTTCAACAACTACGTGTACGATGACGCACTGTGCTCTCCACAGACCTGGTGAGTAACCGCCTTGATAACTTTAAAAAAAATTACAGCTAACTAAATTAGAAAAAAAAAATTTCCATACATTAGAAGAGGCAAAATGCTGGGCCATCTTATACGACATGACGATTTTTTAAAGAGCAAAGTAGAAAGGAAAATAGAGGGCAAAAGTGGAAGAGGAAGACCGAGGAATAACTACATGGGACAGATAAAGGAAACACTAGGTGTCATGTCGTATAGGGAGGTAAAGATATGGCCTGGCATAAAACTGGCTGGAAGAAGATGCATGAAATAGTTGCACCGACAAGAGGAAACTCTTAATATAATGAAATATTGGACTTCAGATAAAAATTAAGATTCACATCTGGCAACCCTGGAGGCATCAAGTTATTCAACATCCTGAGGATGAAAAGGAACAATGATACATTGTATTTTGACTCTGTTACTACAGGAAACAGTGATGTTTGATGTAATAATGATAGTAGCAGAGTTATAGACTAGAATAACTTTCTTTCATTTTTTTATGCAACTTAGAATGGCAAACAAGTTAACAGTCCACCTGATGGAAAGTGGTAACAGTCGCCTATAGACATGAGTACACAGTGACAGTACCATGGACATAAGAGATTACTGTTCCGTCCATGATATCTCCCATGCGTTGCATTTCCTGAGGACTCAGGTGTTATTCCTCTGTACCCTGTAAATTCACTGCTATACCCCCCCTTCAAACCGAAACACAGCCATGCAAACATAACTGCTTCACGGTAGAAACACGAATGAATCATTAAAAATATACTTTCCAATATAGTTATGATCTCACACAAAACAAAGCCTAAATAAATAAAAATTAAACTTGCCATCAGGTACCTGGCATCGGACACACAGATGTTCTGCGTGGGCCTGCTGTTCTGTGTGATGGCGAGGACTCCAAGGTCTAGGAAAATAGCACTATTCATGCTGATGGTGGCCTCATTCGCAGTAGTGGCCGCGCATACATATTATCAAGACTTGAACGCTGTGGTACTGCAAACACCCGAGTAAGACATACATATTAACTCTTTACATTAATTTTTGGCTTCTTTTAAGCAACTTATAATGGCAAACAAGCTGGTGGCCCGCCTGATGAAGTGGGGAACTTCGCCAATAATCATGAACAACACCTATGTATGTAACATCGCAGAATACAACGTGACGCCAATGCATGCGTTGCATTTAGCTAATATTTTAGAAACTCCTTTAGTTCTATTGACTATACATAATGTAGGTACTTAGATTATATAGATAGAGCATCGAGCCTCAAAAACGGGTCAACTTTTTGTCAGCTAATTGACAAATTAGCAGATCCGTTTTTTATCAGTGTTCTACATACTTATGTATAAAATGTATCAAATGTTTGCAAATTTCCATAAAAGTAATTTCCAGTTAAAAATTCATGAATATGGTTTCTCAGATCATAAAGGTATATTAATGACTATACCGACAGATAAAAATAAAATAAAAAAATGTTGGTACTTAGATAAAAGGATATTCAATGAAAAAAATATACAAAAATTTAAATTTGAACTAAGTAATGTTAAATGGAACAAAATAATCGATATAAATAAAAATATACATCAAAATTATAGTATATTTATAGAAACATTACAGGAAATATTAAATAAATGTATACCTAAAATTACAATAGCAATTAAAAATAAGAAAAATAAATCTTGGTTAACGAAAGGAATAAAAACATCATGTAAAAATAAACGTTTGTTAAAAAAATTTATTTGTAAAATTGATAGTCCTATTTTAAATCAAAATTACAAACAATATGAAAAAATTTTGAAAAAATCAGTTAAATTATCAAAAAAGTTTCAAAATATTCAAAGAATAAAGAAATCTGAAAATAAAATTAAAACAATGTGGTCTATAGTTAAGGAAAATACAAATAAAAGTATTCGAAATATTAAAAAAAATATAAAATTAAAAATTGAAAATAATATCACAGACAATCCCACAAAAATAGCAAACTCATTTAATCAGTTTTTTGCTTCTATTGGAAATGATAATGTAAACCAAAGTCAGCCATTACAATTAAATAAATGTATGAGTAGCACCATCGAAAACTCTATGTATCTCAAACCGGTGGACTTAAAAGAAATTCAAACTATTATAAAAAAACTAAAAAATAATCGTAGCTATGGCTACGATGAGTTTCCACCTGTCTTAATTAAAAAATGTGCTGAAGAATTGACGCCTATTTTAACCTTACTTATTAACCAGTCATTTACAGAAGGTATAGTCCCAGACCCTCTGAAAATCTCCCTAATCAAACCAATTTATAAAAAAGGTGAAAAATTAGATATAAATAATTATCGTCCCATTTCTTTGTTACCAACGTTTTCAAAAATATTTGAAACTGCAATGTGTGACCGTCTATATTCATTTTGCGAAAAATACAATATCTTCAGCGAGCATCAGTATGGTTTTAGGAAAAATCGGTCAACTTCATTAGCAGTCTTCAAGTATATTAACGAAATAATTAATATCATAAACAACAAAGAATATGCCGTAGGCATTTTGCTCGATATGAGTAAGGCTTATGACTGCGTCCAATACAAAACGTTATTGAAAAAATTATACAACATAGGAGTAAGAGGTCCCGCTTATAAATGGTTTACCTCTTATCTCACAAATCGATCCCAATATGTACAAATAGACCATGTAAATAATCAAACTGGAAAAATAAAAACAGTAAGATCTCAACATTCAAAATTAATAAATTCAATACCTCAAGGAAGCGTCCTCGGATGTATATTATTTTTAATATTCATAAATGATTTGCCTGAAGTGATGGACAGCCCCTGCACATTGTTTGCAGATGACGTTTCTGTTGTTGTTTTCTGTAAAAATAACCTAAACCTACAAAGTACACTGGATGGTAGGATGTTAAAAATAGTGAGCTGGTTACACTCACATAATTTAAAAGTAAATTTTAATAAAACTAAATTAATGGTTTTCAGTCCATTCCAAAAGAACCCGCTGCAAATTAACTACTCTTTCAATAATATTAAAATAGATTGCGTAGAGAAATATTCACTATTAGGTGTAAATGTAGATTCGAATATTAATTGGAAAGCGCATGTGCAGAGTGTGGCTACCAAGCTGTCTAGATTCACTTATGCACTACACCAACTAAAGATATCTTCTGATACCAAGACAGCCATGTGCGCCTATTATGCATATGCCCACTCTTTGCTCCAGTACGGCATATTGATGTGGGGTAATAGTACAAACGTGATTGATCTTTTTAAATTGCAAAAACGATGTCTCAGAATAATTGCTAACATAGATAACAGGGAAACTTGCAAACCATACTTTATTAAATATAAAATTTTAACTTTACCGTCAATGTACATATTAGAAGCGTGTCATTTTGTTAAATGTAATATGCACCTATTTCCACAATATACCCGCCCTCAGGCATTGCGACCGCAATGTAGATTAGCAAGACCATTCTCGAAGCTACAGTTATTCCATTCTGGCCCTTACGCAATGTCAATAAAAATTTACAATAAAATACCAATTAACTTAAAAGGTGAGGATGATTCTAAAAAGTTTAAAATAGCTCTAAAAAAATATTTAATCGCAAAGAGTTATTATGCGCTACAGGAATTTTTCAAGGAAAAAAGTTAGTTGTGTTTGTGCCTGTTTGTTTTAATTTAATGATGATTTTTTATTTTTTATACTAATCGACGATACATATATATAATGTAAAAATTTAATTATGTAGTTTATATAAGATTTATTAATGTGGTTGCTGTGCCCTTTCAGGGTTCATGTTTGATTCTATACTTTTAGTAAATTAAGACCAATTTTGTTACAACATGTAATGGCAATAAATAAATGAATAAATGAATAAATGAATAAATCTTTACGTGTTATTTAATAAATAAAATGAGTATTTACGCATTAAAAAGATGCAGAAATCATTTGACAATATAAATATAGAAGATATAAAGGAGTCACTCATAAATATTTATCATGCAAAATGTATAATAAGTTGACTCGCTTTTCTCGAAGTATTTGTATGGAGACATCCTATCTATATAATTGTTGAAGGTTTTCAAAATGGCCGCCGTCACAAGATGGCGGACTAGCTATTTCTTTTTCAACCCTATTAAAATTGTTAGTAAGGATTACTAATATTATAAATGTAAAAGTGGGCTTGTTTGTTTGTTTCTTACATTCCTTAACGGCTTAACTAGTCAGTATAAAATTTGGTTAACACATGCTATATGGGATAGAGAAAGATATAGGCTACTTTTTACCCCAGTCAGTAAACATATCTCGGTCACGCGGCCGAAATCGCGGGTAAAAGCTAGTAATCAATAGCTTTTACCCGCGTTTTTACGCTAAATTCAATATGGCCGCCGCTCAAAAAAGACGGATTGCATTATTAGAGCTTCTTTTTAAACACATTTATTATAGTAATGGCTTATATATATTCAAGCAAATAAAGTTATCATTCATTCATTTATATCTTCTACTTTTCCAGAGCATACCGTACTATGTACTCGCACGACGATACCTTCCGGTTAATATATACACGTGGTCACACCAACATGTCCACGTACACCCTCGGCCTGGCTGCAGGCTTCTTCACATACTACTTGCAAACCGAAAAGAAAAACATAAAAAGCTATAAGGTATATACTATGTATTATAAAGAGGACAGATTTGATTTTTAGTTTATAATATACAAATTTAAATAATACAATGACAAAAATGGAAGTTATTACATTATAACATATAGGTATAACAAACATTAAATACAATACAATATTAATGCACACGCCTATTATAGGTATTCACAGCATTCACTTTAACATAGTTGTACAGTGCGAGAAACTGAAGTAACAATTATAATGAATTAAATAACACTAGACTACAAATATTTTAAATGTTGCGTTATTAGTTATAGAAATAAACATGTAACCTGAGTTGTGAGCCTAACCTAACATGATATTAAGTTATTAAAAAATCCTCCCCAGAGTTTCCGCTGGTACATCTGGATGACTTTCCCACTGTGCGTGATGGTGATACTGTCCGGGGCGATCTTTTACGTGGACGGCAGCCAGCCGTCGACCGCTGTTCGAGTGCTGTACGCCACCTTCTACAAGTTCATCTTCCAAATATTCATGGCTTCCTTCATTATTGGCTGCATACTTAAAGTTGAATGTAAATGTCGAATCTAATATTATAAAACAAAAGTTTGTTTTTTTTAATCGCGCTATTCTTATAAAAGATGTGTGTGTGTGTGTGTGTGTGTGTGTGTGTGTGTGTGTGTGTGTTTGTATACATTAGTATCTAAATAATAGTGCGCGACCTACCCTTTGTCTTTTTCTCTATGTCTTCTATCCGAAGGTTATTGCATTTTTTACTGTAATAAATTTTGTATGGGCAGGCAAAATGTATAAAATTATATTTATTTAATTAGACAACATAAGGCCCATTTTGTTAGTTATAAATTGACTTAACCTATGTTAGTAAATGAGCGGTCATGACGCTCTTGCATTGACAACCTGTCCCACCCAATATTTTAGGATGGGACATGGGGATAGTCCATTTTATCAGCAATTGTCTTCAGGACACTTTTCAAGCTAACACGCACCCTACCCAACAGCGAAACAATTCGTTTGCGCCGTATTGCGTAAAAATCATCCGTACGCTCTCGTGCAAACATGTGTGACGCACTACAGTGACTAGGTAGCCCGTATATGAAAAAAAAATCTGTAAAATAAATAATAAATAATCGTATCAAGCCATGGCTACTGCTAAACATTTTTGCCATGCTTGACAGACGAATTGGCAACTAGAATAATAAGGCTTTGGTGATGTCTTAAGAGGGACGCTCTTTGCCCATCCCTCGACCAGATAATAAATATTTTTTATGAAAAAACATACCAATCATAGCCATTTATTTCCACCAGCTGTGTACCGCGGCATCGTGGAGTGGCGCGGCTTCACATGGTGCGGCAGGGTATCCTATATTTCTTTCTTCGTTCACACGTTATTCCAGAGAGCGTACCTTGGATTCCAGACCACGCCTTATTACATGTCCGGATTCAACATCGTGAGTATACATATACCAAAATTGGATTCCACAAAAAGAGACGATTTCAATTCTAGCAATTCCATTTATTTTGACTTAAAAACTAAACTACTGTACCAATTTTGATAAAACTTCTATGAGATCAATCTATAAGTATATTCGTTCAGTATCAAAAGTATTTTCCAAATCAGTTTACAACTGACAGAGTTATGCTGCGCAGGGTTACCATACCATTTTCACCCAGCAAAAAAAAAAAAACCCGCCCACGCTAACGGGATACGCTGGCGGAGCACCATTTTTTTTTTTATGGGTGAAAATGGTATGGTAACCCCGCCTGCGCTAACGGGATACGCTGGCGGAGCACCATTTTTTTTTTATGGGTGAAAATGGTATGGTAACCCCGCCTGCGCTAACGGGATACGCTGGCGGAGCACCGGTGAAGGGTGATCGATGAAAATGAAAACAGGCCAGTTAGCCCATCATGATGAATTCATTAGGAATTAACCATGATAGTTTCCAGGAGGAACCGCGAGGAGGTCGACCTGGTTGGGTATATTGCTAGCAATGGGATTCTCAATCTCCATTACTAACAATTCCTTTCCCCCCAAGGCGGAGCACCATTGAAGGGTGATAGATGAGAATGAAAACAGGCCAGTTAGCCCATCATGATGAATTCATCAGGAATTAACCATGATAGTTTCCAGGGGGAACCGCGAGGAGCTCGACCTGGTTGGGTATATTGCTAGCAATGAGATTCTCAGCTCCATTACTAACAATCCCTTCCCCCCCTTGCAGGCGGGTCAGCAAATTAAAGCATTACCAAATCAAACATGTGTTTTTATATAATTCAAACACATTACGAGTATTCTTTCATTAATGGGTTTTAGTGAATTAATCACGATGGGCCAACTTGACTTTACTTCAACCAAGTGGGGTTCGTCATCTCTCACTGGTACCCTGTCAGCATATACCAACAGAGCAGATGAGCCTGCCATTCAGTTTTCATCTCCTAAAGATTAATCAAAAACTCAGACATCAGAAACATTTTATTCATTTTTTTATAAGTTTTTGTTTCTAATTCCAGGCCACTTTATTGTTCGCGACAGTATTTGTTTCGTTTGTGACCGCTGCATTACTTTGGATCACGGTGGAGGCGCCACTGAATGCTGTCACGAAGGCCCTACTAGAACCGCAACGTCCACGGCCTCGGTCATCACCCGCCCAGACATCACTGACCTTGTCATCACCGCCATCGTCATCACCAGTACTAACACCACCGTCTCAAGAACAGAACGGTCAAGCTTAAAATACTGGAAAATAGAGTTTTATTTATACAAAAAACATGTTTCATTTCTGTCTATACGCTCTTTTTAAACAATCCCATGCTGTAATCTCTATAGAAACGCTTCTGATGTGGCCTCTATGACCAGTTTTCTCACTGGCCACTAAGACATTCTACAGACAAAACTGACGGCCCTTAAACAAAACAAATGACTAGGTTATTAACCTATACATGCAGAGTAATTTAAAATAGAGACTATTTTACCAGAGGGAGACTTTGTACAAAAGTCGATTGCTTGAGTACCTCTGTCCCATTCGTGTTGCTACCGTGAAACAGTTGTTTTTGCATGGCTGTGTTTCGGTTTGAAGGGTGGGATATGGCGCGAATTTACAGGGTACAGAGGAATAACACCTGAGTCCTCAGGAATGACAACGCATGGGGGGTATCATGGGCGAAACAGACAGAGATACAACAAGCAAACGACTTTTGTGCAGTCTCTCTCTGTTATAATATATTCTTAGTAGACATCATATCAAGTTCAAATCATCTTTATTTAAATAGACTTGTTTACAACTTTGAAATTGTAATTTTTTTATGTCTCTACTGCAAATCTAAAGTAAGACATACTATGAATCATCAAGTTCTGTCTACCACGTTTTTGCAAATATAGACGTATGAGTTGTTTAATGTCTTTATCGTTCAACATTAACTTATGCCTACTAAATCGTATCATATAAAATAGTGCTTTATTAGTTGAGCCGTGTCATAAGTGAAAATGACCCGCGGTGGTCAAACGCGTTTTAATTTAATATAAAAGAAAACTGACCTTCTAAGAAATACGCGTGGAAACATTTACACTTTTCATTTAAATAATATAATAATTTAATTAGAATTCTAATTATTATTTTATAATAATGAGCAGTAAGATATGGATTTAATTAAATAATTTAATTAAATGTGCTTCAGTATTATTTTATTTGTAATTTTAAATATAACAACACAAAATGGGCGTACTTGTACTATTGTTTTTATGTGTTTTCCATGGGACTTCCGGTGTTATTTACAGGCTAAATGGTAAGTACCTATATAAAAAATACTTTATAATTATTAATCTAAAGAGGTGAATTTTTCTGTGCATATAGAATAAACACAAATAAAAATATATTAATTGGTTTTAAAAATTGTTCCACCTTCAGATAATTACATTGGGGTCAATTTAGAAATGTCGTTTTTTTCAAAATCAATCTCTGAACTTCAAATTTGATATCACAGCACAATTTTTAGATACTCTTTATTGTTTCCTCCAAAAGATTACAATAGTAAACTTATTATAAATATAAAGAATTAAAAGAAATAATCACAATGAGAAAACAATGGGCGAACTTATCGCTAAAAGCGTTTTCCTGTACGGGGTCGTCACTCAAGAATCTTTCTTTCCCATCGGTTATCGAACTTTTGAATGAAGTGTCGTAAGAAGCTAAAAATAGTACCTTAATATCCCTTCTAAAACATCACCAAAGCCTAACTGCAGTTGCCAACCCGCCTGCCAAGCGTAACAACTACTGGCAAACCACTCCTTCCCCCAAGGGGGAGGCTTATGTTCAGCAGTGGACAGTTAAACGCTGATATGATGATGATGATGATGATGTCACACAGAAAATTAGTTCATTGTTTCGGAAAACTAATTATTTTAGTACATGAGAAGAATAAAACAAGCCAACATAACGAAGTCAAGCAGTGATAATGACTTGATCACCTATTAGTTTGGTGAACCTAATTCACCATTATTCATGATACCTGATTTTGCTTCTGCAGACATTTATTATGCATGTCGAACTGTTTTTTGTACCACAAAGATAGCAAATCAGCATACAGCCCGTCCGATGGTAACGAGCTAATATAAAAAACCACAACTTTGTCGCAATACTACACTTCCAAGGCTCCTAACTTCATATTTCGTTTAGACGCCGACATGCTATCATTTTATGTAACTGTGTATGTTTATTGTGAAACCTTCACCTAAACTCGACGGTCAATGTCTGAACAAAGCACGTAAACAAGTTGTCTATTACCACCATAGCATGATATAGATAGATATGTAAATAGATAGATAATTTATTTACATTACTTACAGCACATAAACAATAGACATAAATGCATAGTGAAAAAAGATAAAAAAAAAAGATATATGTACAAAAAATAGAAAAAAAATGCATAAAATTTGTAAAAAAAAAATTCCCTTCATGCGTGTGCCACTGTAACACAAAATGGTCACAACTCAGTTTACTGCTTTGCCCTAAAAAGAGTAAAACACTGATATTCTGTTGTGGCCAAAAGTGTGCCGCGAAATTCTATTGAAAAAAAGTTAAAAATAAAGAAATATAGATAAAATATTTTTTTTTTTTAATGAATGATAATGGAAGGGTAACCCTACCCGCGCTATCGGTACACACATATATCGGGGCACCAGTGAGGGATGATAGGTGAGGATGAAGCAGGTCAGTTAGCCCATCGTGACGAATTCAACATAAATTGTTCACGATGGTTTCCAGGGGGAACCACGTGGAGGTCGACCTAATAAGGTGCATTGCTAGCAATGGGGCTGTCAAACTCCATTGCTAACAATCCCTTTCCCCCCATATGATAAAATACATTGTGTGTTCATTATATTCGCTATTATTTAATTCTGATATACGTATATAGCAACAATAAATGGCCATAAAGAGAGTTAACAACCTCTTTTATAAAAATAGACAGAAATTGCCCATTCTTCAGCTCCCCTTACTAGAAGGAGACTTTATGCAAAAGTCGTTTGCTTAGGTACCTCTGTCCCATTCATGTTACAACCGTAAAGCAGTTGTGTTTGCGTAGCTGTGTTTCGGTTTGAAGGGTGGGATATAGCAGTGAATTTACTGGGTACAGAGAAATAACACCTGAGTCCTCAGAAATGGCAAAACATTATACTCTGTTATGTCCATGGTACTGGTCATGTCTATAGGCGAGGGTTACCACTTTCCATCAGGTGGGCCGTCAGCTTGTTTGCCATTCTAAGTTGTATAAAAAATTCTTGGTATAAAAAAATATGTATGTTACAGAGGAAGAATACAAACGTATGCCTCCAATTTTCCGCATGGATCCATACAACTCATGTCTTCAACATCCAAGTGGATTGTACTGCTCAGTGGACATGACGCTGGTATCTGACGAGCCCAGCGAATTGCTGACTATGATTCAGGTATTTTTTATATTAGAAGAAAGGTTTTTTTTAATGGAATGGCAACGGTAATGGTAATGGGCCAATTAGACCCCATTACTAAGAATCCCTTTCCCCCAAAAATGAAAAGTTAAAATTAGTAGTGTAGTAAACCTCGTGGTTGCTCATGCTCTTTTGATAACTAGGTACATAATCATTATTTCGGGAGGAAAGAATTTGTTACCAATGGAGTTTGACAGCTCCATTGCTATATGCAATATGCCCTATTAGGTCGACCTCCACGTGGTTCCCCCTGGAAACCATAGTGGTTAATTCTAGTGGAATTCGTCACGATAGGCTAACTGACCTGCTTCATCCTCGTCTGTCATCATTCACTGGTGCCCCGCCGGTGTATACCGACAGCGCGGGTGGGGTTTTTTTTTAATGGATGATAATGGAGTGGTGGTGGTATATATATATATATATATATATATATATATATATATATATATATATATATATATATATATATGTATGTGTGTGTGTATGTTTGTATTTTTTAATGTATCATTTATTCCAATATTTATATGGAAGGATTTATGTATTTTGTGTAATTAATATGTAGTTTGAATTATTCTTTGTATATACTTATTTTATAAATACTCGTATGTTATTTTTAAATATCAATTAATTTGACATAAAAATGTTTGCTGGAAAAAATCTCTTATTAAAGATAAGCTCACCTTTGTATTTTTTTATGCAACTTAGAATGGCAACAAACAGGGCCCACCTGCTGGAAATCGGTAACCGTCTCTTATAGACATGAGCAGTACCATGGACATAACAAAGTACGAGTATACTGTTTCGCCCATGATAACCCCCATGCGTTGCCATTTCTGAGGACTCATGTGTTATCCTCTATACCCTGTAAATTCACTGCCATATCCCACTCTTCAAACCGAAACATAACGATAGAAACCCAAATAGGACAGAAGTGCCAAAGCAAACGACTTTTGTACAAAGTCTCCCTCTGGTGATTACATTACATTTAAAATTAATTGTTCCTGTCATTATGTTTATGTATAGTAAACAATAAAAAGTAATATTTTATTATTCTTTTCAGGAATATTCAGCGCATACTGCAAAGCACTTCAACCACACCAGACTCCGCTATTACGTCTGTGTAACAGACACCTGCAACACATTTTATTCTGACGACGCAGACCTCACTGCAAGTGTCGAGAGATGCTTCAACGATACTCTGTGGTCGGAGTACAGATTAAAAAGCAAAATATCCGACTCCGACGTTATTCTATGCGACAGACAAGGAGAGAGCGTGGTGATCAGCAATGGAGAGTTACTTGTAGCATTTGTTATTACATCGTTAATCGTACTCAATGCTACTGGAACCCTGTATGGTGCTCTATATGTTTCTAAAAAGATTCCAGGTACTGTTGGATTCTACATTTTTATTTTACTTATTTATTTATTTAATTTAATAATAATTTCATATTTTATATATATATATATATATATACCTGGATATATAGATACCTCATCAAGTGGGCCGTCTGCTTGTTTACCATTCTAATTTGCATAAAAAAAAATACAATAACTTATTTGAAATTAAATATTACTCTACTACTTTGACCTCGTAAGGGTTTCTGTTTCTTGCAGTCGATTATTTAATCAAATAATCTAATGTTAATTAGGAGAATGGAGGTCAAGATTAGACAAGTAAAAATGAAAACTCTCAGAACCGGTCGAAACACTTTCCAACGTAACGCAGCGATCTTGTGGCACAGATTACATTACATATATGTTATACCATAGATAAAATTATAATATACACTTTTTTTTTAAGCGTCGCTTATTTTTATTTATTTGTTACCTTTTTGTTTGTACCCTTAACAGTAAGGAGGAAAAGGGATTGTTAGTAGTGGAGACTGAGAATACCATTGCTAGCAATATACCCAAACCAGGTCGACCTCCTCGCTGTTCCCCCTGGAAACTATCATGGTTAATTCCTGATGAATTCATCATGATGGGCTGACTGGCCTGTTTTCATTCTCATCTATCACCCTTCACTGGTGCCCCGCCAGCGTATCACGTTAGCGCAGGCGGGGTTACCGTACCATTTTCACCCATCAAAAACCCTTATCAATAATTAGAACAATTAATTTAACAACAATTTATAGCGACTTAACGGCTTAACGAGTCATTATGAAATTTGGTATACACTACATCGTCACAGTCGTAGAATACTGACGGATCTATATATGTAATCTTTGTCAGTACCGTCAGTATTCTACGACTATGACGATATGGGATGGGGAACAGGAACAGAGTTACTTCTTATTCCGGTCAGTGAGCATATCCCGGTCACGCAGACGAAGCCGCGGGTAAAAAACTAGTATGCAATAAAAATTCATACCCTGTTTACGCTATTTACTTATCATCATGATGATTATTTAGCATAACTGTTACTATATCTTACCAACACTTAGCATCAATTTGCCTCTTATGTAAAAATTGCTATGAATTTATAAGTCGTTTGCTTGGGTACCTCTGTCCCATTCGTGTTTCAACTGTAAAGCAGTTGTGTTTGCAGGGCTGTGTTTCGGTTTGAAGGATAGGATATGGCGTGAATTTACTCGGTACAGAGAAATAACACCTAAGTCCTCAGGAATGGCAACGCATGGGGGTATCATGGGCGAAACAGTGTACCTTGTTATGTTCATGGTACTGCTCATGTCTATAGGCGACGGTTACCACTTTCCATCAGGTGGACCGTCAGCTTGTTTGCCATTCTAAGTTGTATAAAAAAAAAATATTTCAATGTTCACAGAGAACAAATTTCTTCTATCCTTCTCCGTGCCTGACAACTGGAAACAACTAGTGACTCCAACTTCTTACAAGAACCAGTTCGCGGCTAGATTGAGAGGCTTAAACGGTTGGAGGTAATTATTGAAATAATATAAATAATAATAAATAATAAGTAGCACATAAACACACCAATCGCCTGCTCCTCAAATAAATCTAATATATTTTCGTGTCACGGTGTTTGTTACCAAACTCCTCCGAAACGGCTTTACGGATTTTTATGAAATTTTGTGTGCATATCTGGTAGGTCTAAGAATCAGCCGACATCTATTTTTCATACCCCTCAACGATAAGGGTGACCCACCCCTAAATTTTTTTTTATTTGTTTGACAATTTATTTTATTATGATTTAGCATTGAAAAATTACATACAAATTAAAATTTTCACGCTTTTACGATCAACCCCTGTCGTTTAATCGCAATTTTTATATGCCGCAATATGGTTGCAAGATGACAATCGAATATAATAATTGTAGTACGATATATTTTCATGTATAGTTCTAGAAATAATGTACGTATATGGTAAAACAACGTTTGCCGAGTCAGCTATTAAATAAATAAAAATATTTTTAATTCAAGTAAACTGAATTACAAGTATTTTTTAATATTAATTTTTTTATTAATCTACCGCACAGTTCGGAATGCAATTTCCACTGAAAAGATCGGGCATAACGAGCTATTTTTCAAATAAAAGTTAAGTTTACAATAAAAGTAATAAAAATAATAAAAAAAATGACTATCACAAATATCATAACGTGATAATTGTGATAGTTTCCCCTAGAAGCCATCATGATTAATTCTAACGTAATTCCTCACAATGAGCTATTAATCTGCTCTCATCACCACATATCACTGGTGCCCCGCTAATGTATACCAATAGCACAGGTGAGGTTACTCTCATTACAAGAGATTCTTAACCGGTTATCTACAGTCAAGCATTGTCCAACTGATGTATCACAAGTTAACCGGAGTACTTTACCAGAGGGAGACTTTGTACAAAAGTCGATTGCTTGGGTACCTCTGTCCCATTCGTGTTTCTACCGTGAAGCAGTTGTGTTTGCATGGCTGTGTTTCGGTTTGAAGGGTGGGATATGTCGTGAATTTACTGGGTACAGAGGAATAACACCTGAGTCCTCAGGAATGGCAACGCATGGGGGGTATCATGGGCGAAACAGTATACTCTGTTATGTCCATGGTACTGCTCATGTCTATAGGCGACGGTTACCACTTTCCATCAGGTGGGCCGTCAGCTTGTTTGCCATTCTAAGTGGTATAAAAAAAAAAAAAAAAAAAAAAAAAAACAGTATACTCTGTTCTGTCCATGGTACTGCTCATGTCTATAGGCGACGGTTACCACTTTCCATCAGATGGGCCGTCAGCTTGTTTGCTATTCTAAGTTGTATAAAAAAAAAAGTTAAAATATTCAAATATCGATTCCGGTCAAGACCAGAACGTTCTATGTCAAAACGACCAACTGTCCACTGATTGTAAACGTCGTTAACAAATATAATCACCGCACACTTTGTCTGCAGATCAATATTCATGATGTTCGTGATCATGGCACATGTGATCCTGCCAACGGTTGTATCCCTCGAAAACGTCCACCACTATGAACAGGTAAGACACTTTTTAAATTGCTGTCATTATTTTTGTTTAACTAGCTTTTACCTGCGGCATGGTACGCAATAGGGATGAATTATTATATAACAATATGTATATATTTTAGTTACAACATCAATATACTGGCCTAATCTATCTATACTTATAATAAATCTGTAGAGAGGTCAATTCTGTACATGGAATATATTTCCAAAATACCTATCAGGCGGTGATTAGTGATCGATACTGATGCCAAAAATGCAATCAGTAAAATTTTTGTCTGACTGTCTATATGTTTGTAATAGAAACAAAAACTACTCGACGGATTTTAACAAAACTTGGTACAATTATTCTTCATACTCCTGGCCAGGTTATAGTATAATTTTCATCACGCTACGATCAATAGGAGAAGAGCAGTGAAAGGAAATGTTGAGAAAACGGGAAAAGTTACTCCATTTTTAAGCTTTCGTCGCGTGTGCAGCCTTAATGGCTGCTTTTTAAAAGGTAAAAACGTCCACCCGTGCGAAGCCGGGACAAGCCGCTAGTAACAAATATGTTAAAAATTTTCATAGAAACTCAGCTTCCTCCATGTCCACACATCATTGTTCCAACTAAACTTTTCACAATAGATGTACGACAACCTTGGCTACCACATATTCTTCAACGGCGGCCTGATCATCCAGATCTTCTTCGCCATATCCGGCCTCCTGCTCGTGTACAACTTGCTCAGCTACTCCGAACACAACGAGCTCACCTGGATGTGCTTACCAAGAGGCGTGATACTGAGGTGGCTGCGGTAAGAATTTAAGTATATACTCTTTTAATATTTTTTCTTGATTTTATATCTCACCTTTATCAGAGCAAGATAGTCTATATGGACGCCTACTGCTGTCTTATTCATGTTTCTGGCATCAAGCATTTTCATTACGACATAGAGTCATACGTTAGTGAAATTACAGTGTCTGTACCCTGCCATCATGAACAAGATGCCTTATATCTCAGAAATGACTGCATGAGAGCATCCATAGACACCACAATATACTCTGTTATGTCCATGGTGCTATTCATGAATGTAGGTAACAGTTACCACTTTTCATTGATTATACCCTTGACAAAAATCTTAACTATAACTGATTTGCAGTAATCCAATGTAATCCTAACAGCAATGGGAATATGTAATAGAATTAACCTGAGAGAGTAGGGGGAGAAGGGATTGTTAGTAATGGAGACAGAGAATCCCATTGCTAGCAATATACACAATCAGGTCGACCTCCTCACTGTTCCCCCTGGAAACTATCATGGTTAATTCCTGATGCCTGTTTTCATTCTCATCTATCACCCTTCACTGATGCTCCGCCAGCGTATCCCGTTAGTGCAGGCGGGGTTACCATACCATTTCACCCATCAAAAAAAAACCTGAGAGAGTTCAGAGTTCTTCCATTGTGACTGCTTAATGACTTTTTTAATGGATGATAATAGAATGGCAGCCTCACCTGTGCTAATGGTATACGCTGGCGAGGCACCAGTGATAGATGAGAATGGAAAAGCAGGTCAGTTAGCCCATCATGATGAATACACCTGGAACTCAGCACGATAGTTTCTAGAGGACACCTCGTGTAGGTGGACCTGACAGAATATATTGCTGGCAATGGAACTAGTACTAAGTCCGCATTACTAACAATCGATTTACCCCCATTCAATGTTGTTATGAGCCAGTATTCACAACTAGACGTGTTTGCCTCCAACATGCTGGAGTTTCGTCAGATGCCAATGGAATATTCAAGGTCAACTGGTTAAAGTATGGTTTTATTTCATTATATATATATATATATATATATATATATATATATATATATATATATATATATATATATATATATATATATATATATATCTTGCATTGAAACTGCTCAATGATATTTTAAGCCAGTATCCGCAATTGGATGTATTTGCCTCCAACTTGCTGGAGTTTCGTCGAGTGACCACAGAATATATGTGTTCAGACGTTTTTTGTTTCAATTGAGTATTTTTGTTTATTTTTTTTTGTGTATTATTTTTTGTTTAATATTTTTATGTAATATTCCTTTACTGTAAGGCTCACCGAGTAGATGTAATAAATAAATAAATTATTACATATATCACTTTGTACTGCTTCATATTCGTTTATCAAATATTTTTTATATTTTTTTATCTTTCTTACAATGTTTATTCTAGTACTAATACTTTCCTAGGTAAGCATATTCGGAAACTGTAAAGATTGCCTTTTTTATGCAACTTAGAATGGCAAACAAGCTGACGGTCCACCTGATGGAAAGTGGTAACCGTTGCCTATAGACATGAGCAGTACCATGGACATGACAGAGTATACTGTTTCGCCCATGATACTCCCCATGCGTTGCCATTCCTGAGGACTTAGGTGTTTTTTTTGATGGGTGAAAATGGTGTGGTAACCCCGCTTGCGCTAACGAGATACGCTGATGGAGCACCAGTGAACGGTGATAGATGAGAATGAAAACAGGTTAGTTAGCCCATCATGATGAATTCAACAGGAATTAACCAAGATAGTTTCCAGGGGGAACCGCGAGGAGGTCGACCTGGTTGGGTATATTGCTAGTAATGGATTTCTCAGTCTCCATTACTAACAATCCCTTTCCCCCGGACTCAGGTGTTATTCCTCTGTACCTTGTAAATTCGCCTAGTTGATTAAATAAAGTCTTTTGTTTTATACAGGATTACACCACCATACGCAATCGTTTTAGCTTTTACGGCGACCTGGCTGAGGTACGTGGGCTCTGGACCACTATGGAAGGTAAGCAATGAATGAAGGTGCTCTAAATATTATTTTAAATGTTTACACATATGTACTCTTGTATAAAGAAATTCTGGATATAGGCAGTATTGTTAATGATGTGCGTTTGCGTTTTGATGATGAACGGATGATATGATGATGATGATGATGAATAAATACACCTAGTATTTGAAGCGATTTAACTAGGTTAAATAAAAATAGATAATAATTTGAAGCGTTGATGTAATATAAATTTGATGTAATGCGTTGAAGTTTTGTTTTGCGAGTAAGTTACAATTTTGAAAACCTGAAAGGTCATATAAATTTCTCCTGCGTTATGATTGGCGTTATCGCGACGTCGTGATGAGCGACTCTTGTGACTGGTTGATGTTGTGTGTGATTATCTATTAATAACTTAGCAGTCGTCCATTGGTTTTACCGCTGAAACCGCTTCATTATACGCAGGAGTGAATAATATTCATGGCATATTGTTAATGCTTTAACAGTATAATAAAAACGATTAAATTTCCATAAAATAAAGATCTGGTAATTAAACTACTAACTAAAGGATTTCTTCCATTATCTCTTCAGCGTGGTACATTTGGGGTGTTTCTTCTTATTTTCCAGAAAGTAGTTGAAACAGAAGTGAATGCCTGCCAGCAAGATTGGTGGTACCACATCCTGATGATCAACAATTACATCGACCACTCCGAGTGTATGCCGCAAACATGGTATGGAACGACTCCGCAGTAGCTTCTTTCCTAAGCATCTACGTTACTAAAACTCTAGAACTTTGATAAGAGGCGATTAAGGGAAATTTAAGGTCTCTCGTCTTAAAACTTAACTAAAGACTAACTGAGATTGCCATCCCGCCTGCCAAGCATGACAATTATTAACAAAACCCTCTTATGGTTAACAGCTGATGTAATAATGAAGAAAACTCTAGAAAATGATTACCAATAAAACTATATTAAACCAAAAGCTAAACTTTTTATAACTTTCTTGACGTCACGCATGGCTATCACAGGATATCAGCGCTGTAGCAATTAAATTGCTGCAGCACATGCTGAGTGGCGGCCACGTTGCAATAACAAATTTAAAGTTATTTTTTCTATTGATAATTGTAGTAACTCTTTTTGTTGTTGGCAATGAATGTTTTCTTTCTTTCTTTCTTTCTTTATACTGTAGTAAAACACTGATTATATTCCTAGTTAAAAGTGATCACAACTAACGTCTTCAGAGACGAGAGAGAGAGGGAGACTTTGTAAAAAAAGTCGATTGCTTGGGCACCTCTGTCCCATTCGTGTTTCAACCGTGAAGCAGTTGTGTTTGCATGGCTGTGTTTCGGTTTGAAGGGTGGGATATGGCGTGAATTTACTGGGTACAGAGGAATAACACCTGAGTCCTCAGGAATAGCAACGCATGGAGGGTATCATAGGCGAAACAGTATACTCTGTTATATCCATGGTACTGCTCATGTCTATAGACGACGGTTACCACTTTCCATCAGGTGGGCCGTCAGCTTGTTTGCCATTCTAAGTTGCATAAAAAAAAGACATAAACAAAGACCAAAAATCTACTAATTCCCGTTGTCCATAGCAGGTCCGCGCCTCCATTACATCTTCCGACTCTTCACCACCTAAAACACCAACTTTGTAAACAATACCGATTGCTTATCATTATTTAATTTGCTCTGCAGGTATTTAGCGGCTGATATGCAGCTACACATCCTAGGAATGATAGTCTTCATTATGATCAAAAGCGATAGAAATAAGAAGTTGGCAATGTACATGATGCTCTTTATGGGACTTATGCTTCCGCCTCTCCACACTTACTTACAAGACTTGAACGGAACCCTCCTAGTGTCCCCCGAGTGAGTAAGACTAAATATTTCACGCAAATTTTTTATAGGAACTAATTATTTTCATCGGGTGGAAAGGGATTGTCAGTAATAGATTAGCTAGCAGTCCGATTGCTAGCAATACACCCTATCAGGTCGCCCTCCAAGCGGTTCCCCCAGGAAACTATCGTGGTTAATTCTGCTGGAATTCTTTACAATGGGCTAACTGACCTGCTTTCATCGTCATCTATTGTAGCTCACCAGCGTATACCGATAGCGCAGGCTGGATTACCATTCCATTATCACCCATGAAAAAAAATATTATCCTTTGCAGGGTGCTAACGACTGTCTTCAAATCGGACCCAACTTTCAACAACGTGTATAAACGAGGGCACACGAATATGGCAAGCTTCGCGATGGGCATGTTGACAGGGTATTACATATACTATTGGCAGAGGCATGGATTTGACATAAACAAATACAAGGTAACCTAATTTTATAAAAAAATATTTGTTTGATATAGGGTAAACTTCCCTAAGTTCAGCCTCTTACAGCATTTACTATATTTAAGTTCGTTTATAAATTAAATAAAGTAAATTAATTTATTAATTGTTTATTTATTATTAATGTTAATTGTAATAATTCCTCTTGTTTTCAAATTATAATATTATGAATTCCCAAAACAATAGCAATTTAGAAGTTTTTATTTTTATTTTTCTGAAACATCACCCATTGCCCCTAAGTACAGCCATTTTGCATCTAATGCTGTCTTTTTTTATACGTAAAGTCAGCCATCCATTCTATTCATGCAAAGTGAAAATACATCTCAACTTACTTGCTCTTTTTGTAGGGAAGAAAGAGAAAATGTAAAATATTAAATTTAGAGAACCCATTACTAGCAATATATTCTGTCAAGTGGACCTCCACGAGATCCTGCCAGAACCGTGTTGAAAACCTCATGAAAACCAAGTTGCCATAGAGAGACATTATAGACAAAAGTCGTTTATATTATAGATTACCTCTGTCCCACAAGCGTTTCTGTCCACAAGCAGCTGTGAATACATGTGTTCCAGTTTGAAGGGTGGAATATGGCAGTAAAATTACAGGATTCGAAGGTATCACAGCATAGTCCTCAAGAACGGCAATGCATGAGTGATATAACTCAATAAATAAAATTTTAAATTCCTTCCTCCCTTTCCAAAAGGTAACAAAATTTTTCGATGTTCCCTCCAACGAACGCTCAGATTATGAAGTGAGCTGCCTGTCGAGGTTTTTCCAAGAGACGACAGCATAAAATTCTTCAAAAAAGGGATAAAGAGTTATCTTCAAGGCCTGCAACGCGCGTAATGCCCCTGGTATTGTTGGCGTTCATAGGCCACGGCAACTGCTTACCATCAAATGAGCCGTATGCTTGTTTGCCACCTCAGTGATATAAAAAAATTGATATTCGTATTTTAGTTCAAGACGTCTGATCTTTAGCGCAGACTGAAATTAGGGGCATTCACCTTAATCTGTCTAAACAATTTCTTTTAATAAAGACAACGGAACAAAGTACATGTATTTCAAATAATATACATATTGTCGAAAAATATTTGACGTAAACTGGAAAAACTCTTAATTATCATCAAAAAACCGAAATATATACTTTCCAACCGATTTAAAAAAAAAAAACATTCATTATTATTCATTCAATGTAATGAGATATTAATTTAATGAATAACGCGCGGCCGCAACAATGCCCGGGGCGGTCGCGTGCCCGGTAGTCGAACATTCTCCTCCTTCTTCGCATTCCCTAACCGCTGTACTCTTCTGCCGCTATCTACAAGTCTCTTTCAATCATTTTTACACAATGTAATGCAACTACATAATTGATGTACCTTCATAGCCCTGCGTCATCTCTTATGACCGGCGATCAGTCGTCCCTAGAATTGAGGATCGGTAGACGGCAAAGATCGCCGGTTCAGAGACCGAATACATACTCATTTGTTGCAGTATCCGGCCGTTCATTTACCTTTCTTATGCTCCTCAAATATTGCGCCTAAATTAATAGTGAATACACCATGTTAATCTTCTATAGGTATTCCGTCACCCGTATCCTACAGCGAGGACAGGATGCCTTAAATACTGTATCGCAAACCATAAAAAACTGACTTTAACAGCCTTCCCGGCTTTTGTTCAACAGTGGAAAGTAAAAGGCTTGGGGTTTTTTTTATACCACTGAGGTGGCAAACAAGCATACGGCCCACCTGATGGTAAGCGGTTACCGTAGCCTATGAACGCCTGCAATACCAGAGGTATTACGCGCGCTTTGCCGACCCTGAAGAAACCTTTTTACCCCCTTTTGAAGAACCCCATGCTTGGGGAGTTCTGCCAATAGTTGCCACGCTTTACAGGCTAGTTGGCAACCACAATTAGGCTTTAGAGATGTTTTAAGAAGGACGCTGTTGCCCATCTCTCGCCCTCCCATAGTCGGCTCTTACGACACCCATGGGAAAAGAAGAGGTGGCCCATTCTATGCAGGGACCACACAGCACTCATTATTACTATTCTTTAATTCTTGATTCCAGAAATACCGCATTATTTATTGGATGTTAATACCTCTGGACATCGTCATCATCCTGCTGGCTACTCTGTTCTACCAGGACAGGCCAACGGCGTCAATCCTCGTGAGGACAGCATACGCTGCCGTGATGAAGCCGCTGTTTAGTATAGCCGTGGTTTTACTACTCATTGGAATGATATTCAAATTAGAGAGTAATTTCTTATTTACTTTTACTTTCTCTCTCTCTCTCCCTCTCTCTCTCTCTTTCTCTGTCAGAAGAATGGAGTATACAATACAAGACACTAATTCTCTATCACACTGTTGCCCATCTTCCCTCCCTTAGTTACGTCTTACAACACTCCCGGGAGGGGGGAAAGGGATTGTTAGCAATGGATTTTGACAGCCCCATTGCTAGCAATATGCCTTATTAGGTCGACCTCCACGTGGTTCCTCCTGGAAACCATCGTGAACAATTCTTGTTGAATTCGTCACGATGGGCTAACTGACCTATTTCATCCTCACCTATCATCCTTCACTGGTGCCCCGCCGGTGTATACCGATAGCACGGGTGGGGCTACCATTCCATTATCATCCATTAAAAAAAAACACTCCCGGGAAAGAAAGGGATAGCCTATTCTATGCCGGACCACACAGTGACTTTTTTGTAATTAAAGTGCACTCATTTTAATTTTAATTTTTATATTTAGCCATTGTTTAACAGTATTTTATTCAAAGTTATGTTCATTTGCGTTAAATCGATTTCGGTCGATCTCCACGTGGCCTCTCTCCTGGAAACTATCATGATGAATTCAAGGTGTATTCATCATGATGAACTAACTGACCTGCCTTTTCATTCTCACCTACCATCCCACACTGGTGTCCCGTCCGAGTATACCGTTAACGCAGGCGGGGCTACCATTCCATTATCATCCATTAAAAAATAAGTTTTTTCGGTGTGAAGTAACTATATATACATGAATAATAAATATAGTTACTCCTGATTATAGTTACACTGAACATGAATGTCATGTACATCACAGTTACCCCGTAACACCTCATGTCATTCCTGCATTGCCATTCCCGAGGACTAAGGTTTTTTTTTTTTTTATTAGTGAAAATGGTATGGTAACCCCGCTTGCGCTAACGGGATACGCTGACGGAGCACCAGTGAAGGGTGATAGATGAGAATGAAAATAGGCCAGTTAGCCCATCATGATGAATTCATCAGGAATTAACCATGATAGTTTCCAGGGGAAACCGCGAGTAGGTCGACTTAGTTAGGTATATTGCTAGCAGAGGGATTCTCAGTCTCCATCACTAACAATCCCTTTCCCCCCGGACTAAGGTATTATGCCTTCGTACCTTGTATTGTCACTATCGCTTCAAACCAAAACACAGCCATGCAAACATAACTTCTTGACGGCTACACAAATAGGCCAGAGTTATCCAAATAACCAACTTTTTTACAATCTCCTAAGTAATTTTTCAATTCGACTTTTTGCAGATATATACCGAGGTATGTTCGAATGGTCCGGCTGGAATCCGGTGGCGCGATTGTCGTACTGCGCCTACCTGATCCACATGCTACCCATCAGGTGGCTCGGGGGACTGAAGACCGAACTCACATACGTCAGCTTCTCACAAATGGTTGGTATCTTGAGCACACCAGAGGGACACTTTGTACAAAAGTCGATTGCTTGGGTACCTCTTGTCTCATTCGTGTTTCTACCGTGAAACAGTTGTGTTTTCATGGCTGTTTCGGTTTGAAGGGTAGGATTTGGAATTTGAAACCTTCACATTTTTTATATATATTTTAAATACACTATCGGTACCTGCATACCTACTTCTTTATTTCCGACGTTTCGACGTGAATTGAATTATGTCGTAAGCACGACGTGATGCAGTCCACGTCGAAATGTCGGCAATAAACACTCAGGTATGTAGGTGCTATTAAAACTATAATAATGTGTAATAATGTATGTAGTACACTCAGGTTTTAAAATGACCTCCCTGCCGAGGTTCTCCCAAGAGACTACAGCATAGGGTTCTTCAAAAGGAGGGTAAAGAGGTTTCTTCAGGGTCGTCAACGCGCGCGTAATACCTCTGGTATTACAGGCGTTCATAGGCTACGGTAACCGCTTACCATCAGGTGGGCCGTAAGCTTGTTTGCCACCTTAGTGTTATAAAAAAAAAATTTATTTAAAAAATACGCTTATTTTTATTTCCAGATAAACAATTCATTTATGATCCAGTGTATTACGTTAATCGCAGCAGTACCATTCTGGCTGTTGGTGGAACGACCGATAACACGTGTCATCAACCATTATACCTCTTCGAATAAGAACAAGGTTGCTGCAAAAGCGGCCTGAAAAAAAAAGAAATTTATAACAAAATTCATAAAAATTTATAATCGTGCAAGAGCGTCAAGCAGCGCAACTGAATCAAATAAATATCTTTCTATTCTAAATAAGCGTTATTTACCGATAATATTGAAATACCGATCTATCTATCTATCTATTCTATTAAAGAGCTGCGCTCTTGTCGGTGGAGCTCTTGCCACTCACTACGATTTCCAGCGAGCCCCTTCACCTCTTGATACGACACGACACCAACTCCTACCTTGATCTGCCTGATGTAACTATGCCTCGGTCTCTCTCTTCTCCTCGTTCCTTCTATCTTACCTTCTATTATAATGTTCATAAGTTCGTCGTGTCGTATTAAGTGTCCCAACGTTTTTTCCCTTCTGTCCTCAATACCGATATGAAGGATCAAATATAAAATTTTGGCAAAAGTAATTACTTTTTAAATTCAGGAATAATTGTAGTGTATTGTTGAGCTAACCTTATGTGTACAAGTGCAGTGATTTTTTTTTTACCTATAAATTTGAGTGTTTCTAACAATATGGATATTGAAACTGCTCATGTCTATAGGCGACGGTTACCACTGTCCATCAGGTGGGCCGTCAGCCCACACCAAAGGGAGACTTTGTACAAAAGTCGATTGCTTAGGTACCTCTGTCCCATTCGTGTTTCTACCATGAAGCAGTTGTGTTTGCAGTGCTGTTTCGGTTTGAAGGGTGGGATATGGCGTGAATTTACAGGGTACAGGGAATAACATCGGAGTCCTCAGGAATGGCAACGCATGGAGGGTATCATGGGCGAAGCAGTATAGTCTGTTATGTCCATGGTACTCTTGTCTATAGGCGACGGTTACCACTTTCCATCAGGTGGGCCGTCAGCTTGTTCGCCATTCTAAGTTGTATAAAAAAAAACTTGTTTGCCATTCTAAGTTGAAAAAAAAAAATATAGTGGTAATACCTCTTTAGATTTTATTAAGTCACTAATTAATAAGTAATTATTAATTATATAAATGAAACGTTGTGAGATTTCATTTAATTAATTTGTGATATTATTTATACGTACACAAAGCATATTTTTATACATAATATTATCATCACCACCATTTCAGTCATCATCTGTCCACTGCTGAACATAGGCCTCAATCATAGACTGTCATAAAGAACGATACTTTTTTTAAATGGATGATAATGGAATGGTAACCCCACCCGCACTATCGGTATACACCGGCGGGGCACCAGTGAAGGATGATAGGTGAGGATGAAGCAAGTCAATTAGCCTATCGTAACGAATTCAACAAGAAATATTCACGATGGTTTCCAGGGGGAACCACGTGGAGGTCGACCTAATAAGGTGCATTGCTAGCAATGGGGCTGTCAAACTCCATTGCTAATAATCCTTTTCCCCCCAAAGAACGGTACTTAGCCACCTGTATCCCTGCAATGCATTTAAGATCGTCACTCCATCTAGTGAGGAGTCGTCCTACACTGTGTTAGCCCGTACGGAGTCGTCACTCAAGAACATTTCTTCCCAATCGGTTATCAGTTCTTCGAACTATGTTGCCAGTCCGTTGCCACTTCAGCTTGCTTATACTTTGGGCTATATTTTTTTTTTAAAGTATACGATTAATTACCTATTATTTAATGCGTTTTTTTTACGAAAACTGTAATATTATATTAATTATATAATAATATTTAATTATCGTTATTTTTTTTTTTCATTTATAAGTATTATGTAGAACAACAGGTTTTAAGTAATAAAAATATTTATTGACATGTAAATCTTTATTTTTATTCCTATTATCAAGACATCGAACTTATTATATATTATTAAAGAAATATGATAATTATATTTCTTTTAAATTATTTATAATGAAAATAATATTTATTTGCCAAAACATTTTTACATCGATGACTAACTCTACGAATCACACACTAGGCATGCAAGCATGTATCGTGTAATTCAGAAATGTGATTTAGTCATAGTGGTATATTAAGTGCTCGGCTGACATATAAAGATATATGTTTACATGCAACTTTATATGTCAGCCATATCAAAAGTTATTTCTATATATATATATATATAATTCACCAGAGGTAGACTTTGTACAAAAGTTGCTTGGGCACCTCTATCTCATTCGTGTTTCTACCGTGAAGCAGTTGAAGGGTGGCATGGAGTGGCAACGCATGCGTTGCCATTGCGTTGCTAAGTTGCATAAAAAAGAAGCTTATATGTACTGTCATTTAGTTCAAAATTTGTAATCCATTTGAGTTCAGAATATTGAATTATTTCCAGTTGATTTCTAAGCTAAATATCTAAGCTATAATAATCATCTTACCCTTACACAATTATATAAATTTTAGTTTCGGTGTAAAATATTTTTATATCCTATCTGTCTATCCTATTTAAGAGCTGTGCTCTTGTCGGTGGAGCTCTTGCCACTCACTACGATTTTCAGCGAGTCTCTTCACCTCTTGATACGACACGACACGAACTCCTTCCTTGATCTGCCTGATGTAACTATGTCTCGGTCTCCCTCTCCCCCTCCTTCCTTCTATCTTACCTTCTATTGTAATGTTCATAAGTTCGTCGTGTCGTATCAAGTGTCCCAACATTTTTCTCCTTCTGTCCTCAATAGTTCTAATAATTTGTCTAGTTTAACGACCGGCCGCCTGTGCTGACGTAATTTCTCCTTGGGAATATTTTCTGAGATAAATAATATCTATTTAAAAAAAAAAACTTTGTCCCAGACCCAACATTCACATGTTAGTTTTGTTAACTGTAAAATGTAGATTCCTCACAACTGTACACGAATATTCATTTTTATTTTTTGTAAATTGCGTACAACCAAATACCAATGTTTACACACCATGTTGGTACATGTTAGGTACTGTGTTTTTCTTAGTTTGAAATAATAATAATATTCGTTTATTGAGTTTATAAATTACAAGTTATACTAGTTATAAAGATTAACAATATGTGCACAAACAAAATGAATAATATTAACAAAATTATACAAATGTGAGATAAATATGCAACGGTAGGCGGTCTTATCGCTAAACAGCAATTTCTTTCTTTTGAAATATATTCTTTGATTCTATTTTCAATATCACAAGTCACAAAACATTTTTTTTTATTATTATTTCAGCCATTAACTGTCCACTGCTGGACATAAGCCTTCCCCATAAGGGAAGTTTTGCCAATAGATGCCACGCTTAGCAGGCTGATTGGCAAACGCAGTTTTTAACAAATATATAAAAACATACAATGGAATTAAGAACCTCCTCATTTTGAAGTTGATTTTTTTAATGCATGATAATGGAATGGTAACCCCGCCTACACTATCGGTATACACTGACGGGGCACCAGTGGGAGAAGATAGGTAAAGATGAAAGCAGGTCAGTTAGTCCACTGTGATAAATCTAATAATAAATCAATCACGATGTTTTCCAGGGGGAACCACGAGGAGGTCGATCTGATATAGTATATTGCTAGCAATAGGGCTACTAATCCCCATTACTAATAATCCCTTCTCCCCCCTTTTGTGGTCGGTTTTTTTTAAGTGTGAAAATGGTATGGTAACCCCGCCTGCACTATCGGTATACACCGGCGGAGCACCAGTGAAGGGTGATAGATGAGAATGAAAACAGGCCAGTTAGCCCATCATGATGAATTCATCAGGAATTAACCATGATAGTTTCCAGGGGGGACCGCAAGGAAGCCGACCTAATTGGGTATATTGCTAGCAATGGGATTCTCAGTCTCCATTACTAACAATCCCTTTCCCCCCTTCTGTAGTCGGTTAAAAATTAATACTTAATGACGTTAATTGACAATGATATAGCCAATCATTACAATTAACACCCATACAAACAGAGCTGCGGGCTTAGGCGTCTACATTATTACTAAATATGAATACAATACAGAGTTATACATATTTTAATAAATATATTTTCGTATGTTTTTTTAAACATATTAGTTTGTGCGCGGCGTGTGACTGTGGTACCGTACTGTTGCAATCGATTCACAAAATGATTTGGCTTGCAATCATATTGGTGTTTTTAAATAAAACATGTTTTAGTTTTGAAATAACCGGTAGGTTTTGAAATAACTATTTGAACGTATCTTGTGAAATTTATTTATCTTTATTAATTTTAACCAGAGGGAGACTCTGTACAAATGTCGATTGCTTGGGCACCTCTGTCCCATTCGTGTTTCAACCGTGAAGCAGTTGTGTTCGCATGGCCGTGTTTCGTTTTGAAGGGTGGGATATGGCGTGAATTCACTGGGTACAGAGGAATAACACCTGAGTCCTCAGGAATGGCAACGCATGGGGGGTATCATGGGCGAAACAGTATACTCTGTTATGTCCATGGTACTGCTCATGTGTATAGGCGACGGTTACCACTTTCCATCAGGTGGGCCGTCAGCTTGTTTTCCATTCTAAGTTGTAGAAAAAAAATGGAGTGGAGATTTTTGCCCACCTATCAGGACTCATACAGCTATATGACCCGCCCAATTCTACTTAAGTTTGGCCCACTTTTTTTCTACGTCTCTAATGTCTCCTTTATTGTAATTTACCATCTTTATATCTGATCTTCAGACGAGGAATATGACAGAATGCCGCCTCTCTTCAGACTCGACGAGTACCAGAAGTGTATGGTACAGAATGGAGTGTACTGCCAAATAAAGATGGACCTGTTCGCGGAACCGGAAAATACGCTAATGAAATTTATCAAAGTATGTACTATATCCATAATTCTATATGGAACATTCATAATTTTTTTACATCATCATCAGCATGGCCGAGCCATTATGCGTCCACTGCTGGACATAGGCCTCCCCCATACACCGCCATAAGGAACGATCCTGAGCCACTTACATCCACTGGCAACGCATTTGAAGTAGTCACTCCATCTAGGGGGGGGTCGTTCTATACTGCGTTTGCCCGTACGAGGTCGCCACTCTTATTCATTAGACTTAAAATGAGGGGGAGGAATTGGTTTAAAAAAATATTACCAAATCATCGTCTTACCATCATCTCAGTAAAATCGTTCATGACGTGAACATTTTAATCGCCTCTTGTTTCACAGAAAATAAATACGAGTATGGTGCATAAAAGACATAGGTAAGTATTTGGTGAAATGAAGTTTATCATTATCCTTACTAATATTAATAATGTGAAAGTGAGTTTGTTTGTTTGTTACGTTATAGCACCGTAACAGCTTAACCAAATACTGTGAAATTTTGTACTCACGTGCTGTATGGGATGAACAAGGATATAGACTTTATCCCGGTCAATAAACATATCCCGGTCACGTGGACGAGGTAGAGAAATAAAAATAAATTTAGTAATTTAAAATCTCTAGAGTAAGTCTCACGTTAGAGGTCGAGATGGTCTTAATACGTCTCAACAAGTCTTATCACAGCAAAAAGGGAGGGGTAGTACTAATTTAAAAAGTCAGAGAACTACCGAATATCCTCTAATACTTCTCCCCCATCCATACTAAACGAATACAAATATTTATACCTATTTTGCCGGTTTGAATCTTTTACCACTAGAAGAACAGGCTTCACCACTAAAATGAGGAGAAGGGATTGCCCGTAATGGGAATACTGGAACCCATTGCTAGCAATATGCCCTGCCAGATGAACCTTTTTTTTATACTACTTAGAATGGCAAACAAGCTGACGGCCCACCTGATGGAAAGTGGTAACCGTCGCCTATAGACATGCGCAGTACCGTGGACATAACAGAGTATACTGTTTCGCCCATGATACTCCCCATGCGTTGCCATTCCAGGTGTTATTCCTCTGTACCCTGTAAATTCACTGCCATATCCCACCCTTCAAACCGAAACACAGCCATGCAAACACAACTGCTTCAAGGTTGAAACACGAATGGGACAGAGGTACCCAAGCAAACGACTTTTGTACAAAGTCTCCCTCTGGTAAAACCTCCAGGTCCCCTGGAAACCATTGCGGTTAAATCGCCACGATGTACCCATCAACCTGGCATAATTTCGTCATTTCATCCTCTACTGACCCCTCTATTGTATACCGTCAGAATCAGCGCGTGCGTCATTCCATCTTTGTCTATTTAAAAAAAACTATAAAACATACCTATTTAAATACCAAGCCAACACTTTATTTAAATACGCTTATGTTAAACATTTAAAAAATGACATTTTTATTCCGAAATCTTTGCTAGGTTTCATAGAAAATTACAACGCACAAATACGACTAGATTTTTATGATAAATTAATGAATTTCTTATGGAGTCCCACTATGTATTTATTGCTTAGCCGTTAGGTTGCCAACCCGCCTGCCAAACGTGGCAACTACTGCCAAAACACCCTAATAAGGGGAGGCCTATATTCAGTAGTGGCTTATATGAAAAATAATGATGACATTTATTTCCCCAGGAGTATTCAGAATCTACCCATATCAGACATTACAACCATTCGTACTTAGAAGAAGGAATATGTGTCACCAGAACTTGCAAGGAATACATCGGTGATAAAAACTTAGATGACGCTGAGGATGTGAAGTCTGTCATAGAAGCTTGTAGAAACGCAAGCATCTGGAACGAGTATGGACTGCAGGCGAGGGTGTCTTTGGTGTACAATTGTGATAGGAAATCTGACCAGAGGCAGATCGATTTGGTAGACTGGCTTGCTTTGGGCTTATTCATCACCATTGTACTGGTCAACGTAGCCGCTACTATCTACGACAGCGTGCTTGATGATGAGGCGAAGACGAATTTGAGCAAAGGTGTGTATGATTGTAAACCTTAGGTACATTAGATTGATGATAGAAACCTAAAAATCAAGTTCTGATGATGACGTCGATAGGGAATAATATTGTTTCCGTCTGTTTAATTACGCTAATATAAAAAATCCGGTCAAGTGCGATTCGAAATCGCGCAACGAGGGTTCCGTACAAAAGTATAAAAAATTTTGTTTTGTAGACCTAAGCATATGATATTAATTTCAACTTCACGCGTTCTTAAGAAAAAGGGCCTTGACAGACAGACGGAGGGACGGATGAACGGACGGACAGACAATAAAGTGATCCTTTTTTCCGTTTTTTTCCTTTAAAAGTACGGAACTTGAAAAAATAAGAAAATTAAAGCTGTAAGGATATCACGCATAGCCAAGTCACGCAAATCAAAAGATGATGAGGTCACAGTACCGATAAACACTGACAAAAGACGCTTTGTGTATTAAACTTCAAGTCAAAATGTTTTTTATATATACATTTTATTATTAAGAACATATACAAGGTTTGATTTAGAACATAATGATTACAGGTACAAGGGTATTTCTCTGCTTTTCAATAATACGCAACTGGAACTATTTGAGGTCACCGCCGAGCAAAGATCCCAAAGTTAGCATTTTTAAAGGAATCAATGCAATGAGGTACGTTTTACTTTGGCTCTTTTTTCTCTTTTCATTTAAGAGTTTCCTCTTGTCGGTGCAACTAATTCATGCATCTTCCTCCAGCCAGCTCTATCCCAGGCCATATCCTTTATCTCCCTATACGACATGACGCCTAGTGTTTCCTTTATCTGTCCCATGTAGTTAATTCTCGGTCTTCCTCTTCCTCTTTTTTATGAAATTTAAAATCGTTTACAAGTGACCAATTCATTTGATAGGAAGTGATAGCCGTCGCCTATAGACAAAAAGAGCACCAATTGACTTCATAGATTTTTTTTTATACAACTTAGAATGGCAAACAAGCTGACAGTCCACCTGATAGAAAGTGGTAACCGTCGCCTATAGACATAAGCAGTACCATGGACATAACAGAGTATACTGTTTCGCCCATGATACCCCCCGTACGTTGCCATTCCTGAGGACTCAGATGTTATTTATTTTTATTTTTCAGAACTATAACATCGTTTTTGGTTATATTGGCTCATGTTATGTGCATTTTCACATTGGGATCCCTTTACAACACACATGATCACGAACGGGTGAGTTGTGGATTCATTAGCTTATTATTAACTAGCAGCCCGTCCCGGCTTCGCACAGGTGGACATTTTTACATTTTAAACACACATGCACACACGCATACGCACACACACACACACACACACACACACACACACACACGCACGCACGCACGCACGCACGCACACGCACACGCCCTCACGCACACGCGCACGCCCACACACACACGCCCACACGCACACGCGTACGCGCACGCTCACGAGATCGCGCACGCGCACACGCACACGCACACGCACACGCATACGCACACGCACACGCACACGCACACGCATACGCACACCAATTTGCATTTTAAATCGTATATATATTTGTGGTATACTGCATTCGTACTGCTTCGTTAACTTTAATAGGAAAATATTTTTACTTTATTCCTAATTATCATCTGCTGAACATAGGCCTCCCTTTAACGAAGTAGTTGTAGGCAGCAGTTGCTACGCTTGGTAGACGAGTTGACAAACGCAGTTAGGCTTAATGAGAAGATATTTTAAGAGGGACGCTGTTGCTTATCCCTCAACTAATAAATTCCCTTAGTCGCCCCTTATGAAAGTGAGACCCAATCTAGGCCGGAACTACATGGCAAATTTTTTCTCTCACTTATTTCTAAACATTTCTTTTTATTTAATATTAATATGTATATTATTCTCTGTAGTTAAACATACTTGTAATGATTTCATTGAGATGACCTTGACTTTCGTGAGTATGTTTCCACGTTAATTTATGGGAAATCTGTAAATATGTTAAAACGAGACGATTGTCACACGTTTGACACGATGACGATGTATTCATAATTTGTTATTCGTCTCTTAGCTCTTGGCAAAGTTTTTAAGGACATAAATGTTAAAAAAATACATACACACACACACACACGCACACACACACACACACGCACACACGCACGCACACACACACACATGACTATCCTAAAAAGAAGTGTGATTTCAGAGTTAATGTATATGTGTAAGTTACTTTAATCCACTGCAACGTTTAAATGAACAGATTAGACTGTATGAGGACTCTTTGGAATCCTTACATCATCCCGAAGGACATTGAGGTCGATTCTATGGAACCATGTCATGATATCACTACATCGATCACTAGTTTGTTATCGCAGCGAAAATTTTATGCTAAAGTCATTATTCTATAGCCATTCTAAGCCTTCCCGAAAAGGGAGTTTTGCCATTTTTGGCAGGCTGGTTGGCAATTATAGTAAGGCTTTTAGAGATATTTTAAGAGGGACGCTATGCCCAACTCTCTACTATTAAGTTCCTTTAGTCGCCTCTTACGACACCCACAGGAAAGGAAGTGGTAGCTTTTTCTATACCGGGGCCACACTGCCAACGCTAGGCCTCGCATCTATCACTCATAATTTCACCGTAGCTATAGTATTATTTGACAATGTACCGAGAGTCCCAAATAAGGCCCAATAACAATCAAATGTTTAATAGATTTAAGCCAAAACTATTATAAATTTAATTTATTTATTTATTTCTTATTGCATTCCATAATATAATTAGTATATAACTTTTTCAATTATGGACCCTGTTGGGCACAGCGAGTACGAGAGAGGAGGACAACACTTTTTTCATTTTCGAAATAGTCTAAGGATATATAATTTAGTTCATACCATACCAATTTAGAGCATAAACCAGTTATTTTATTTAACTATCAAATAAAAACATTATCTTAAGAATTTAGATTATGTAGATAGAGCATCGAGCTTTAAAAACCTGTCATCTTTTTGTCAAATTAGCCGACATTTTTTTTTTATTAATGTTCTATATACTTACGCACACAATGTATCTTGAGGTATCCATATTTCGTTATTTAATAAATGAAATGAGTTTTTAGGCATTAAAAAAAGTGCAGAATTTATAAGACAAAATAAATATATAAGTTATAAAGTAATCACTTATAGTTATTTATCACGCAAAATTGTATGAAAATGTTATCCCGCTTTTCTCGAAGCATTTGTATGGAGACGCTCTATCTATACAATCTAAGACAAATTGCGCCTCGAAATCAACTCTATTCGCTATTTTTTTTTTTAACTTTTTAAATCATTTTTTAGCAGCACAATCGTATTTTTTAAATAACTTTGTGTATTAAAAACTGCTGCTAAAAACATTTTTCTATGTCTGTCTTCTCTAATTGTGTATTTCCTTGCAGTCATTCTCGACTCCACATTTTAGAATCCTATGGCATGGTATGCACTCGGTGCAAATGTTCTTCGTGATGTCGGGGTTACTGCTGGCTTACAATATGGAAGCAGGTTCAGAGACACGACCGATCACTTGGAAGATGGTGCCTCTGATAGGTCTCCACAGATTTTGGAGGTACTGATCACTTTTATACACCTACTACTGGTATTAACAAATTATATATTATATAATTTGGAATGATAAATAATATTCATTGAATTTAACACCTCTATATCCATCTTTGAACAATAATTCAAATTGGAGATCCCTTTTTTCATTAAACATATTTAAAATGGTGTATTAAAATTATTGTCCAGAGGGTGCCACACTAAAAAAGTCACATAAGTACTCTCTGATATACTTTTGGGTATAACAGAAACCTCCACTCGCGTCCTAAGGTAACCATCAAATAATTCTAGGGCGCGTCCCATCCGGCCTGTCCCTTAAATATACCTGCGCCTACTTAGGCACTACCTTTGTACTATTCCAGACTGACACCAGCGTTCGCAGTGATGCTCGCGTTCACGGCCACCTGGCTCCGGCACCTGGGCTCCGGCCCGCTGTGGACCAAGCAGGTGGTGTCCGTCACGGAGCAGTGCCGCCAGTACTGGTGGACGCATCTGCTCTACATCAACAACTATGTCGCCAGCAACGTATTATGTGCCGTGCACACTTGGTAATGTTGAAAAAATTGTCTTATCAGCTACTTTCTCTTTCTCCATCCCAAATAGTATTTGTATTCCAAATTTTATGATTAGTTGTGGAGTTAAACCATTAATAGACAATAAATACACTTTTAATAACATTAGCTGCCCGCTAACGACATACATCCTCGCTGTATTGGGTCGACTGGAAGAGATCTCTGTCAGAGACAAGTCCACCCTTGTTCACAACATTTATAAATGCATTATATTAGATGTAACTTACAAATGCAATAAAGAATATATAACTAAGTCTTTCATATGTAATATTTCCTTTTACATCCTAAATAATATGTTTAGTATGCCAAATTTCGTGACATTGTCGGACAAATTTGAACTCACTCCTACTTCAGCACGCTGCCTTAACTCACGCAGTACGGTTGATGTGATGTGATGTGAAAAGGACTCCATTTTCCGCGCTTAGCCTCTCACTTAGGCCATTGTGCGCATGAGTCGTGGCTAGTGCAGCCAACCTAGCTCCGTCCAGAAGCGCAGAAGCTTCCTGGGTTCTTCACAGGCCTCACGGAGCGACCTCACCGTTCCTTCGATTTCTAAACGTTGATGGGCCACAGCCTCACATTCCAGGATTACGTGAGCAGCCGTTTCTTCGGCGTTGAAACAGCCTCGACATAGAGCGCTGTCTGTGGCTCCTATTGTGTATAGATGTTTGTTTAATGGACAATGACCCGTTATTGTCCCTATCATTGTTTTGAGGTTTTTTCTGTCTAGATGTAATAAACGTTTTGATAGTCGTCACGCAGTACGGTTATTAAATAATATTATAAACATCATTGATATATTTAGTAGTAGCCAGCCAAAGATATTGGAAGCGGCTCACAAATATCTAGAGTCCGGGTTAAATACATTTATTATAACGTTGTATGTTAGCACACTAGGTTTATAACATTGATTTGACTTTTGCTGTTATAATGTTGTAATTGTTTTTAATGAATAAATAAATAAATAAATCGATGTAAGTATAGTTATGTCACTGAGCCTCGACTCGCTGTCAACTTAGTAATTGTAATATAATTAAGACAAAAAAAGTCAATTTTATATTAAATAAATCTTTATTAATAAGGGGGCTAGTCCTTCACTAAACGAGTCCCCTTAATTATAAAAATTAAAGGTTGTACTCCACAAGGAAAACGGCTTCAATTGTTGCTTCAAAAACCATCGTGAACAATTCTTGTTGAATTCGTCATGATAGGCTAACTGACCTGCTTCATCCTCACCTATCATTCTTCATCGGTGCCCCGCCGGTGTATACCGATAGCGCGGGTGGGATTACCATTCCATTATCACCCATAAAATTATTACCTTTTAGGTATTCGGCAGCTGATACTCAAATGTTCTACATTGGATTAGCAGTACACATAATGACCAAGGGCCGAAAGCGGAATCTAGTGCTGGCTGCGCTAACAATCCTCGGCATCGTGTTGCCAGCACTGCACGTCTGGTACTATGACACGCATGCATTTATGGTGTTCACGCCTGAGTAAGTACCATAACTGACATCTCTTGGGGGGAAAGGGATTGTTAGTAATGGAGTCTAACAGCTCCATTGCTAGCAATGTACCCTATCAAGTCGACCTGCACGCGAATCCCCCTGGAAACCATCGTGGTTAATTCTCGTGAAGTTCTTCACGATAGGTGGACCGATACCAGAGGGAGACTTTCTACAAAAGTCGATTGCTTGGGTACCTCTGTCCCATTCGTGTTTCAACCGTGAAGCAGTTGTGTTTGCATGGCTGTGTTTCGGTATGAAGGGTGGGATATGGCGTGAATTTACAGGGTACAGAGGAATAACACCTGAGTCCTCAGAAATGGCAACGCATGGAGAGTATCATGGGCGAAACAGTATACTCTGTTATGTCCATGGTACTGCTCATGTCTATAGGCGACGGTTTCCACTTTCCATCAGATGAGCCGTCAGCTTGTTTGCCATTCTAAGTTGTATAAAAAAAATATATATAAAAAAAAGTTAACTGACCTGCTTTCATCCTCAATTATCAGCTCTCACTGGTGCCCCGCCAGTGTATTCCGATAGCGCAAATGAGGTTACTATTTCAATATCATCCATCAAAAAAACTGACATCTCTTTACTAGGGGGAAGAGATTATTTCTAATAGAGATGTTGACGTCGTTTGAAAGCAATATACGCTATCAGGTAGACTTCCATGCGATTCTGTGAGTTCTAATGGAGAATGGAATCGGGTCACTTGACCTATTGTCGAGAATTGATTAAAAATTTTGTAGGTTCCAAGAGAAACTGCATGAGGTTTTCCCTAATAGAGCATTGCTTTTTTTATATCTCAGTGGGCAAATGAGTATGCAATTCATCTGATGGTAAGTGACTACCGTTACCCATGATCACTCGCAACACCAGAGACATGGCAGGTGTGCGGCCGGCCTTTTCAATTTTAAATATTAATTATGTAATGTTTTTTCTTTTTTTAATATTTTCTTTTGCTATCTTTCAAAGCGACAATTTTTTTTACCTTTATTAGTTTTATATCTAAGACTTTAAAAGCAGTTTTTTTTCTCTTTTCTTTTTTTTTACTTTTTTCTTTAAGTCTGCGTCCAGTACAGGTTTTTTGAGCTGTTCTCCTTTCCTATTACTATAAATATCATTGTAATGAAGTAAATTTAATGCGATAGTGAAATTTTACATATATAATTATACTTGCGTACATACTAGTTACGTCACGTTGTTTCAATTGTTATTTTGTATAACATTGACTAGTTTCGTAGAGGTCACTTATTCAACAAAGTAAAAATCTCAGCCTGTCACTAACTACATAATAATATAAATATTTATGAATATATATTTAGCAGTCTGGGTACTTACTTACTACTTACGTACTACTTACTTTTTCTTCTGTATTTCAGCGATAGCTTCTTTTGTTCTGGACGTTTTTTAGTTACTATTTTTCAGTTTACTTTTGTATGGAATCCATATTAAGTACATTTAGTATATTGTAATGTTTTTAAATGTATATTGTATATTCAACGCATGGGGGTATCATGGACGAAACAGTATACTCTTTTATGTCCATAGTACTATTCATGTCTATAGGCGACGGTTACCACTTTCCACCAGGTGGGCCGGCAGCCTGTTCACCATTCTAAGTTGCATAAAAACGTTTTATAAAGTGATTGAATAAAAAATACGAGGTCTGTCCGGAAAGTTCGTATAAAAGTGTTCTGGAATGCGAGAAAGAGGAGTGGGGAGGCCAGGTAAGCGCAGGACCCCTTCCTTATGTCCCTAACAATGCTTCAGTTCTGGTCTGACCGCCGTGCGGTGCGAACTGGCTTGTCACGCCATCTGTGAAGTTACCTCTTAACGAAACCCCGTCGGCATGGAGCCCGCTTCCGTTGAAGAGCAGCGCGTCGTAATCAAGTTTCTCTCGAAACTCGGCAAGAATGGCCGTGAAATTTTTGCCGATCTCAGAACAGTTTATGGGGATGATGCTGTGAAGGAACCAACCGTCCACAAGTGGCTAAAAAGATTCAGAGAGGGCCGAGAAAGCGTTCAAGATGACCCACGTTCAGGACGTCCTTCCACTTCACATTCCGACGAAAACGTGGAAAGAATTCGAACTTGTGTTAATGGGGACCGTCGTTTAACGGTCAGACAGGTGGCTGAAGAGCTTAATTTGGGCAAAACCGTGGTCCACGAAATTCTAAGAAACGAACTTCAAATGAAAAAAATTTGCGCCAAGATCGTTCCGTGAGTTTTTGAGTAAAAATTCCATTACGGTGACCGAACACCCCCCCTATTCGCCGGATTTGGCCCCGTGTGACTTCTTCTTGTTCCCAAAAACCAAATTGGTACTTCGGGGGCGGCATTTGGGGGACATAAATGAGATAAAAAAAGCTACGACGGGGCAGCTGAGAAACCTACAACCAGAGGACTTTCAAGGAGCCTTCTCACAGTGGAAACGGCGTTGGCACAAGTGCATTATGTCACAGGGGGAGTACTTTGAAGGGGATAAAATTGATTTACCTGAATAATTGTAAAATAAAATTTTTAAAAAACTTTTATACGTACTTTCCGGACAAACCTCGTATATAAGGTGTGACGCATTCAACAAGAATTAACCACGGTGGTTTCCAGAGGGAATTAGGTGGAGGTCGACTTAATAGGGTATATTCCTAGCAATGGGGCTTTTTTTTTTTTTTTAATATTTTAAGGGCTTTTACCTTCTTCAGGTATATCAGTCCTATTGTACCCTGAACTGATTTCTCCAACAAAACTTTATCTACCTTCCCTAGACGTGGAAAGAGAAGAATTAATGGGCTTCAATAATTTACACAGATGTTCAAAAATTTCTGGTTTAAGTTCAGCTAACATAGTTTGAATAAGACCAACATTCAATTTATTTAAGTTAAAGTGGCGCATGAATTCTTCTCTTTCCTTCGTGTTAATACGACACTCTAATAGAATATGATGCACATCATCGATGGTGTTACAAGTTTGACCATGGGGTGACAAGGACTTCCCCATCATATGTGCAAATTTTTTTGATGGATAATGACCAGATCGTATACGAACAGCTAATTTAATATTGTACCTATTGATTTTAATTCCACAAAACCAAGGAATATGTGGAGGTTCAGCCTGAATAGTTTTGTACCAAATGCCTTTTTCTTTTGAAATTTCGTTAAAATATTCTTTCCAATCTTTTTGACATTGCTATTTTTTTTAATAGATGATAATGAAATGGTAACCCCGCCCGCGCTATCTGTACACCACCAGTGAGGGATGATAGGTGAGGATGAAGTCAGCTCAGTTGGCCCATCGTGTCGAATTTGACAATAATTAATCACGATGGTTTCCAGGATGTGGAGGCGTGCGTGGAGGTCGACCTGATAGGATATATTGCTAGCAACAGGGATTAACGTTCCCATTACTAACAGTACTTCTCCCCCCGCAATGGAGCTATTAGACCCCATTACTAGCAATTCCTTTACCTATGAAATGTCGTCACCATCGCTCATGATCTCACTAAAAACAAAGTTCCTACGCTCTCGTGACTCGACTGCATTTTATTTTAGATTTGCACGTACAATAAACACGGACGACTTCCGGCTGGTGTACGTGATTGGCCACAACAATATCATCTGCTACGTCTTCGGAATGTACGCCGGCTACAGGCTCTACGAGTATCGGAAGAAAGGCACCACATTTGCGGGCAGCAAAGTGAGTATTCTATATTCCTGGCAATAGTGTTGTAAGAGACGCCTAAGAGAACTTAATTGTCGAAGGACGGGCAGCAGCGTCCCTCTTAAAAACACCAAAGCCTAACTGCAGTTGCCAGTCCGCCTGCCAAGCGTGGCAACTACTGGCAAAACAGCCTAATAAGGGGAAACCTATGTTCAGTTGTTCAGTTCAGTTGATATAATAAAGTGAGCATTCCAAGTGACATCTGCAAGCGTCTATTTTTCTTCAAAATTTTGAAAACCACATTTGCTCGTCTGACCATAAATAGTTAAGGAAGTTCATGGACAACCACTCTTTGGAATCGACTTCCAGCAGCAGTATTTCCGAACTGATACGATATCTTAACCTTCAAGAAAAGAGCATATTCCTTTTTAAAAGGCCGACAGCACAACTGCAACGCCTGTTAGTGTTGTGGTTGATCATGGGTGGCGGTAGTCACTTGCCATCAGGTGAGCCGCATCCTCATTTGCCCCCTGTGTTGTAAAAAAAAAAACACTAGTACCCAACACAACATAGTCACAGATAATACGAGTATAATACTATACTAGTACAGATAGATACATCATCGTGAATAAACAAGTGAAAAGTCGGTTTATTCTTCGGCTTAATTTTTAGTTGTTCATATGTGCGCTAGATGCCGCTACTTTCTTAGCCGCTCGCCAGCTTAAGCTAATAAATTAATTTACTAATGACTACTAATTGCGTAAGCAACTTATAGATGGCGTAAATCTCTGTGGCGTTTGCTAATGTTGTGGAATGTTCTACCTATACATATAAATAATAATTACCTATCTATTTGAATCATTTCGGCGGTCTCGTCTTGCGTTTATACATATATATTGCAGTAGGTAAGTATTGCACGAGACTGCGTAGGAGTTTAAATAGCTCGCTTTACATGAATCGTATACGATTTACTTTACGTAACTCTCCGAATGTGTTAGGTTTTTTTTATTATGTATATAGATAAGTACTTATTTACAATTTGAAGTTGTATGTATTTTTCAATGCTAAATCATAATATAATAAAAATAAAAAAATATGTCAAAAAATAATAAAAAATTAGGGATCATCCTTATCATTGAGGGGTATGAAAAATAAATGTTAGTAACAATACTGAAAAGTTAAAGAGAAAATACCCTTCTTTTAAAAAACAAGCTTTTATTACCTATTTGTTAATAAAATGAACTGAAAAGTTAAAAAAAATAACTTTAAAAAGGAATATAACACTTTCTAAGGTCAGTGTAACCTTTAATGATAATTAAGCTTCTTCGTCTACGACAAAATAATTCCATATCGTACATAATTATATATTTTTAACACTAAAACTTTACACCTTAATTATTAAATTTTCCCATTTTTATCACAGTCCCAATTGTATTAATAAATGTTAATAATAAATACCTGATGGTTTGAAATATCAGGAGTTTTATTAAGTTTCTGGTATAGTATCACGATCTCATTCCTTGTATACTTTTATTAAAGTGGTCGATGCACAAAAATATCTTAACTGCAAATATTTTTTGGGCAAATTTGCAATAATCATATTAACTAAAACCATACATAAACTTAATATAAATAAGTAGTTCTAAGTGGTGCATTAATAATTTAATGAATCTAAATGTACGTAAATGTTTTGTGTTGTCTTTCACTCGCAGATCACAGAAATTAATTTATAATTACACTATTAATGGACAAATACTAGAACGCAGAAATATCGCTAATGATCTGGGTATTATTTTTGACGACCAACTTTCTTTTAAACCACACTATGAATGTATTATAAACAGAAGCAACCAACTACTGGGATTTATTACTAGATTAACTAAAAACTTTAAAAATCCTAGCAGTTTTCTTTCTCTGTAACAATCACTGGTGAGAAGCATTCTAGAGTATGGCTCGGTTATCTGGTCTCCATTTTATAAAGTACATTGTGATCGCATTGAGACTGTTCAGCGAAAATGCCTTAATATACTCGCGTTTCGAATGGGCTTGCTTCGCAAATTGAGCTCTTATGAAAACAAAGTTTGAACACTTTCATGTTACATCTTTAGAGAGGCGTCGTCAGCGTAGTGACATACTATATCTGTACAAAATTATTCATAACGTCATAGATTCTCCATCTCTACTGCTTAATTTAAATTTTAATACGAGGTATAAAGCACGTAATCCTACTCATAAATTGTTTACATTGCAAGTCTACAAAAATAACACTTCATATTACAATCCTGTGGTAAGGATGCGTCGTCTTTATAACGACTTACTGCTCGACCACAAATCCATCGACATATTCGGTACAAAATATTTGATATTTAGGAAGAACTTGTTTTCTATTTTGTAGAATACGATTGGAAATATGTTTTTTATTATATATAGTTTTATCTTTTATATATTTATATAACATTTTAAGTATTTCTTTTTATATTATGTGTTTGCTTTTATTGAATTACTCGAGCTGTGCACATAATGTAATTGGATTATAACCTAGCCGAATCGCAAATGTTATTATTACTTAAGTTTTTTATGGTTATGATCTGTTTTATGTGCCAATAAAATAAAATAAAATGAAATAAAAATCAGCTTTCAAACAAATTAACCTGCCCCAAAAATTAATGTAATTCTATTAGCACCTGTGCACGATCGCTATGCACCTACAGTTGATTCTAAACTTAATAGAGTTAGCTATAGGGGTAGGAATTATTGGTAATGAGGACTAGCGCCTCCATTGCTAGCAATATATCCTGTTACGTCAATCTCTACACAAAAGTAGTTAGTTTGCGCGGATTCTGGCTTACTCGGTGGCGGCCTCTCAATAAAACCTCATTTGACAAGACTCGTTCCTAGTTGGTTAAGTTAATCTTTAACTTTTATATGTGCATCATGTTACGGCTTGGGGGTGGCCTTTGGCCATCCCAGCCGAACCTTAACCTACTGTCACTATGTGTGGGTACTTCATAAGACTCGTTTGCATCTTGCAGATGTTTGCAGACGGTGTTCTTAAAACCACTTTATCTCTAAAACACAAAAAAATGGCATCCAATATTTATAAATAAGAACGCGACGTTACAGAGATTTTTTTCTACCAGAATCGTTGGAATTTGTAATGACTAATATCAGTCCAAAAAAGGGATATGTTAATAAGAAATGTTAATTTTCACATAAAAATAAAAACCGACTACATTCATGTTTCAACTTGTTCGTCCAGCCGACTCTATAGAAGACGTTTCACCATTTTAAATGTATCACAAGAATTAGAATACGTGTGTTACGTTAACACTGAAGAATAATGGAGGTGAGTTGTTGAATATAGACATAAATAGGTTTTTTATAAATCTAGTCATCACATATTAAGTTCATGTCCAAAAGCCTAAAGTTGCGATGTTTTGTATTTTAGATCAATTTAATTTTAGTTGCTAAATAATGTTTAAAAGCATTGTCCTATGATGTAGTCTAATTTGTTCTCACTCTGCAATAATTATATCATTCAATAACGTATTGTGTTGTGTGTTCATCTATTCGCATTTGTTTCAGCTTTCTATAACTGGATTACACATTGAAAAATTATTATTACCCCAACATAAGTGATGACGAGCGGCAAGTTACTACTACTCTGTTGAAAAGCAAGAAAATACTTCACTGAAGCGGGCTATTGAGCATTTCTTCGAAAAGCCGAAGAAAAAAAAGAATTCAGTTCTCAATTCGTCGGTTGGTCAATCGTAGCAGAGTTGAACGTCTTACAAGACGTTCCACTCTGAATCTGATCGATAGACCGATAGTCAGAGTGTCTGTGTGTCTGAGTGTCTAGTGTCTGAGTGTCTAGTGTCCGAGTGTCTAGTGTCTGTGTGTCTGTGTGTCTGAGTGTCTAGTGTCTGAGTGTCTAGTGTCCGAGTGTCTAGTGTCCGAGTGTCTAGTGTCTGGGTGTCTGAGTGTCTAGTGTCTGAGTGTCTAGTGTCCGAGTGTCTAGTGTCCGAATGTCTAGTGTCCGAGTGTCTAGTGTCTGGGTGTCTGAGTGTCTGAGTGTCTAGTGTCCGAGTGTCTAGTGTCCGAGTGTCTAGTGTCTGTGTGTCTGAGTGTCTAGTGTCTGAGTGTCTAGTGTCCGAGTGTCTAGTGTCCGAGTGTCTAGTGTCTGGGTGTCTGAGTGTCTAGTGTCTGAGTGTCTAGTGTCCGAGTGTCTAGTGTCCGAATGTCTAGTGTCCGAGTGTCTAGTGTCTGGGTGTCTGAGTGTCTGAGTGTCTAGTGTCTGAGTGTCTAGTGTCTGGGTGTCTGAGTGTCTAGTGTCTGAGTGTCTAGTGTCCGAGTGTCTAGTGTCTGGGTGTCTGAGTGTCTAGTGTCTGAGTGTCTAGTGTCTGAGTGTCTAGTGTCCGAGTGTCTAGTGTCCGAGTGTCTAGTGTCTGGGTGTCTGAGTGTCTAGTGTCTGAGTGTCTAGTGTCTGAGTGTCTAGTGTCCGAGTGTCTAGTGTCTGGGTGTCTAGTGTCTAGTGTCTGAGTGTCTAGTGTCTGAGTGTCTAGTGTCTGAGAGTCTAGTGTCTGAGTGTCTAGTATCCGAGTGTCTAGTGTCCGAGTGTCTAGTGTCTGGGTGTCTGAGTGTATAGTGTCTGAGTGTCTAGTGTCGGAATGTCTAGTGTCTGAGTATCTAGTGTCTACTGTGTGAGTGTCTAGTGTCCGAGTGTCTAGTGTCTGGGTGTCTGAGTGTCTAGTGTCTAAGTGTCTAGTGTCTGAGTGTCTAGTGTCTGAGTGTCTAGTGTCCGAGTGTCTAGTGTCTGTGTGTCTGAGTGTCTAGTGTCTGGGTGTCTGAGTGTCTAGTGTCTGAGTGCCTAGTGTCTGAGTGTCTAGTGTCTGAGTGTCTAGTGTCTGAGTGTCTAGTGTCTGAGTGTCTAGTGTCTGAGTGTCTAGTGTCAGAGTGTCTAGTGTCCGAGTGTCTAGTGTCCGAGTGTCTAGTGTCCGAGTGTCTAGTGTCTGGGTGTCTGGGTGTCTGAGTGTCCG